ATAGATAGATAGATAGATAGATAGATAGATAGATAGATAGATAGATAGATAATCAAATAATCTATATTTGGGGTGTTGATAAGCAAAAAAAAAAAATGTAGTACTTTATTATGTCACAAAGTCCATTCTTTGGCAATAAATTAAACTTGTTTTCAACTCTTCAGTCTATGATGGACCTCATAATACATCAAATCAGCAAGGACTCAATGCAAACAGATCAAAACATAAAGAATAAAACAATCCTCATCTGAATTTCCTTGAACCCTCAAAACACCCTTCACATTCTTATTCTTTCTTTCTTTCCTACATAATACAGAAAAAAAATCAAATAATGATATAAAGTTAATCAACGATACTAACATGTTTATAGCATACATGTCAGTGCTTTTTTAAATAAAAACCAAGGTGAAGTTAACTGTAATGTGTTTTAAGTTTAAGGTAAAAAATATAACACGAGCAAATGTTAATAAGACAATGCTATGAGGATGTGAATAGATTTCTGAAGAAATAGATTTCTGAATGTGACCTCCACGCTTTGGCTGATTACCTTCCTGTCATGCTGTGAATGTTGTGGTACAAAAAACCTGATTAGGTTCTCCTGAACATGTAAGATAATTATAAGAATGCATCACAGCCATTATGATTTTTTCTTCGTGTCACGGAAACAAAGTACTGCTGAATATTTTTTGGGGAAAGATAAGATCTTTGCATCATTGCATTCCTCCGTTTGTTCCATTGAATTAGCTTTTTCTTTCTTTGTCTTTCTCTCTTTGGCTTTCTTTTGATCTTTCAAGACTGGAAGCATTTTGCATCTAAGGTCAAAGGTTGCACAGTCCAAAAAAACCTAACGTATGAACAGTTAGTAGTACTGGTGCATCTTAATTTGAGTGGTGCTTTCCTGCTTGGAACAGCCTCAGTACTTGCAGAAAAGTAAAGAATGAAAACCCTATTATGTGACTAGTGAGGTTTACAAAATGCTAATATTTAACATGACACATTAAACCCTCTGTGATGGATAAAAAGAGATAAATGTGTTTGTGTTAGAAACAGTTATCACTAGAGCAACTTTAGTTGAACTAAATGTACATATTTACATCCCCCTGAACACAGAACAAGACACATCTGTCAGGACATGTAACTACTAGCTCACACCAGGTCCTGCATACCTACCCTGAAATGTTGTTTGAGACACAAAGTGTTAGTCAAAGACCTCCAGGATATAGATTTCTGGAATTTAGCCCTTCCTATGTGTGATTTTATTCTTTGTTGTAAATGTCTGCGATGTGTACACAAGATTAGGGGACCATGCCACTCATTTCTGTTTAACTTGTAAAAGAGCTTTTAGTACAACAAACAAAATTCCAGGGAGAAATGAAAGCACCCTCACAGTTTCCGCAGGTTTACCAATGCACAATAGGAGCAAGCAGGGAGAAAAAAAGTATACAACAAGATCTTAAATATAAGGTTCATTGTGATATTTGTCATTTTCAATTTAGGGGAAAGTACTAAAGCAGGTCAAATACATAACAAATGATCCAACAACATTTTTTTAAAGAACGCAAAAATATATTTATAAGAAGATTCCTAATTGATTATTGAAAAAAACAGGGTAACAGTTTGTAGGTAAAAAATGAATGAATGAACAGTGGAGTTTAAATGCTGAAATCGGCCAAACATACTAAATATATAATGTACATGACAACAGGGAGAAGGCAACAGAGAGCAAAATAATAAATATAAAGACTGCGTGTACAATGAATTAATCAAATTACTAAGGAATTAAACTAATGATCTCCCAGCTCTGTGGGAGATGGTTTCCTTGTCAGCTAATCCAGATATGAAACAAGTTTTTCCAGAGTTTGGAGGCATGAGCTTGATGTTTGTGCCAAATGCTCTTACTGTTATTAGATTCCAATCAGCTCTCATGGAAAAACAAACTAATTAATTTTATCTGTCAACTGGGATTTTATAAATAACCAGATGGTTACTCTGAAGGATATTTAAAAAGATAATGTTTTTGTGTATTTCTCTCCTTCTTTAAGGAACTATTTACGGGTTTTGGTAAATTGTAATGATATTATGATGCATTATGATGTAATTTAATTGTAGAATAACATCACATCATGTATGAAAAACACCGCTAGCAGCCGTTGAACCATGACAGGTGCCGATACCTATTTAAGTCAAGTATGACACTGGTTTCCCAACATTCAGACAAACTGTTGACCCAAACAGAGTTTGACGAATTAACCAGAAACTAAAAACTGGCCAGTCTTGCTGGGGGAGTGTTTTCTTTCCTGATGGATAGCAATGTGACACTTACTGGTACATAGGCTGGAATTTGACATTAATTACGGGCACATGACTTGACAGCAGGGACTGCATCAGTGATGAAAAGTATCATTGCGGTGCATTCTATGTTGCAAAACCTGACTGAAGAAGATAAAGATGATTCTAAAAGAGATATTTTTCTGTTTGATTGTGTGTAACAAACATCAGGGGGAGGAGAAGCTCTGTGAGCGAGCCAGCCTGTCCTGTAATTACAAACATTTTTCTCTGAATGCTTATTAAAGTTTGTCTCCACATGCAGCACTCCCCCTGACCAAGAATTCTCCCTGAAACAATAAGAGCAGCCTCACTAGAAATTCCCTGCTCATGACAAACATAAGCGGAGGTGGGTACTGATTCCCCGGAAAATGAACAAACAAAAACTTTTGCAACATCAAACGAAAGAACATTTCGTCATTCTACTTCCAGAAAGTTTCACATGACCTTCTTGGCATTTTTTAAAAAAAAAACATGCAATTGCACGCGCAGATTAATCAATAAGCTCCTGCAACACAACCATTTTGTAAGCACCGTCAGTAATAATGTGAGCAATCTGAGCCGGAGTGACTCACGCAGGGGAGAAGCAGCCATTTGTGATCAAACAATTAAAAAATCATCATTATCATTTCTTTCTTGTTTATTGTTTTGAGGGCCCATAATTGGCCAAATTATAAATGACCCTCCATCTTTGCATATCTGAGAGCTAAACAAAAGTAATTGGATTTGGTTGAGATTTGTCTTGAGAAAAGATTTTTCCCCTGGAATGCCTTCTCAGTTCATATTAGAGGACTTTCAGATGAGAGGTGAACGGTTTTCAAATTCCAGGACGAAGCCCAGTCGTCTTATACTCAAGCTCTGAGAAGAACCTTGACCTTGTCCACAGCTTTCATTTAAATGTAACCTGTCCTTTGAAACGTTTTTTTTTTTACAGGAGGAAATTCATGGTGACACAATCGTGTGCAGTAACATACTAAACAGTACTGATGGAGCAAACAGGAGATTAGGTCAGCTCTCCGTCCAAAAAATAAGACACTTTGTACGATCTCTAGGGCAGTCTTGTGGGCATTGGCTCATTTGGGTGCCAATCGTCTCTGAGGGGTTTTGGTTGAGCATCTGTACAAGGTGAGTACCTGGAGCTGTTCAGAATTTTTACAGATTAAAATGAAGGTGAACAACACCTTAAATGAAACTGAAACAAATTATATGATTTGATTAAAAGCTCCAAATTGAAAAATTACTTTTTAAGGTGCTTTCAGTGGTGATTTCCGTTTAATGTGCTTAGTTACAATGTCTGGTGCTGACCATATGACCCCAGAAGGTTTTTTATTTTATTTTTTCTTCTTTTATGAGTAATTTTGCCCAACTTATGTGTTCCTTTCATGGTCATAAAGGTCTTGCAATATTGTAATAACAGCTGTATTTTTCCACCTACAGCCATGGCCTTCTCTTACACCTTTAATGACTCCTTCTTTGACCAGAATGAGACCTTCCCACTCTTTGTGAATCCAAAGACACAACCATGTGAGATAAAACTGCTACAACCGACAGCAGGGCTGACCCTGTGTTCGATCCTCATAGTCATCTTTTTACTGGCCGTTCCGGGAAATCTGCTGGTTGGGTGGGTGATCAGCACCAGCAAACAGGCCATGACTCCGTCAGACATCTATTTGTTTCACCTCACAATAGCAGACGGACTGATGGCTCTGACACTCCCATTCTTTGCGCTAGCACAAGTCCAGGGATGGATTTTTGGAGACTTCATGTGCAAGCTCCTCAACCTCATCAGCGAGGCAAACTTCTACACCAGCATCATCTTCCTGGCCTGCATCAGCATTGATCGTTACCTTGTCATTGTGCACGCCAATAAGCCGTTCAGGAGTCGCCACAGGAAGTGCAGCAGGTTTCTCTGTGCGGCTGTGTGGGCCCTCGGCTGGGCTCTGGCACTGCCTGCACTTTTTAACGATGTCATCCAGATTAAAGGTTTGGGGTTACTGATTTGTACCGAGAGCTTTGACATTGGCCGTGCCTTCATTTGGAGACTTGCCACTCGTGGTTTCCGCCATGTCTTTGGGTTTGTGGTTCCGCTGACCGTCATGATAGCCTGCTACAGCATCACCATCAGAAGACTGCTGGACACTTGTGGTTTTCAGAAACACCGGGCCATGCGGGTGATCATCGTTGTAGTGATCGCTTTCTTCCTGTGCTGGACACCGTACCATATTACAATGGTGGTTGACACCCTGATCAAAGCAGATTTGATGACGTACGGCTGTGCTTTGAAGAGTTCGGTGAGGTTAGCGCTGGACTTAACCTATGGTTTGGCATTGACCCACAGCTGCATCAACCCATTCCTCTACGCATTTGTGGGAGAGAAGTTCAGGAAAAAAATGGCACATCTTCTTCAGAGGAAACTCAGACGGGAGAGAATGTCAGGGTCAAAGTTCAGCCGGTCAACATCTCAGTCGTCAGATGGTGCAGGAACCGTTCTCTGAACACTTGGTGGACTTATTCTCAACATACAGCAGGGAATTGCTTTGGCACATTATATTTAAATATATATATATATATATATATATATATTATCTAGCACACTGCTGCCATCTACTGGCCCATCTCTTTATGGGATTCCTTATCTTTCCGGATTTCGACAAAATCAACGGTATCTTACTTCAGTGTATCAGTGTTTTATCAGTGTGTATCAGTGTATCAGTCATATGCAGACTGTATAGACCCTCGTGTTAATCAACGCACTTTTTTATTGCATCTGTTGTGCATTTAATGTTTCCAAAAGTTGAAATACTGCCATTCTTTAAATAAAATATATCCTTGTTTCAGACGTGTGTTGTGCTGTTTAATTTGTCCATATAAATAATAAAACTCCAAATGTGATTTGTTCACTGAGGCCTTACCAGTGAGTGAACAGATAATTCACGGACTCATTGGAAAAAATTGTTTTGTACTTGGGGTCAAATTCTACCAGCCACACCTAAACATAATGGTAAAAACATCCAGAGATGTGCTGTGTTATCTGTTTGGGTGAAGTTTTGGGGGCCTAGTTAGCAATGAAAATGTAGTTTATAATTAACTGACAATGTAAACAATATACTGTCTTTATTTTTACAAATATGATATTGATTATAGTTGGGCCATGTGACAAATGGAGTGTCTGGCATTTGGGAATATCTTTTTTCTGGATCTATCACAACTAATTAGTCTGTCTGCTGTATTGTAATGTGTGTGTTTTTTAAGCTAAATTAAACGGATATGGTAGGAAAAAAAAATATCGTAAACTCCCCGTCGGGGAATCGAACCCCGGTCTCCCGCGTGACAGGCGGGGATACTCACCACTATACTAACGAGGAGATACGTTTTCATCGTGCCGGTGTGTTTATGTAATAACTCCAGACCGCACAACAATATGCACGTGCCAACATTTATGCATAAATTCGAATAGTAATTAATAGAAGGATATCTTTGACCAGTCGTCATTAAAACCCGGCACTGCTGACCAACAATTTCCTTTTTTTCTTTCAGGTATAGCTGAGAAAAATAGCTACTAAGCAACTTATTGTGAAGACTAAGGACTTTAAATTAGCTAATTTATTTATGCATATTTCAGAGTTAATCACTCTTTGAATGAGTGCTTGATAACAGCAGAGGGAGTGCTCCTGGACATGTCACTCTGAAGCTGCTTCACAGCACCCGGCTGTGGTCTCAGGTCCATGTTGCTTGCCATGCTATGAAAACAATACACCAAACAATTCATTGAGATCTCTCAAGATTTGTACCACATCTTTTTCTGCTCCTAAGCTTTTTAATCATTTGCTGGCCTGTGAATTATATTTTTTTACCATAGAGTTAGAGGTGAATTATTTTTATGCTAGTCCTTAATTAGGAATAACACACAAACTGAGATAAACATGCAAGACTGTTCTTTTGAAACTCACCAGTTGTGTGTGTTGTGTGCTTGGACATGGAGCAGGTGAACTAGAGTCTAAATGGTTGGATCCCTCCTGCTACACAATTCACAAATGAAAAAAAGAATCAGAAAAATAAATAAATAAATAAACAATCGTTATTGAATTTACAGCTTAATATGTTCCAAAAAACTGCTCACGTCTGCCTGGGAGGTGACCAGCGCCTCTAGCAGGTGTACCCTGGTATCACAGCAGGACCTTAAAATAACGTTGCATGTAAAGTGCCCCTCTGAGTCCGCCTGGAACCGCAGTGGGATTCCCACATAACCGCAATCTATCAAACGTGTGAAGGAGTAGATGCACAGAAACTAAAACACCAGTTAGCAAATTAACTTCCCCTTTTCATGGAGAAAATCTTGCATTTCTTATGTGAACGTGTACCTGCAGGGTTCTCCCAGTCTATGGTTGTGTCCTCTTTTATGGGAATTTTAACGGTACTAGGTAGAGTGAAGTATTGTGGCAAAGACACCTCCACGTTGTACTCTATCCCGTTATTCTGGTACACGCTTCTTAAGAGCTGGGAAAAACACAAGGAAAACTCTGTAAATTAGCTCCAAACGGCACGTTTTTCAGCACAGCAAACATGTGGAATAACCCTTTCTGCCCAGGGCTTTTTTTGGAGTGCATATGTGTGTACCGGCTTTCCGAAGAGCTTCTGTACAGCTGTGGTTGCCCTCACTGTACTGCTGTGCAAAGTGTGGGTCAGCATCCGCCTCCTTTGCTCATCGGTACTCATGCAGTGCTGGCCCCAGATGGCCAGAGCTTGCTCCCAAAGCATATTAATCCAGGGCACGTGTAGGGTACCCTCGTAAACTTCCCCCACGTTACAGCAAAGACTCGCCACTAATTTGCTGGCGTGCACTTCTATCAGCAGAAAACATTCCAGTCTTTGAAAAATTGCTTATTTTCAACTGATGATTCTGTAAAAAGATGAATCCTAATTTCTTACCTAAATTTGCAGACTTACAACAAAGCCTGGCACACAGGGGGGAAGGAAGCGGTAACTGTGCTGTGGCCTTCACCATATAGACAATATCTCCCACCTAATGGGACACAAGTACACAACCCAACATTATTCATACAACAAAAATGGCACCATGATGAGTAAATTAAAATAAAACTGGTTTAAGTGTCTATAGGGAAATGTAGGGATAAATATGGACGAATGCTGGCCTTCATCTCACACACCTCTGGAGCAAGGGATTTTTAGATACTAACTATTATACTATACTTTAGATACTAACTATTTTATGTTAGTATCCAATGTGGATTTCCTCTCCAATGTTAATATCTGTGTGCTAATTGCACAGTTAAGCACAGAAAGACTGACCTGTGGGCAAACCAGCAGCACAGAGCAGTATTTGGGGCCTGGGGAGAATGGCAGGTAGAGGATGCTCACACTGTCTGCTTGGCCTGACTTGAGACAAACACTCTTTGCTGCACTCAGGAACTCCTTGTCGTCGCCATCTGGGTAGAACAAAGAATGTATAAAAAACTATAGACAAAAAATGACAACAATTTTAGAGGCAGTACAATGCATTTTCTCTTTTTTCTGTCCTTTACAGTCCAAACCTTTGAGGCATTAGACGTACTTCAACCTGTAACTCACCCGGCCTTCCATGAACATATTGTAGGACTAAGACAATGGTCTGGATAAAAGGCCAGGTCGGACTCTAACAACAGCATGACTCAACTCTGCTTTTTGTAATGTATTCCCTCAATTTACAAGCAATGGATTTAATCAACAATGAAAGTAAGACGTACATTTAAACACACAAAATAAAGAAATGTGATCATCATCTTGTGTTCAGCAACAAGAGCAATTGAGTCCAGAAATGATTGTAGCAAGAAGTAGAGAGTTGTCTCTAACTTACGTTTCTTCTCAGTCCCACTAAACAAGTCTGAGGTTGTCTCATTTAAGCTGAGAAAGGGGGGGAGAGAAAATCAAACTATGACGACATAAGAGCACACAGCCTGAATCAGATGAATCAAGACAACATCAGTCCTACTACAGATCATATTTTACAACATAACTTTGATGGAGCCATGGGTTTGTTTGGTTTAAAGAAGTCTATGGGAGAAAAATCCCAATGAACTTTCAACTGTTAAGCAAATGTTAAAAAAAAAAGCGACTAATAGTGACTGAATCTATATTACAGCATATCTGTACAACAGTTTATATAAAACTGTTATATAACAGTTTTTTTCCTTGGATGTACTTCAGAAAATGTTTTATTTTAAACTATTCATGATTTCATAAGCTGCCATTATGACATTACATCTAGCTAATTGTTCCTCAAACTATTGTTTTAGTACTTGTATTACCTGGAATTGGTGTAAGCCTGTTCAAGGAGATTTTTCCCTGCTTCAGGGTCCAGTGGGTTGAGGGTAGACTCCACCAACACAACCCTAAACACAAAATCAGTCACACATAAATCATGTTTTTCTCCTCTCACATTGTCATCATCTTCTCGTACTCAAAAGTGCATCTTTTCTAACCTTAACACTTGCCTTACTTTAAACCAGACTTGTGAATGACCCTAAAAACACCTATTCATTCGAACTATATTGTTACAACATTTGTCAAAATGCAACAATTATGAATTATGTCTATCCATTACTTTCTCCACTAATCACCAACCTGAAATTTCCTTCTTTCTTGAAAGTGTTAATCAGTGGTACCTCGATCACTTTTGGCTGGTAGCATGGAGAACTGCACCTGACAGTGTTCTAAGTGGAGACATTACAAAGGAGACAGTGTGTAATTTCGCTTATCAGATATAATTATCAATGACTCATAATCAGTCAATCTTTATCAATAAAGCATGGTTTCAACAAGTAAAATAGCACTAAACAAAACTTGGTGAAACAAAACCCCAAAAACTAGAAACTAAGGGCAGCAGGACAAGCACTTTGTGGTACACTGTACTTACTGCCGGAGTGATGTGACTGATATGAGTTCCAAGATTGAAGGCAAGGGTGGTACAGCGAAGGCCAAAATCTGAGCAGGATATGAGCAGAAGAACTGCCTCCATGGGACGCAAAAAGAGGCAGTTGTACTGGACTTCCAATTCAGAGCTTGAGCTTTCAAAAAAGCATATCCAAAATTATTATTATTATTGTTGCTCCAATTCCTCAAGGAAAATAACTCTCTCGGTTAAAAATGCTAAAAATGTAATGTGTACTGATTAATTGTAAAACTTAAAAAAACACAAAAAAAAACACACATATATTTGTCCATGAATGTAAATAAAGTTCCTACTTTGGGGGAATGGTCACCAGAGACCCATTAGGGAGGAAGAAGAAACAGGCATCCTCTCCTAATATGAATACCTGGTATTTAATAGGCTTGGAAGCTGGGTTTTTCAGAAGCACCTGCAGTTCACACACATAGAAATACGCATGCTGTTAGTACTGAATAGACGGGCAACAACATAAAAAAACAGCACAGCACAAATGCTGTTATTTAGTTTATTTGGTTAAGCTTTTCAAACTGTTTTCTGAAACCTCTGTACGTTTATGTACTGTTTGTCTGTCTGTTGTCTCTGGTTGTATTTATTTCCACATGTGGGAAAGTACCCGCCCAGGATGCTCTTCAACTCCTTTTAATCCCCTCAAAGTTTTAACTTTGATTTTACCTGTTTTTTGAAAGTGCTATGCAGGGGTCCTGAAAGAGTAATGGTGCGTAAGGGCAGGTACTGAGGCAGCACCTCATGCAGGTGAACACAAAGAATTATCATCTGCACTGGATTGGGATCCGACAGGTCTGTGGGCTAAAGACAACATGTACAGTTACAGGAACAAGAATGCAGGGATGTCGTACTGTTTTGTCTTTTGTCCAGAGTTTGAGAGCGTTTTATAAAAATTCAAGAGATTGCTCATTTCATTGAATGAGCAATGCAAAATAAAAAGTTTTATGGCAGCCCTTGTGTCATATTTACCTGCATGTTTAAGTTGAGACAAAGCAAAGTTAAAGCCTGAACCACAATAATGTTGTTGTGAAGGATCTGCTCCAGGCTGTTAGGTTTTGTGTAAATCCTTTGGAAGTGGCTTTTGATCTGGTTATAAAAAGGAAACAGGATCAACACAGATTCATTCTTAATTTTTAAGCTTGATGTCTTGGTTTTACACTCTCCCTTTATAAAATAGATTGAAAAGACTAACAGAGATTCTCTTTTAATCTTCTTCATCCCAGTCTTACTTATGGACAAAAACAATCATCCCTTGCCTCAGCTTACATAGCTTCCCCCACCCACTTTCAGAGTCTGAACAATATGACGCACAGACAAACACACCAGAAAAGGGCAGTATGCAGCAAGCAAAGCAGCTAGCACCAGTCCATCTGTTAAATCCAAGGCAAAGTTCACAATCCAGCGGGCCGGCGGGACACCATCTGTAAGTCATTTTACCACAGAAATGACCTACTCATCAGCCAGGAGCATTTATGAATATGCAATTGCTCGGTTACAAGCAGTGACAAAGAGCAAAAGAAAATTAATGAAGATGTCAAAATATTAAGACAAAAAATGACCTTATAAAATATGAAAAACATAAATGGTTTATTGCATCTATTGGCTGGACTTGCATACCAGAGGCTGTAAAGCTTAAAAACCTGCAGCGAGCATTTTCATGCCACACACCTTACATTTATGCATTTATAGTATGAGATATCTTGCATTGCATGTAAGAAAGTGGAAACAAAAACCTCTCTCTTCAAAAGTGTGGAGTATGCATGTCTTACCTCTGCCCCACACAGTCTTCCTCATGCTCTGGTAGTGTATGTTGAGCCATGTGAGCAGTTTGAGCTCCCAGGAAGAATAGATGTTACTCGCCAGAGTCTGTGAACCTTCAGAAATGATTTTGATGTTTTCATCGCTGTCTTTGTGGTTCAAAGGAGTGTTCAGGCCTTTCAGTGACACTTGAGGCAACACCAGAACCTGCAAATGTGAAAGGGATCTTAACATTGGTATTTGTTGAGCTGATTTGAATCTTTTTGAAGAAAATGTTAAGATTCCTTTTAAGTGGCTGGGTGATAAATGTAAATACTGAACTTTGTTCTGTTTGGCAAAGATCATGAAGCAATACAGAGAATGCACGGAACAGAACATTTAAAAGGGCAGACAGAATGGAGTCGATATATTTTCACCTTGTATATCTGTAGAAGCACATCGGTCCAGGAGCGTTTGCTGAGAAACTCGTAATCAGAACTGTTGTAGTTGAGGCCATGTTGTAATTCATTCAACTGAAAAAACATAAGTAGGGAAAACATTTGAATCAAGGGACACTAAAACACAAGGGCCCTAAAAAAGTTTCTAGTGTCCATGATGTTTCATATTGACGTTGCAAAGCCAGAAAGTTGAGTTCAGTGAATACCTGTTTGGAGAACCAGTGTTTAAACTCCAGCACATCCAGCAAATACTCTGGCCTGATGTGACAAAGGCAAGCTCCCTGGACCCTTAGCACACGATTTCAGTGGGACAAAAACATTGTGAGATTGGCATTTTTTTAAATTGATGAGATATGGGTTTTAGATTCATAGAGGATTCCACTACATAGGCAGACATAAAAGTTCACCTGAGAAAAGTAAGCATGGCCTCATGCTGTTGAAGCAGCTGACCAGTGCGCTGGTCTATGTCACTGGAAAAAGTCTGACAGAGGCTAATGCCAGGAATCTGTCTGCCAATCAAATGATAAAGCATGTCCACTACAGACCTACAACACACAAAAAACATACAGCCCAAGTTGCTGAATCAATTTATCTCGGCTCTTCTAACATATATAATGGGAGTAGTCTTTTAAGATCTCTAAGAACAATATTTGAATTATTTAAAGAATCGCGGTTAATTTAGTTCTATGCTGTATTGCTTTATTGCTTTATGAGCAGCAAAGGCTTTGTAGATTAAAGACATTATTGGCAGTACAAAATATCAGTTGTCTAATAGCTCTGTTGTGTTCATTTGCCAGCTACTGAGTATACCTACCTTGTATCTTTAGTCTGACTGATGCCGTGAGTCCTTCCAGTGAACTGGTTAGTTTGGATTTTTGATACAATTCTGAATGACAAGAGGACATAAGATTATAACACAAAAACAAGTCCTTGTCAAAATTTGCTCTAGAGGGATGGGCTGTAGAATTGTGGGGGAAAAAAAAGATGAAGCTATTTTTGACCTTCTGAGAGTGTGGGGTATAGTGATGGGATGTGGTCCATTCGGCCAACCAAAAAGGCTGAACCATTTCTCCATGGCCAACAACACATTTTTGTAATATTGTGCTTCCTCTGTGTTGGCAGCTTGGAATTTTGGGATGCTGAGATTGCTCTGCGTCTCTCTGTACGGGGACACAGATGGATGGCTGCTGGCCTGTTCGCTTGCACTGTCACTATCTGGAAAAGAATCTGAAGAAGGAATGCACGCCTATTAAGCATATCAACAACCATGCAAGTAATGCACCTCTAATAAATTGAATTTTCTGACCTGAGTCCTGGTTAGTTGAGCTGTGATGCTCAAACGAAGACAACGTTGTCGACGTTGTCGGGACTGATGCAGGACTTGGTGAGTTATAGCACTGCAGCAGAACTGCCTCCACAGCTGTGGCACCTTGTGAAATTTGGAAACCGTTGCAGAGTATGGTCTGACTTGAAATACCTAAGATTGGTTTTTCAGTGTTCAGAGTTTGGTAGTCATGTGTACATGTTTAACGGTACCTTCTTGAAGAACTATCTGCTGATCAGAGTGGTGCAGTGCCATGTAGGGCCAGACTGTCAATAGACAGTTTTCAGCAGTCGCGCACACCTTCACTTTGAATCTGAAGAAAAGCAAAATTCAAAAGGCTCAAAGGAGCAAGATTGGAAGCCACAATATTAACTGATCGAGCCAAACAGAAGAAAAGTGGCAATGGCCTTAGAATGTTTTACAAAATATTTATCATAGATCTATGTAAAGACAGTATTTTTTTGGGTGGAAACTATATAAGAATGCATTTAATTGAATTACATTTAATTTGAACAACACAAGAGCAAAGTTACCTATTGTCCATGTGGTCAGCAAAGGTGATAGTTGTCCACATGGAAAGAGGAACATCAGAGCTGAATGACACATTGCACGGCAGAGAAGTCGCCTCGGCTTCCTGATGGTAGCAGATTGTACAAGAATTAATTGAACTAAGGGCTTCCAAATAGAATGTGGAGAATGTGGTGACCTGAAACAGTTTCTATCAAGTGTCGACTATATGGTTTATGAGCTAAATCTGAATAAAAGAGCTGCACAGGTCAGAACTCTGTTAAACACACAAACACACAAACAAACACACACACACACACAGTGTGATAATATTCCAAAAACAAGATTAAAAACTGCAACAGTGGTTACAAAGTACGTCCTTACCTGTTGAACTACTTTACATTTATACGTTGTAATTTCAACTCTACGACATCAGAGTAAACATGCAAAACACATCAGTTCTACAAGTGAAACTCTTATTCTTCCACTCATTCAAAAGTTTCACACTAATCTTTCTTCTTTTATCTTTGAAGCAAGAAAACGCTTTTTTCACCTCAGAAATTCCTAAAATAACAAATATAAAAATAAATACATAATGGCGATGACAACTGTTGAGGGGTTTACTGTCCTGACTGTAGAGATATACCTTGTTGTGGTCCTGGGCAGGAATGCTATTACCCTCAGGAAAGGTTACAGAGAAGGGCTGTACCTTTGTCCCATCCCCCATTTCCACCTCATCAACCTCAGCCCAGACTCTGGTTCCACTACAACAAAAAACTGGATGAATGTTGGATGAAATAGAACATAGAACTCACATGAAAATAACATGAAAAACGCTGCGTTGAAATCTGAGACTCATCAAAAGCAGATAAAGATAAAACTGAACAAATTTTAACATCAACTTATTTCTACTCTTCATTAAATCAATTTACAGCTTACATTTAGCTAAAAAACAATGTTCTCATTATACACCAACCTTGGATATTCCATAACCAGCAATGTGAGGTGGGTTTCTATTCTGCTTCCCAAGGGTACCGGTGTAAAAATGACTTCACGGGGGTAGATGATGATGCTTGGAAGCTTGAGGATAATGGTGACTGACAGCTCTCTATAGGGCTGGTGCCCATCATTTCCTTGTGTCCCATCTGCTCCACTGTTTCCCAGGTAAAGGGTAAGGGTTAGTTCAGTCCCTTTTATAGTTTCTATGAGGACACAGAGAAAAAAAACGTCCAAATTACTAAGCATGTGAAGTCAGAAAATGTCAAAGGAAGCTTTATGGCAGCCATATTTATTTCTGCCCATAATACTGATTATTGATAATTCGTAAACTGATTTAACCATTGAATTTTTCATTAGGAATATAGATGTAATACTAAACTAATCATTAGCTCTCATTCCCAATTGTTCCGCACTTGTTCTGATGGCCTCAGCGTTGACTGCAACAACCAAATCGACGGACTGGCCAGGCCTTAGAATGCCAGATGATGGGGACACAGAACACAACTGTTGTTCTCCCCTGTCTTGACTTGATAATGATGCATCACTGCAATCAAACCACCACTGCACATGCCCGTCTGTGACACCAAGCCAGCAAAGACTCTCTTCAGGCTCAGCTTTCAGCTCAACTTTCTGATGGAATAAAGACAGAAATGATCACATAATAAGGTTTATCTTAAAGTCCTGCCAAGTAGTAAAGGATACTGAGTTAAATACAAAAAGTCAGACCTATTCTCAGAGAGGACAACGATTTCTTGTAAGAAAATTTAATGGGGAACAGATCAAATAAATGAAAAAATAAAGCTTACAAATCTGTTAATATGATACCTTTGTGTATATGTCAGACAGGGACTCTACATGAAACTCTAGTTTCAAGGTGGACATTTCCAACGGGGCACACAAGGCTTAAAACACAAAAGGAAAAACACACTTTTAGTGGCAGGAATCTAGTTTCAGGATTCATACTTAATTCACAAACACAAGTACAAATGACCCAACCTGTAGCTTGTATCCTCGGTGAATGTTGGGCTGATGCAGCGGCAGAGCTAAAGAGTGGTTTGATGTGCTTCCTGTTATCAGCTGTCAGTGCTGGCACAGAGGATGAGGAGGGTTGAGTGAGAGCAAGAGGTGAAGAAATGGGCCATTTCACTCCATTGACCATTAGTGGCAGGTGAAAGTCATACATGGCCACCTAGAGCAGGACATTTCTTTAGATCATCATGAAGGAATTTTGTTTGCTCATTATGACACTTTCATTTAAACCTGTAACCATTTGTCAGCCTTGTTTGTGCACATGGGCAGTTTACCCATGTGCTATGCTGAGATTTAAAATAATTTTTCTTTCTTAACCTTTTTAAATATATATCACAAAACTTTGTACAATCATTGATAACACAATAATCAAACAAAAGGCGATAGGTGAAAATCCATGAAGCAGTTACCTTATGTTAATTTTTTTCAAACATGACATAAAACTCTTAATAAAGGATTTATACCTATAAAGCCTCCCTTGATGCCTAACCCTTAATGATCTATGTATTGTTGTTAAAGTGTTCTGTACAGTCTGATGCCAAACATGACAGTGGGGAGAAATGCTGGGAGAATGCGGACAAAGTAAGAAGGATAACACAAATACAGAGAAAGCAGACAGCAAGCTCCCCCTGACTTATTCTTTTTTGATGGAGCTATTATTTGATAAAATCTTACCTGGGTGGGAGTGAAGACAAGTAAGCATTTTTTCGTCTGGCATCCCTGGACTTCAATAACACCTAGTCCTTGTTCCCTCTCTGCTTATGGAAATGCACAAAGGCAATTGTTAAAGAACTTGCACACAAGCTCATTTCAGTTGCTAAAAAAATAGCTTTTATCACAATCTGACAAACTACATACAAGTTACAGCTTGTGTTCACGACACTATGTAAAAACATGCAGTCCCCATGAAATTTGAAGGCTTTACTTTTAAAGAGAAGAAAATAAGAATGACATTTTGAAAATATTAAATTAAAAGAAAAAAAACTTTACATAGCATCTAACATCACATCATTGAATTGTTCAATGAAAATTAAAAGGAAATTTCTAAGGATTAAAGTGGTTCCTCGTTATATTGTGACTATCATATGTAGAAAAATACATATAATTCCATATATTTTATTTAATTTATAAATCACAGGACAATTTTTTGTGGTAAAAAAAAACATTTTCTAACCTGAAACATTCCAAAAAACTCTAGAAAATTAGAATGAAAAATATTATTAAAGTTAACAATGTAATGAAATTAATCTCTTTTATCATGTCCAAATACTTTAAAACCTTAGAACTGCTAAAGGGTGTATTTACTTTTTCATAAACAACTCAGACCCTGTGATGCCAATGCATACTTTCTGATGGCTGAGGGAGCTGGATGGAGAAGTCTGTGTATTCTGCCAGATCAAAGGTGATGTGCGCAGCGGCTGATGAGTGGTTTGTCAGAGTAAAAGGAACAGCTCGCTGAGAACCAGTGTGCACACCCCCAAACTGTACATTACCCTAAAAAAAGAGAATATTTAGGAACAGTACATGAGAAACTAACACCAATCACTGTTAATGAATATAAAACTGCATGGGAATTATACTTAAGTTTACATATGGACAAAAGCTGTAAATGACTATAGGTAGTTGGTATGCGTTCTTCAGAGCTCTGTATACTGTTAGAATTAATGCTCTTGAATTCAGATGAACCCTGGTTGCAAAAAACTGCAGATTCCCTTTGATATTTCCAAAATATTTATATTAATGCTTTTAAGGTATCGTCATACTTTATTTTTTTGTTCTTGGTCTTGAGGTTAAACTAAGTAGGTTTTTTCACTAAGTAAATTATCATTCATTCATTCATTCATTATCCATACCGCTTATTCCCTGATGCGGTCGCGGGTAAGTAAATGAATGTTTACTTAATTCTGTAAATGAAGGCTATATTTACACTGTTAACAGCGCCAAGAAATATTCAGTTCAGTTCAAACATATGAATAAATATTTTCTTATGCTGTTATAGGTATGTATGTAACGCTGGTGTTCTTTCCTTCTAGGGTAATTTGTAGAACTCTTACCACACTGACGCCGATATTTGGAGGTTCCACTGATCCACCCACTCTGAGCTCAATGGACTTCATGTTCCTCAGAGCTATCTGCAGTAGACAGAAAATACCTTCTGCACCCAAAATCAGACCATATTAAAGAGGAAATAAAGAGTCCAATCTCTCTCTCTTACCTTGACCACGGTGTCAAATCTGATGACAGAGTCTGGTGTGAATTGGATGTTAAGCATCGCTTGCCCTTTGCTTGGCACCACACCCTCAGATGGACTCACTGTCATGCCTGGCAGAGGGCATTCATCTGAAACCTGACAAACAAGGACACAAACATTTTGTGTCTTTGTTTTCTTATGGTTCTTGCTTCTTTAATGGAAAGTGACTGTGGAGTTATTGTGTTAGCAGCATATTTCTTATTCTAATAAGTAAAATCCAACATAAACCACATGTTTAAAAAAAACTCCATTGGTCTTACATTCATATTTTCAAGGTGTTAAAAGCTGATTGTGTTTTGCCCCTTGACCCTTTTCCCTTAGTGTCTGAAGGATTATGGGCAAAAAGAAGACCTTTTTATGTGTCTATATGTGAGTACCTTGTAGTAGGCATGGTTCTGGCCAGTGTTGTGTAAGACTGCGGTCCTCACAGAGGGTATGTTGAGAGAAATGGATGCAAACATGATACGCTTCTCAGCCAGCTGGATAGTAGTGGATCCAACCTGAGAGAAGAAACACAAAACTAAAGTAAATATTTTGCATAAATGTTTTTGTGCAATAAGTACACCACCAATTTCTCTTATTCTGGCTAATTGGAGAATAAGCACTATTGTCGATGGCACGATGCCATGGTCAAGATGTTAACTGTTGCACAGGTTTAGTGCTTTGAGAGCTGGAGTGAAAAAACTCAATAAGTTGAAGTTTAAAGAATGTAAAGAATTTCTAAACCCTATAAAGCCAGAAAAAGATATACAAAAAATGGAACCTTAGTATCTGAAGCCTTTTTTAGTTTCTTTAACAAAACAAATACAAATTTACTCAGGTTTTCTATCAAATTCAATAAATATTATCTGCAAATTTTCTTTATAAACCCAAAAAAGAAAGACCGGTGTATCGAATATGATACATATAGTGGAAAAGTGTTAATATAATCTTCCATCATAGGCATGAAATGATTTCATTCAAAGCTGCACAGAAGAAAGCACAGAAGAGATGACAAAAAAAACCTTACTCATTTAAGAGAGCAAACCTTGGCAACACAATGCAAGCGTTGTGTGACGCCATCATGGACACAGAGGTCAAAGTCTCCCTCCGTAGGGGAAGAGAAAGAAGGATGCCACACCACCTCACAGTCCAACTCCCTGTATGGCTCTACTGCACCTACACAATACGGGTTTAGATTTTTTTTAATCAACACAATTTCCATGATGCAGCTCTATCAATGAATAATCTTTCATTTAAACTCTCATTTAAACTTTCATTCATTTAAACTACTTTTTTAGGAAAATCACAACAAATACCATATTAAGGCTCTTTATTGTAGAGTTTCAATCAAACTAATTATCTCCCAATGATTTGTAATCCAAAAAGAACACAATATTATCAAATGTATATAAATCTAAATTAGTCCATTCCATACCATGACAATTAGAAAAAAAGTTTAACTAATGAAACCTGTAGCTGGTCGAACTGAGAACAAGATGCCATTTTCCGTGACAACAGGTTGCCATGTGAATTCCACAGCATGGCTGCACTGGTTTCGAAGGGTGACCGAATTCCTGTATCCTGATCCACAAAACATGGCTGGGGTAGGATGGAGCACCAGCAGGTTGGTAGACAGCTCCAGAGCCGAGGGGACAACCTCTGCCTGGACCACTATCTGACCAGGGTGCTTCTGATTTATAGAGTAAGACAAGGATCTGCAGAAAGGAAATATGCATTTACTCTACCCTACCTTTCAACATCTACACCAAGCAAAAGAACGGTAAACATCTTTTCATTACTATAGAGCAATAACATCCAGAATCAATACTTTTTTCACACATAGTTGGGGTGACACTTTCTGGTAAAAGTGTGACATTTGAAAAAAAAATGTCATGACTAATGCTTAATTTAGGACTCAGATATAAAAACTTAAAACTAATTTTTAGAACAAGTTTAGGTAAGTGCACTTCCTCTAGTAAATTCTATGAACAAGTATAAAATTTTGATCTACCAAATGGTTGAGCAGGAAGTTAAAGGGATAAGGGCAAATGTTGATTTATATGTTTCTTTGAAAAAAACATATCAAACAGCATCTTGCACTAACCTGTAAAAAGAGCCCAGTTTGTCACTCTGAAATGTCAGGGACAAGGATTTGCGAGAGCAAGGAGGCAGGATGTGCGAGACAGGTGAGGAGCCCTGCAGCTCGGGGCAGTCTGCCTCCAGCTGTACCCAGATGTGGAACGAGAGACGATTGACGAGCATCAGCGTTTGAACGTGCCCCCGCTGCACGCAGACAACGCCCAAGTCCACAAAGGACGGAACTGTTGAAGAAAGAGTGAGTTACTTTACCCATAGTCAGAGTAAAATACAGATTACCATAGTTTCGCAACTTGTTAACACTTTCACAAGTGTTTTATATTGGTCTCTTTCTGGAAAATGAGTGGACATTTCTTTCCAGAGAGATGCTAAATGGGAACTTGTAAAAGTTGTCCTTGATGGATGTATTTGTTTATTTTTCTCATATACTAACCCTGACGAACAAATCTGGAAAATCCAAGGTCATGAAGAAGGCAGAAACTGGCAATTTGCTCTTAAACACTCAAAGGTGATAACATACATCCTGCACATCCTCCTCCACAAGACATGCTAACATCAACCAGAAACCATCAAGAATTTTTTGTTTCTTTTAGCTCTGCTAAAACATCATCAACATCTAATAACTAAACACTGTTCCAATTATTTCTGTATGTGACTAAACCAGATGAATTACTGATCAGAATAACAGACTTGCCTATGTCAACTTGATAGAGCTCCTGGGCAGTCAGAGTCCTGTTACAGTCTGCCTCCTCTTGAGTGGTGGAAGGAACTGCATTCATCACCTGCGAATCCTTCCAAGAACACAACAAAACAGAGGCTGGTGTAAAAGGGTTTGCCTTGAAGTTGCATTTAAATTGGCAAAAACCACTGCCAAACTATTCAAACTAACTGAATGATTTATTTGGACCACCTTTGATTCGATTTGTGTGCTATTCCTTTGGGTGGTGGAGGTTAGAGAGAGGCTGCTTCTGGTTACTGAGAACCCACTGCCATTCCTACACTTCTCCAGGTCACTGATGTGAAGAGCAGGAGGAACGAGCCCATGAGCGGGAACAATCCCTATGTCGACATCATTTTCAGAGATTTCTTCTTCTCTAAAAAAGAGCAAAGCGACCTGTAAAAAACTCCATTGCCAAAGACTGAATTGTAGAAAAAATAGATAGGCATTCAGCTTTAACACAGAGTGATGCAAATAAGAACCTCTCCTTTATCCTCTTGAGTCGTGTTTGTCCAAGCTGTTGGAAAAAGTCTGTGTAAATCTGGCGATGTTGCTGTCTCCGCTTTTCCTCTTCCTCAGTGAAAGCGTAGCTGCCGTCCACATATCGATAACGAGGCACATCAGTAAAGATGGTCCTGAATATTATGGAAACACATTTGGACAAATGACAAGACTGTGCTCCATGCAAATCCGTCAGCAACTTGAAACTCAGTGGACCACATTAAAATATTTTTTACTTGTTTGTCTTTCATATAGTAAATTGTAGAGCTTTCTTGATTTAGAAACAGTTTTACCTATACTCTCTGTGTGGTGACGATGGCCGGTGGCTGGAGGCTCTATCATTGGGAAAGGCCAGGAACTCCTCTCCTACTGGGTTTTGACTCCTCGATCTTCTGTGTTTGTGGAGTTGTGTTTTATCGGCACCAAGCACGGCAGCACGCACCAATCCAGAATAACGCGCCAATTCACTACACCGAATATGAGGTCGGAATCCAAATGGATTGCTTATTCCTGCAGAGATGGAGGAGACAAAAACTAGTCAATACAACAGCGCATCTAGTTATTGATAAATGTATAGTGGATTCATTTATATTTCTGTAAGCAACTACACAACTTTCATGTCATATACTTAAAAACTTTTTATTTCCATGCTCACCAGGATTTAGATTAAGCGGGGGGCATTTCGTCTCACTTTGGCAGATGGCGAACAACAAAAGCTTGACAGTGTGGAAGCTGCAAACCCCGAGTTCAGTTATGTCCTCAGCGGTGTTGGCATCTCTCCGCAGAGCAACACAACCTAAGACGTCTATCTTTTGACGCACCCGGAAGCTCCCCAGTTGAGCTGGAGTGAATGTCAAAACGACATCCTTCCGGTTCCAACAAAAAGAAAAGAAATATGAATCATTACAACTCGCATCATTTTAATCAAACATCATCTCAAGACATCCATGCTCTCACCTGACTTTGTCCAGGAGGGATGGTTGCTGCAAAGGGCTGGGCAGTAAAGTGCGCAATTTTGCGGAAGCGGAAACTGACGGGAAGCTGAGGACAGCAGTTCTGGAGCACGCACAGGAGATCCGCACGTTGGCCTGTTACGCAGCTGGGGAAATCGAATTGATGGGAGGGACTGACCACCAATGACACAGGGAGACCGGAGCCCGTCACCGCCACCTCCACGCTGCTGTTGGCTAAGGAGAAAAAAACAGATTGATTCACTAATAAGGCAATGAGTGAGCTACATATTTGGGCTTGTATTTTTTTTTATCACAGTGCTGGCTCACAGCAGTGCTTTCAGTACCATTGCGGTGAGTAAAGCCATGCTTGGACCCCACAGAGTCAAACAAAAAGAAAACACAATAGTCCTGCCGATTCACTGAGTTATCGCTGTCAATCCTCCTGTCAATCAAAACATAAAAGGGAACACAACATGAAAAATTACTATTTTATTTCTTCTAACCTCTAAGTGTTTCTTATCTTTTTTAACAAAGCATGGATGTATTTTAAATGAACATTTTATTTGTTGCAATTACAAAAATAACAATCGATACCAGTGTTTCCAAACCTTGGAACCCTGCATGTATTCCGAGTTTCCCTGCTCCTTCACATCTAATTCAGATGGATGAGACACTTCTTCTGCTCTTTGAGCCCTGCAGAAGGCTGATGAAGACCCATTCATTTAAGTCAGGTGTGCAGGAGCAGGGAAACTCAGAAGACATCCAGTGCAGTGTGATATGAACAGCAAGTTTGGGAAACACCAGTCTAGACACTGTTCTAGTACATAGTTTTTTCTTGACTTGAAATTCTAAACTATTTATTTGGATTGTATTTCAACTCACTAACAGGCAATATACCTGTTGCAAATCGGACTGAAGCGTATATCCACTGTTGTTTTGTCATATGGACCCAATCGACCTTGTTTAGGCTCACAAACAAAAACCTGAGAGATGTCATGTGTGGCTGAGCCGTGCTTCTTCATTCTCTCTGCTAGGGCTGCATCTGTGCTCTTCAGGAGGTCAGCTCCCTGCACAATGATTGCGTTCATATTATCTATTCTTTTCTTTCATTTCCATCACTAGATAATTGAAGATTTACACATTTGTTTACATGGAGAATTACCCACCACTTCAGTTCCCGCAGCATTATCCTTGATGAGGCATACCCAGTCACATGCTTGGGGGGCATTGTTTTTTATAACCATTTTCTCCACGATGGATGTCCCAAAGTAGACAGGCCCGAACCACAGACACGACAATGGAGTTCCCTGCAAAGTGACACCGCATTTTACTTTACAAAAGTTGGAAAAATAAATCTTCCCGCAATGTCAGCCTTTTATAATCGATTATATCAATTTCAATTAATCTACCTTGATGTCAGCAACCTCCAGACACTGATTTACCACCTCGGCTGTGACATTTAGAGCTACAGTGGAATGATTCTGGAGCCTCACACTCAAACACAAAGCACACTAATGTTATTCTAAAATTCAGTTTGAAAGGTTAAGACTTTCTTTCATTTTAAATGTTGAAATAACGGTGCTTCAATCGTCGTTATAAAGTCTAACTTACAGAGCTTTCTCTTCAATTTTCCTTGGTCTATCTGTGCGCAGTTCCACTTTCAGCCACTGAGTAGAGCCAGCGGCAACGACTCCACTGGACGGTGAGAGGCTGAGTGAAGAGTCTCCCGAACTATGCTCAACTTGGAAGACGCCTTAAACATGACATCACATTCACGCATACACGCAGGCACACACAGACAAATTCATACAAGAGTTATGTTTATATCTGATGAATGAAAATCTATCCCAGGCAATGATATGAACAGGACAAGAGTCCGTTTCAAGACTTCGAAGCAACCAAAACACAACAATCTTCTCACATTGAAGAAATATACAGCAAAGTTTAACTTGTATGTATCACAGCTAGTGTTAGCAGGTCTGAATTAAAGAAGATAAATATATCATGCCAATGTAAGAGGTCTATGTATTTTTCAACTGAATGAAAAGTGGTTTAATTTACCAGGTGCTGATCCTTGATTTGTGATGGGGTGACGTTTGCTGATCACTTGACTACTGGCAATAACACAGCCAAAGTCTACTGCAGAGTCCATTACAAGAGAGCAGACCCTGGGTAAGCTGTAGGAAAAACATCGGCAATAACATGAGAAGGAGATGCAGGTTTGAGTGACGTGGGCATTTTAAGGTAGCATGACAGATGTGTAAACAGATATCAAGTAAGCTCACCCTAGCACTGGAACTTGAATGGTCTCCACATCATCTATAAGAATCTGAATGAAGTCCCTGACCTCCTCTTCGACTTTAGGGGTGAACTCCAGCATGCCCCAGACATACAGACCTGAGGCAACAGTCGCATCTCGGCTCAATGTTGTGAACTTGAACAACTGCAGGAAAAAAAAAGAAAAGAATCGAAACCTCTTAAATGAGGAATGACTCTTTAAACCTAATTTGTGTGTGGACATATAGACTGAGATATCAATAGTATCAATACCAGTCCAAGTATTGGTTGAAAATCAGCGTGATGAGATTTATGCTTTTATTGGAGTGTGCAGGAAAGCAATCACCACCAATTTGCATGTAAAATCAGTTCATCATCAAGAGAACTCTGTGCTGCAAGTAAAAGTTGAGGAGGCAGTGGGGGAAGAGAGGATTCCAAAACCCGAACCAGACCCTAACACAGAGACATATAAGTCTCTGGCAGATGTTATTCAGCTGTTAAAAATCTGAAATTTCCCAGTACTCTCCAGAATAAAGTCATGTTTTACACAGTGGATTTGGTGATCAGAGATGCAAATATTGGCAGATTTATTAGCAAACTATTATGATTTATTCAACCTGTTTATCAATATTATGCTGAACATAGCAACCCTTTTGTTAGGAAAATAATATTCTTATTCAGGACAAATGCAGATTATTATCTTAATAATTTTACTCAAGAAACATATTTTTCCATCATAACAATAATCAGCTTGTTAAAGGCAAAACCAGACAAAAAAGTGATTATGACATTTTAAACAAAATATCAGCGATGCTGGTCCTGTTTTTACTTGGCATCATGTCGATACCAATACTTCCATTATCATTTACCACCAATAAAGTATAACTGTGTCATGCTCGATCCTTTATAGTACGGTGCACTGAATTTAATTTTCAAAACAAGATGAGAAAACATAACAAAATTCCCAAGTCGTTACATCTTCACCTCAGGCATCAGAGAAGCTTACATCTAACTAAAGTCGAACCACCACTCATTGGGAGAAATTAAGTCTACAGGCCCATGATGCCGTGCTCTTTTTTTTTTCCTTTTTTTTTTTTGCTATCAAGCAAATGCACAAATACTGTAATTTATGTCGTAACGTTACTTAAAACACCACATATTGCATTACCTTCCGCGCAGGCTTCTCAATAATGATTTTCCTTGAGGTTTTGCCAATGTTTGTTACCGTGACGGATGTCCTGTAAACCTTGCCGACTTTCACATCTCTGAACTCTACAAACGGTGGGTCAACTCGAACACAACTTGCAGCCATAGTCAGGCTTTACTGTTCAAACTGACTTGCTGTTGTCAGGCCTATTTTTCTCGCACTAATAAAATATCACGTATTTAACTGAACATGTTTACTCGCATTCCGTTAGTCAACTTATCCGTTTCCACTCAGACACTGACAATTCAAGTGGTCGCTAGGCAACGACTCACTTCGCCACACTGGTGTTATGGCGATAGAAGAGGGTCAGAAATCACGTACTTCGCAATCCGTTCAGAACGTTATTTACCATGTTAGATAAAAGGCGCCATAATACTTTTACTTTTCACCCATTATAATTAAGAAACTATGCTGGAATCAACATCTGAATTTACCTGGAAAACAGATGCTTGCTTGACATTTGAGTCTTTTGATTTTATCTTACTTTTGAATTTGTATGTGCATGTCATGTTCTTTGTAGACATGGAAAGTTGTAAACGGTCAAATTTTGCAACCCCCAATAAAATAAATGTGATATTTTCTTTATTTTGCAAAAAAAGTGGAAAAAAAAAACCTTTGTATGATTGCTCCACCGTTACAAAACAAAATCGAACCGAAATCACAATTTCAGGAGAATAACATATCAAGTTTATACACTCAAACAAACCGACATTAAATCACAGGGCAATATAGCTATTTTAGAAAACGGCAGTACAACACTCCCATATCTCATCATCATAACTATTAGGAGGGGATGGGGTTTTCCCTGCAGTGGTCAAACAATTAGACTGGTGGTCTTTAATTGTAGTCTCTTCTGCATCATGTATGGAATCTGTGCTTGATGAAGACTCTGCTACAGGCTTAATACATAATTTTGTGCACACTTGGTTGCTCAGCGAATCTTGACACTCGCCGACAACAACTTTTCTCATTTCCAAACTGTCCAGGTTTTCCACCTCTGGAACCACCGTGCCACCGTTTGCGGCAGGTGAGGCCAGCTGGGCCACGCGGCTGACTGTTGTTGGTGTTTCTAATGTCTCCTTCTGAACTACCTTGTGCTCAGCAGTTCGGGTAGCCGGCGCACTTTGGTCCACTATCCCGGCCTGATTCTGAGGTCGGCTCTCCAGCCCAAAGAAGTTTTTGCGGACAACGAAGCGAACACATTGCAGGAGGACATTCCTCTCATGGCGGATGTCTGGGGCCAGCAGCTGCAAGGGAGAGAGAAAGATGTGAGAATATTACCAGAAACTGAATTAACAGGAAAATAAATTCTGAATCAGGACTATGAAATCTGAACTGTGCAAATGACTCCATACCATTTCTAATAGTGTAGGTCGACGTGTCTGTGATGCATGCTGATGTCTTCCTCCTCTGCCTCCTCTCCCTCCTCTTCCTCCTCTTCCTCTTCTGTTGTTCTGCGCATTAATGCCAAAATCAGGATGTGTCCCAGGCTGAGTCTTTGTGCCACCTGCTATGCTGTCCAACGATGTAAAGGGCCCACGGTCTTGAGAGCTGGGCGGCACTCTGCTCAGGATGGCCTGGTTCTCCTGAACTAGCTCGCTGGCTCTTTGAATTGGAGCGGCTACAATACAGTTAAACAGAAATATTAAGGCTCAGATAGAAATGAAAAGCAAACCAAACTGACAGTTTTTTTTAAATCACATTTTGCCCACAATTTTCAGGCTACTTGGGCATTTAGACATGCAATTGTGAATCTTGAGGGCAAATTATTACCAATCTAAACGTTTGTCATAATATGCGAAAGAAAATTAAATTCTATTAATATTCAAGGATAGCCTCCATCTCAGTAGCATTAGGTAAGATGTCAATTAGAATTAATATAAAGTCTGCAATGCTAATTAAGAAGACATCTAAGAAAACATCAATACACACACACACAAAAACCTTTCAGACCTGTCATTGCATTTGGATTTAATCAAGTATGTGTTCTGAAGTATGGCAAAAATTTTAAGGATGTCCAAAAACTACTGGCAAATAAATGTATTAGCTCACCCTCTGGCTCCTCATCACTTTCGCTCTCACTCATGGCGCCATAGTTGGCCAGGAGCGACCCAAGAGCTGAGCTCATTTGTTTCGGGGGCACAACCAAGCCACCTTTCCCGGATTCCTGAGCTGGTTCTTCCTTGTCAGATTCTGGCAGCACGTGGCAGAGAGAGACAGGCATAAACCGAATGGCTTCTTTGTGTTTTTTTGGAACAAAACTAAGCACCAGGAAGAACACTAAAAGCCTATCTGAACTTTATACACTGTACTAAACCCTTTATACACTCACCATGGTCACAGCTGGCCAGCATTCCCAGTGGATCCCAGTCCCTGGAGAACTGGTTGGTGGGTTTATTCATCTCTGTAGCACCGTTTTCTAAAGAGGAGGGACCCTGTGGGTGTCGTCCCCGGAACCCCCTATTGCACCACCCACGACCTCGACCTCTGCCTCTGCCTCTCATTCGCCTAAAAAAAAAAAAAAAAAAAACGGAGGGAGACATTAGTGCTGCAATTTTGTCTCTGGAGAAACATCCCGAGTGTCCAATGAGTGCAGTTCAATCACTGTCTGGGGGCCCGAAGATGCATGGCAATATCACAGTGATTTACAGTAGTATATTTACCCGAACTGAGCGGTTTCCAGAACGCCACCCGTCTCCTCACGCAACTCCACAACCTTTTTCTTCTTCTCGATATTTTGAATCGTTGGATAGTTTCTGCAAAAGAAAAAAGAAGCAGGCCAACAGTAACTACATGCTCCTGACTTGAGTGAGCCGAGCAAGCTCCATATCTAAAAGTCCTGATATTTCATGTATAACCCATTCCCATTTGGAGCAATTTCAGAAACTATTGGTGGAAACTCACTTGCGCCTCTCCTCTCTCCATTTAGAAATCTCCTCTGGTGTGTCCAGCTTAATTCTTTTGGCTCCCGGTGCATGGTTCTACAACATGGGAAAACAGGTATTAAAGGACGGCACAACAAACTTGGGATCCAGATTCACGGCCGCTTGTTTCACTTACATTTTTCCAGTGAATATTGACTAATTTTTCATGAGCCATGAAGCTACAGTCGGGCACAGAACACTGAGAATGACATTTGATTGTTAGCAAAAATACATGAGGATGATCCAATTCAATAGCATGAAAGCAATCTGAATACAACGAAAGAAGAGGAAAATACCTTCACATGTTGAGAAACATGTTCATTGTACTTGTCTTGGTTTTTGAATCCTCTGTCACAAGTGTCACAAAAATGGGGATATTCTGGTTCTTTCTTATTCTTTGCCTGAGGGTAAAAATAAAGATGAACCTACAATATTGCTGTATTTATTGTTGATAGGGAGCTGATTTTAAAAGTCACCTTTCTTCCATTTTGGTTAGATCCGTAGTTCTGTCTTTCACCTGGATATCCACCTTGATATGACACATGGCCAAAGTTCTGACCTAAAGACAAAAGGGCATGGCAGCTCATCATCAGTGTCTCAACTGGAACAGAATACCATTGAAGAACCGAGATTCAAGGCGGTCGTTGTAACACGGTTCATCATCTCCTGGTAATGCTGTTCAGAGGTCATTTGGCAATCAATATTAAATCCTTAATCCATGAAACCATGGTTGCAGTATTAGTGATCATCTAAAAAACGAGTGTTTCCATATGTTTTATACTCACTAAACGGGCGTTTACAGCCTGGGTTCCCACGGCCCGATTGGAAGCCGAAGCCAGGTCCCGCCGCTTCCCAGTTCCACCGGCCTGAACCACCGCCGGCCTGGTCCCGGCTGGGCTCGGACGGCGTGTCCGCCCAGGTCCACATGTTTGGGTGGAAGCTGGTGGCGCGGGCCTGCTGCTGGTGGAACGACTGGATAGAGCTCGAAGGAGGACAGTCAAAGTCCGGCGGGGGAAGGCGTCCCGGTTCGTTCATGTTGCTGGTCGACTACTTTCCACGCTTCGTGCGTGAATTTGAATCAAGTTGTCTACTCGAGTTTCAGGCCAATACGCACGCCTGACATGCGCATTTTTTTGATGGCGTTCATACCGGTTCGTACGTTTCCTACGTCACATCCGCAACTTCAGGAAGCCTCAATAATAATTGGAGAACTAGCCACACATTCAACGAGATATATTTTCATATATTTCAGATTATTTATTAAAAATCCCACACAACATACCTAACAGTTATTTTATTTACTTGGCACTTTACAGAAACACACGATTAGGAAGTTTCTCGCGAGATTTGAGGAAGCGGTTCTATTGTGTTGCCAAATCGGACTGTTGGAGAAAAGTTTGAGAAATATAACGTCTGTCTTCTTTTTTCCGTTTTGTTTGTGCAAATATTACGACGGCCTCACGGGACATAACAGAAGCTATAGAAAATATTTCTAGATTAATTCATTTGAGTAATTCGTAACAAAAGATTGTTCATGATAATGACAGTTTGCATTTTATTCTAACGATCACGTAACAGTCTTTAATGTTTATATATCCTTATTTATTATGTAAATCATTATTTTGAAATGCATTACATTTTCTTTTTAATCTTTATGCATTCTTTTTGTACTAACACATTAATAAACCTGTCGTTGAATTCAGCTGATATCCCCCTGACCTGGCAACCCAATTTCCTGTGGCTCTCACCCCCAGCGCATGTTTTAGGCAGCAGGCGGCGGCGTGGTGGTCAGGAGAGAAACACGAAGGCTCTCCACTGTGAGAGTACCTGAGCGAAAATAATCTAGCAAAATGCTCGTGTTATTTGAGACCGCTGCTGGTTATGCCATATTCAAAGTAAGTATCCCAAGTTAATGTCCGATATGTGAAGACAATATATTTGTACCAATCGAATGTTGAAGTTAGCACAGATTAGCCACGTAATTTGTGATCTAGAGCCCCCTTTTTGTTATTTTGTGTGTAATTATTGGTGGCGAAAAAATTAAATTGGTATAACTGTACGTTTGTGCGCGAATGTGTTAAATTATGTTTTTTTTTGTGTTCTTTTTGTTTCTTTGCTCCGCGTTTGCTAATGCTCAGACTACCTCAAAGCTAGCATAGTTTAGGGCCTGTTACCACGTGTGCGTGTGGAGGCTAATTTGTCTCTACTTTAGGATGGTTTCTGAGTTATGTTATACGTGTACCTGAAATAATAATGGTTACATTTCCAAAACGTCTTTTCGATGCACTCTGTTTCGGATTCGATGTTTTATTATTTGGCTACTACGTTTTTATGACCTACACGATTTTCTGTAAAGGTCCTCGATGAATCCAAACTGCAGCAGGTCGACAGTCTGTATAAGGAGTTTGAAACACCTGAAAAGGCCAATAAAGTGTAAGTATTTACATCTAAATCAAGTCTTGCCATGTTCAATCAACAACATACATTGAAAGAGTTGTCTTCATATGAGGTGGATTATGTAAATATTTATGATATCGATATTTTTGCCTTGCTTCGACAGAGTGAAGCTGAAACATTTCGAGAAGTTTCAGGATACAACGGAGGCCTTAGCAGGTATTGGCATGCTTCTTTATATGTCTGTGTTCACCAGAAATCTGTTGTCTATGATGTATATTAGTGTCTGATCAAAACATGAGGCACATCTCTCGTCACTACCCCTGAGATAACAAGATTTCCCCTCTGCAAGTAGCACATGGCAAATGATGCCTTATCCACAGGGGTTGTAAAAAAATTACCTGAAAATTCATCAGAATTTTCCCAGCCCATTTTTCCATAATGCACATTTTGAAGGCACTCTACCTAACTTCTCCCCATCCAGCTGCCACCGCCCTTGTGGAGGGAAAAATTGGCAAGAGTTTGAAAAAAATCCTCAAGAAAGTTGTTGCCAAGGAAGCTCACGAGCAGCTGGCCATCAGCGATGCAAAACTTGGAGGGGTTATCAAAGTAAGCATAATTTAGTGACTTATGCCGGTGTGGCATTGTCCTCTGAAAAGCTTGATGCTAAGCGTTGCGTTTACTACGATTTGCTTTACAGGACAAACTAGATCTGACCTGCGTCCACAGCCCGGCTGTGGCTGAGCTGATGAGATGCATCAGGGGTCAGATGGAGAGCCTCATTACCGGGCTCCCTCCCAAGGAGATCAGCGCCATGTCTCTGGGTCTGGCTCACAGGTTGGTACCGCTCCGGCGTGTGCGCCGCCGCCACCACCGCTGCCTGTGATTACATCCTTTAGCTGGCTGAAATGTCTCGTGAGGATATCCCTTCAGCTTTCGTCACTACCGCTGAGGCAGCGGTTGCCACGATGCTTTAGCGGCCTTACGTCAGAGAGTCTGAAATTATCCTTGTGACTCCTTCCTGTCTGTTTTCAGTCTTTCACGCTACAAGCTCAAGTTCAGTCCCGACAAAGTGGATACGATGATCGTGCAGGCCATCTGTGAGTGCTTTTATTTTATTTAAATGTTTTCTCCTCTTTATTCAGTACTTAGAATAACCCCATTAGCCTTATAAAGTCCAGTAAGCAGTGATAGCAAGCATGTATTTGGGGGTCGTCAGGTGGGAATAAAACGTGTGGAGTGTGCTCTTCACAAAAGGGCCATATAACACTTGTAATATCTTAGAAAAGCTATGTGGCAGCTTTGAAACCATAAGAGCCCAGAACGACATAGGTGTAAAATCACATGAGCATTTTGTATTCCCTATACTTTCCCTTTTGAAGGAATGATGGATGTTGGCTTCGTAAGGGTTAAACTTGGGACTGTTTTCTTTCTCGTAGGTCTCCTTGACGACCTGGACAAGGAGCTGAATAACTACATCATGCGCTGCAGGGAGTGGTACGGCTGGCACTTCCCCGAGCTGGGCAAAGTGGTCACAGACAATCTGGCTTACTGCAAGACGGTCCGCAAGATAGGTAAGAACAGCATGCACTTTCAAGGAGGGCTAAGTGGCTTCTGTCCAAAGTGTTTGTTTAACTCTTTAGCAAAATGTAAAAGCAAAACCAAATAAACGCATATGATTGACATGTTTTTTGTTTTGTTTTTTATATTCAATTTCATCACTGTTTCTAAGCATTTTAACTACAAGCAAAAAATGAAATATGTTACTTAGGTTTTTGTCAAAAATAATTTGAGAAAGTTTGATACAGGCCTCAGAAATCTACGAGTTAAATATCACAGCAGTGGGGGAAAAGATTTGTGACTTGTTTATCTCCTCTTTTTCCCCCCCTTTTTTTTATCAAAGATGTCAAATTTTAAATGCATTGAGAAAAAAATGAGAGAATTGGAGATAAGCGCCAAAGTCCGGTTAGAATATCTTCCACAAAGCAACTGAAGATTTTTTCTCAGACATAGGATAGCATTTAGTATATTCTGTATGGGCAAGCAAACGATAAGTAATTTTTGTTCTAAAAATAGAGAGAAAATCTGCTCTTTAAAACGATTTGAAAACCACATGGCTAAATGCCCTCACCATGCTCTCCGTTTTCAGGCGACCGCACCAATGTGGCCACCACCGACCTGTCTGACATCCTCCCCGAGGAAATAGAAGCGGAGGTGAAACTGGCGGCTGAAATCTCCATGGGAACGGAGGTGTCGGAGCAGGACATCGGCAACATAGGGCACCTTTGTGATCAGGTAGGTGCACGCCAAGAAGCAGGTTCTAGCTGTTCTGACCTGCTAGCGGAGAGTTTTTGGGAGTTTTCCACAAGTGTCTGCTCAGTTTGGCTCAACTCACGAGTCTGTCCAATCCCTCGGCCCACTGCAAGAAAAATGTTCAAGAGACAATCCTCCCTTCCAAAGAATTCCGTGGTGGCCTTAATGGTTGCAGTTTTGGCACCGAAAAGCAGGTTGTGATATCAGCCTGTTCACTTCAAATGGAAAACTAACTAAACCGAGTAAAGCTGAGTGGATACTAGTGGATACGCTCCCAATAGTGTCAGTGGTGATGATGACGACAGTCGTCGTTCTCCTGAAACAGTACATGTGGGTTCTCAGTCACTACCTCATCTGAACTGTCACCAGACTCCTGCTGCTCGTAGCGACGGAGCAGAGCGGAATGGCCTCTCTGGTTCTCACGCAGGCTCCGTCTCTTCTTCCCTGCAGGTGATAGAGATTTCAGAATACCGCGCTCAGCTCTATGACTACCTGAAGAACCGGATGATGGCGATCGCTCCCAACCTGACTGTGATGGTGGGCGAGCTGGTCGGCGCACGCCTCATCTCACATGCTGGTAATCCCCCCCCAAAAAAAAAAAATAGCAAAGACAGTGAGCAGAGCAGTGATGATATGGACGTTTGTCGTCAATTTCCTGAATTGTCCTGAAGGTTTTTAAGTCACTACCTCATCTGAGCTCAAATGAGGATTGAAATGAAGCAAGTCCCGTGGACAAAGTAGCAGACCCTCATTTGTGTTTTGTATTGTTGTCCGTTCAGGATCCCTCCTAAATCTGGCAAAGCACCCGGCCTCCACAGTGCAGATCCTGGGAGCAGAGAAAGCTCTTTTTAGAGCCCTCAAGACCCGCAAGGACACCCCCAAGTACGGTCTCATTTATCACGCTTCTTTAGTGGGTCAGACCACCGCCAAGAACAAAGGAAAGGTAAGGGGGTCGGGTCAAAGGTAGAAGAGAGAACATTTGAAAATGTGGTCCAAAAAATGGGATGAGAGGTTGTGCACTTTTTTTCCTGCGCAGATCTCCAGGATGCTGGCGGCTAAGGCAGCCCTGGCTATCCGCTACGACGCCCTCGGAGAGGACACCAACGCGGAAATGGGAGCAGTGAACCGCGCCAAGCTGGAGGCCCGGCTTCGGCAGCTGGAAGAAAAGGGGGTAGGTCCAACAGTGGGGACTGGGAAATAAAATAGCCCTCTATTAATGCAACATCAATCCATTATGTCACTGATCTCTGCGGCGCTTTGAATCTCAGATCCGAAGAATAAGCGGAACTGGCAAAGCAACGGCAAAGGCGGACAAATACCAGCACAAGAGGTGAGGACTCTGCTTTGTAGAGACGGGTCCTTTATAATCTGTTGTTAGCCACCTATTGACCTGTGTTTCTCCACTTCTCAGTGAAGTGAGAATCTACGATCCCTCTGGGGATTCCACCATTCCCTCCACGTCCAAGAAGAGAAAGTTTGAGGAGGACGAAGACGAGCCGGCGACGCCTGCAGTGAAATCCAAAAAACCCAAAAAGGAGCCAGAACCACAAGGTAGGTGAACCTCTCCCATGGAGACCCTTCCATCCTTTGGAATGTTTGATTCTTAAGGTTTTTTTTATGGTTTTCCATGTGCCTTAGAAGAAGAGGAAGCAGAAGCAGCAGAGGAGGAAACTCCCAAGAAGAAGAAGAAGAAAAAGAAGGAAAAGAAAGTTGAGGAGGAGGAGGAAGAGGCAAAGGATGAAGAAGAGGAGGTTCCTGTCACTGAGGTAGGTGTAATAATGTATTTATTGCAGTTTATTTATTTATTTATCCTTTTGTTCTTATTTCTCTAAACTGCTTCTTTATCTCCAGTCAACAGAAAAGAAGAAAAAGAAGAAGAAGAAGAAAATCAAAGAGGAAGAGGATGAGTAAAGAGTTGGGACAGCGTGTGTGTATATATTTTAGTTTTTGTCAATACAGTTTTGTCATATTTTTATCTTTCTAAAAGACGAGGCTCGACTCGGCTTTTTTTTCTTCTTTTGATTTAAACATGTTTTTCAGGAGGAAAATCATCAGACCCCATTTTATCCAAATGAGGAGGAATTTGTTCTTTATAAGTCTTATTTTAATGCCCTGTAATCAGTTATCCTAGAAAAATATCCTGTCCTGTTTGACAGATTTTTTTTGTTTTGTTTTTTTGTTTTAAGATATCTGTATCAGACAACATCAACAAAGAGAAATGGTTAATAAAAAATATTTCCCTGTCACTTGTAATTTTTTTTTCTTAACTTTGAGGTGATACCCATAGTTATCTGAAATGTGCCATATTGTACATTTCTCTTTAAATAAAAGAAAAATGGATGTGATAATTTGATGGTTAATGCACTGCCTGGAATGAAGTATATTAAGCCATTGATTTTATCACACACATTTAATGTATTATGAGCCTTTTTGAGTTTAGCGTAATCTAATTATAGATTGTTTTTATCTGCCATGTAAATGGGGCTGGCCCAAGTCACCAATGGGCCCTCTATACACCAGTAATACTGATCGAGCATTCACAAACCTACAATAAGATACATTTTCTAACCTGTTATTGGGAATATACAAGCAACACAGAAAATGTTATTTATGTGTTCACACTGAAATGGGATTGGGGAGGCTTACTCTGGCAATGAGCAGCCTTGATTTGTAAAATACTGTCAAGCAGTGCAACTCTGACTAAATTAAAGACAATAGTGTACACAAAAAATAGGATGGTATTGACCATAATATTACTAGAGACAAGATGTACAGATGTACCCACTACCTATGTGGCCATCCAGGTAAAAATAAACCTATTTACCAATAATAATGAAACAACCAAATGTTTAAAAAAAACAAACTTAAAAGAGCCAGAAGGAAGTAAAGGTAGGATACCTCCTACTGTTGACATTAAAGTGTTAAATAATTATACAAAAATTAATAAAGAGGAAAACATTATATTGCTCTTTTTACCCTCCCAATTTGAGGTGTTACTCTTCATTGGCCAATTATATTTACATACAAGCTATCTGACGTAGTTGTTGCAAAGAACATGCACTGTACATGAAAAAGTAAAGAGTCTGAGGAAATGTAAAGTAAAGATAAACACAAATGTGACAACACTGACTAAGAATACAACTCAAACTAAAGTTTATATGAACTAAACTTATTTTTTATACAACCTCCTGAAAACAACATTGGAATTTTCTATCTAAAAATCACCTATTAATGACAACTTCTCCCAAAAAAAAAACGGAGACAGATTTTATGGCTTTAACAAGTTTCTAGACATGAATAGACGAGCACCCATCCATCTGACGATCTGCACTCAACTCACCAGCCTGGCCCCTTCACCACATGGCAAGTGGAGCAAAAATAGTAGCCGTTAACTGAGGGTGTTTTTGGGAGCCTGTATTTGGTAATTAAAAAAAAATATTCCAGCTAAGAAAATGTCCCAGTTACAGGCGAGGTTCTTCACAGAAAACAAAAGGTGAGACCACTCTCTTTATGGAAAAATGGCAAACGAGGAAAAATGCTAGCTAACTAGCTAGCTTCAAGTGACTGGAAAGTTGCCTTATCGTGGGAAATCGCTTATGACTTTTACTATAGTCAGTTGATTTTTCCATGCTAGTAATCCCTAGGATTTGATAATGGACCTGATGCTATTGCTTGATGTCGATTTGATTGATTTAATTACTTTTTTAGCATAGTTTCTCAAGCTAATGCTAAATTTGAACTGCTCTTATAATTTCCATACCGTTTTCCTTTTGTTATTAGTGTGACACGGGTTGCTTGTGTTGGTGAAGCATTTGGTACCAGTTAAACTTGGTGTTTCTTTCAGATATGTTGTAGATGACGTCCCGTTCTCCATCCCAGCGTCCTCTGAAGTGCAGGACCTCAGCAATGTTATCAATAAGCTGTTGGAGGCAAAAAATGGTAATCCGCCTTCATTGCAAACATCAGTGTTTGGCACACACTTATACATGGTCCAAATGATGCCTGTTCTTCCTACATTAGATAATGCCATCAACATATTCATTTTCCAAGTTTCTGTTATAAATGACTTATAGAGGACATGGTTAAATTCAGATGTGTAATACAAGACTATATTTGTCTGTTTCCATAGTATCTCACAAAAAAGTGGATTTTGACTTCTTGGTCAGGGGTCAGTTCCTGCGAACACCTCTGGCTGATCACATGGAAACAGAGGGAATATCAACGGTATGACCTGCCTCTTCTTCAGCCAGAGAGGATTCATTATAGGCTTGTCCCTGATGTTCCCTTAAAAGCTGACAGTGCTCTCTGTCTACATGGTCAAACTGTCAGGAATGTGAGCGACACTGAAGACTGAGGCGCGCGACTCTTACTTGTGCCTGCCTGCCTTTCAGGAAGATGTGGTGGAGATCGAGTACGTAGAGCGGATCACAGCCCCAGAGCCAGAGGAGTGCATGATGCACGATGACTGGATCAGCTCCGTAGACGCCGACACTGAATGGTAGAGTCATAGAAGATACACTAAAGGAAAGAGTTTGGCAGAGTTCAGATTTCTGCTTGCAAAAATAAGTTTTTTTTTTGTTTGTTTAGTTTATTCTAGGTTAGACTTAAAGAGAGGTGTATTTAGTGTTGTAACAAACAGATGGGTTGGATGCTGATTATCGGTTTATTATTATAAGTTACCAGTTGATCTCATTTTTTTTGTTTGACTGTTTTTTCAGGATCCTTACCGGGTCGTATGACAAGACCGCGAGGATATGGTCTGTGGAGGGCAAGGCTGTGATGACAGTGGCTGGGCACACAGACGTGGTCAAAGATGTAGCCTGGGTCAAAAGAGGTAAGTTAAGCAACTGTTCAGGACGTACCCCCACTATAAATGAGGGGCCGACGTCTTTATATGTTTTTTATCCTTTTGGCATAGATGGTCTGACGTCTCTGCTGCTGACGGCCTCTCTGGATCAGACCGTGCTGCTGTGGGAGTGGAACTCCGAGAGGAACAAAGTGAAAGCCAGACACTGTTGTCGGGGACACACGGGAAGTGTGGACACGGTTTCAGCTGACCCCACAGGCTCAAAGGTAAAAAAATAGAATAAAATAAAAAGGAAGAGAGAAAAAATTAAACTTGACCAAAAAAAAGGCTTGAATATTTGCCTCAAACATTGTCTGTGTTGCACCTCATCAGTTCTGCAGCGGATCCTGGGACAAAATGTTAAAGATCTGGTTGGCATGTAAGTGCACACTTGTAGAAAAGAGTCATTACAGCATCAGTTTAACAAGTTTATGTAATAAGTGTGCTATCTGTGGCGCCAGTGCCCTCAGATGAGGCCGACGAGGTCGAGGAACCCGCCGACAGACCAAGAAAAAAACAGAAGACTCAGCAGCTGGGGCTGACCAGGGTGAGTACATAACAGGGGTGAGATCTGGAGGTAATGAGTTCACTCTCACCTGCCCTCCCCCATTTTCTGGTCCTGACGCAGACCCCCTTAATGACGTTATCGGGGCACAATGAGGCGGTGTCCTCCGTCCTCTGGTGCGACAGTGATGAGGTCTGCAGCGCTTCCTGGGACCACACCATCCGGGTATGGGACGTCGAGACGGGAAGAATGAAGACCACACTGGTGAGTGATGCTTAAAACAGATTTTTTTAATATATCTATATGTATGCTTTTTACATTTTTTTAATTTGGTTTGGCATGTTGCATAAGGCGTTGTATTGTCTATTTTGGCAGACGGGCAGTAAAGTGTTCAATTGCATCTCCTACTCCCCTTTGTGTCGACGGCTGGCCTCAGGCAGCACCGACAGACACATCAGGCTCTGGGACTCTCGAACTAAAGGTACCACTGTGGCCACAGATACTTTCAGAGTCAAGACCTTTTCCTCCTCTCGCCTCCCACACTCACCCCTTTCCTTACCAGATGGAGCTCTCGTGTTGCTGTCTCTGACCTCGCACACCGGTTGGGTCACGGCCGTGAAGTGGGCACCGTCACATGAGCACCAGCTCGTCTCTGGCTCTCTCGACAACCTGGTCAAGCTTTGGGATGTCAGAAGGTCAGGAGAGATATTACCTGAATGCTTTATACAGTTTGTTGGGTTTTTTGTTGTTTGTTTTTGGAATGAACTTCTCATTAAAGGTATCTCACTTGGAGTAATTCAGTGAGACTTAGCAAACTGTATTGGAATCTTACCATCTTCAGGGCTGTATTTGAGATTATTCATTCTTTTTCTGTTACTTTTGCTAGATTGTTAGTTGTTCATGCAATGAATTATTCCTGAAGGGGGCTATAATTTGCATTGTGTTTTATCATCCCTTTAGCTGTAAGGCCCCATTGTACGACTTGGCAGCCCATGAGGACAAAGTATTTTGTGTAGACTGGACAGAAAGCGGGGTAAGAAAAATGATCTGTTTTCAGATTTCAATACATCAGTACAGTTTAGGCAACAGATGTCTTACTTGCCGTGCCTACTCTCTATTTTTCAGCTCATGTTGAGCGGGGGAGCAGACAACAAGTTGTACACGTACAGATACTCTGCTGGTCCGACGGATGCAGGGGCATAGCCAAGTCTGAAGCATCTGCCAAAATACAGACACATTGGAAGACCGGATTAAAAAAAATCCCTGTCATCAATCTCGGCCGTCTGAGTCGTTTCCCTGTTTTTTTACACATATTTTCTTAAGGCTCCTCTTTGTTTCCCTCTTGTCCAAGCACATTATAAATTAATTTTGCTTTCTCAAATCACGTCTTGTTGCCTTCTTTTCTCACCACTTTGGTTTATCTAAACAAAAAGAAATGCAATGGATTTCAAAAGCCCAAACAGGAAAAAAACAACCAGGAAAAATATGTTTTTGTCAGACAGGTTTTGCACATTCCACACTTCCCACTAGCAGTTGTTTAACACTGAACTTCCCCATGTTTGTTTCCTGTGAAAAACTTGTCTTGGAGATAAGTGGATTTTTTTAGGTGAAAAGAAAAAAGAGCTCTCACTCCTCTTGTATATCTGTACACACAAACTATATCTGTTAGCTGAAATAAGCACCAGTTATTCTAAATGACAAAATTCACAGGAGGACTACATTAACTCTATGGAAATCCATCCTCTGAGTTTTTTACTTGTAAACGTGGGACACTGAGTACTATATATAATATATATAATATTCAATTGGCTATCGTTCGCCTGCATAACAGAGCGAGATCAGATGATAATAAACGATCTTTGAAAGGTCCCAGCGAACAGCGGCCTCTTGTGGCCTGACAGCGTACAGCAGCTACTTTGCATATCCTGCTTCTCTGACTCAGATGATGGCTATCGGGAGAGGAGGCTAGCCCACTTACGCTCTGTAGATGCTTGCACTGGTGTACAAAACTAAAAACAAGGTAATATTTTTTGTTTGTTCTATTTCAACCAAATGTGAAATCTGTATAGAATAAAAGAGTTCAAATTACGGGTTTATGTAGTGCTTATGTAATGCTCGCAAGACGGACGAGCTACTAGCTTATTTGCCGCTAGCGCACAAGCTTCTTTCAGTACGTGTATTTAGACTCTTTATCGGTTGCCGGTTAACCTATTCCTCTTTTACCATCGCACTCATTAACTGGCCCCCTAAAACTGATAAATATTCGAGTGACAGCTCGCTGTCATCTGGAAACACAACACCTTCCTGACATCAGCTGCTTCTCAGCTCCGAGTCGTTTTCCAAGTCGCAGGTGTCCGGTGCCTGTTCCGTGAACTGTATTAGAGCAGGCTTTTTAGCCTTTGGCGGTGATGAGATTAGTCCAGCTACAGGTAACGGTGATGAGATTAGTCCAGCTACAGGTAACCTATAATGACGGTTCGTAACTTCATTATGGCTCACTTTGTGGAACATCTGTCACTGGTCGGCGGTGGCAGGTGGCAGCTTGCCTGCAACAAATTGACCGAGGAAACCGGGACGTGTTGCCATTTGCTGTACAACTCGTTTAATAATACACCGCCACCTCTATCAGGTCTAAACTTTCCTTCAGCGCCTTACCCCCTGTCTGTTGTATTCCCCCAGAACATAAAACACCGGACAGTTGACCATGGATGGGTATGTAACTGCCACATGCGAAAGTGCATTTCCTAAAATCCTTAGGATGTCAAAGATTGTGGGTGTGAGATGTGAGAGATGTTGCCTTTGGCTCCAGGTTTGCTGGGGAGATGCTGAACAGCGGCAGGGCCCTGCTTGGCGAGGACAGCTCGGTGATGGCTCGCATGCAGAAGAAGTTCTGGAAGACCAAGCAGGTCCTCATCAAAGCCACGGGCAAGAAGGAGGATGAGTATGTGGTGGCTTCGGACGCAGACCTGGACGCCAAGCTTGAGGTAACATCAGGAGATGGAGCATGGAGCATCTGGTGGGAGGGTGGAAGCACACTACTTTGTATTCAACGGCTCATAATTGGTTATGGATATTAAATTATTAAATCTTAAAGTTTAGCCGGCAATTGTGGTCAGTTTCCACCAGTCATAGATTTCAGAGAGTCATTTTGTATTCATATTGACAATAAACAACATTAGAGTTTCCCCTTTTTCCGTTTTACACATGCTGCACTTATAAACACAAGTTTCTGTCATTTCTATTAGTGAGAGACATAGGAGGGTTGCACTGGATGTCAAGTAACACACTGTGAGCCTTTTGTAAGCTTTGAAACAAGACCGGGCCTCCCCTCATCTCGCTCTCATTGTCCCAAGAGAGAGACTTCAGGAAAGAAAAGAAAAAAAAGGACAGTGTTCAAATGAAGAAAAGTGCCTCCATGCTCAGGGAGAAAAATCCTCATAGGCCATTCATTACTTATTAAATTTGTTGGTTAATATGTAAGGCTGCTTACTCTATGTTTCTCCTATTTCTGTCTTTAATTTCCCCAAGCACCACAGGGCATTAGATTGGTAGTAAAACCCACTGGGGTAGATTGCATACGCCATAGCTTCAAGACAGTAACCGTACATCTAACCCGTTTTCATCCCAGCACTACCTTGCTTCATTTGTAGATAAATGTGTGTGTGTGTGTGTGTGTGTGTGTGTGTTTGTGTGTGTGTGTATATACTGTGTATATACTGTATATATACGTATATATTTTTTTGACCAACGATATGCAAGTTTTCTCACCTTCAGCTCAAAATATTCCCATTAATTCCCATAACTATCCACTAATTTCCATGGTAACCTTAAGCTCGAACAAATGTAGGCATGGATTTGACCTTGTTTTAAATTCTTTTGCTACCACTGCTATTACACAAATAGCAGTCCCTATTAAGTAAGCATGATCCCAGTGAATCAGTCAGTATTTCTCATCTCATCAGCTCGCACAGGAGAGGGGTGCCTGTGTATTGACAGGTGTTTTCCCTCTGCTGAGAAATAATGAGTTTGCAGTTGTTTATTCTACTGTTAATGTGTAACTATGCACATGTGCAAGCAACCTCCTCCCTGTGGTATCATAGAGTCTCAAGAGTTTGTATGAAATTATTCTAGCCTTGTATTTCCTTTTTTGATTGTTTGGCTTTTGGTTGAACCAGTGACGTCCCCGATAATTTTCCTGGGGAAACTGAGGCATTTATTAAAACATACCCTGCAAAAATAAAAAAATTCTACGATGGTTGCATATTTGAATATTTCCAATTTTCCCAAGCTAAGGTTTCCCATGGAAAAATGTATGATCTGCTTTAACATGTTTTCCCTTCTGAAAAGCATGATCAGCCAACTGAGAGGCACTAGAAGTTTTCAAGCATTCATTTCTACCTCTTTGCATCCATATTTGCCCCTCATGAGTCATAGCAACAGTCATTTTCGTCTTCAGCCTGCTCTAAAGGTTAACGCGACTTTTGCAGCTCCCCTTCCCTTTCTGTCAGACAGCCGGCAGAATTAGAGGGCCTTGAATCGTCCCTGTTGCTAGGGGACACACTCACCAGTTAGTCCCAGCTGGCCTCCACTAGACAGGCTGAGCGGCAGGTGACTGCCAGACAGATCCCACAGGCTTCCTCATGGCAAACTGTTTAGTCTTTTCCAAACGGCAGAAATGCTTCAAACAGTGAGGTAGAGGTCTCCCCCTTCTCATCGTTTCTCTTTCTGCAGTTCTTCCGCTCCGTTCAGTGCACGTGCACGGAGCTGCTGAAGGTGATTGAGAAGTACCAGAGCAGAATCACACGTGAGTCAAACCCGCTCACCCCACAGCGATTCTTTTAGGAACCTCCCGCAGTAAAACACTATGCCTGACCTGTTGGATATGTGCGGTGGGATTTCCATGGGGTGCTGTTCCCTGTTAGATGTTATCTCTCTGAACAGCGGCCCGGCGTGCCCTTCCCCTCAGGTTTGTCTCAGGAGGAGAACGAGCTGGGCCTGTTCTTGCGCTTCCAGGGGGAACACGACCGCACGAAGGCTGGGAACATGATGGACGCCACCAGCAAGGCGCTTTGCACCTCTGCCAAACAGAGGTCAGCTCAAGCCAAAGATTGTCACTGTACAGCTTTCACATCACACAATGAACCGGTCAACTGTCCGCCTTTTTCTGGACAGTAGTGAAAAAAAAAGATTGGCAGTTAATTTGTACCTGAAGTAAAAGTGATTGGCCTGTAATCTTTCATGCTGTTTATGGCGGCTGCTCTCAGGCAAGAAGGGACAGTGGCCTGCCTCAGGACGGTGCTAGAGATCCTCATCAGGACTCCCGATACCTCTCGTTTAATTGAAAGAAAGCAACACAAGTTATTTTTCCGTATTCACCATAGGATGGCGCTTTGCCCGCCGCTGCGCCGCATGCATCAGGAAGTGGAGACCTTCCGGCGGCGTGCAATCGCTGACACGTTGTTGACGGTCGGCCGCATGGAGAAGGCCCGCACGGAGTACCGGGGAGCCCTGCTCTGGATGAAAGACGTCTCTCAAGAACTGGACCCGGACACCTACAAACAGCTGGAAAAGTTCCGCAAGGCAAGGAAAGGGTGGACTTTTTTTTTTTCCTCGGCTGTGTCTGTGTCTAATGTACGCGCCTCCAAATCCCTCTGCCGTCAGGTCCAATCTCAGGTCAGAGGAACAAAGAGCCAGTTTGAGAAACTGAAAAACGACGTTTGCCAGAAGGTGGACATGCTGGGAGCAAGCCGCTGCAACATGCTGTCCCACTCCCTCTGCACCTACCAGGTACAGCAGAAAAGCAGCTCTGTGATAGACCACATAGAAACTCTACAGTGAGGGTAATGACACCGGACTTTTCTAGGCCACTGCTGGCTGTCAGAGACAGAAGCTGAGCTAACAGGAGCAGCAGCTTTTCCTCTGCTGATCTGTAAGCAGTGGTCAAGTGTGCCTGTGTGTCAGCCCTCTTGGATTCAGAGGATCACTTGTAGTTAAAAAAAAATAATCATACAACAACTAAACGCTCTAAAAACTTCAATGGAGGAGGTTAGAGGGGGCATTCTAACAGCTGATTTTGGAATAGCACCATAGAGAGTTAGGAGAACATATGTTTTAAACAGCTTTTCACTGTGGTGACTGCTATGCACAGAAGGGTTTGGTTAATGTTTCTTTAATTTTTTTTATAATGTCAGACCACACTACTGCAGTTTTGGGAAAAAACTGCCCACGCCATGTCAGGGATCCACGAGGCCTTCCAGGGACACATACCATACCAGTTCACTACCATCAAGGTAGCTTAACTGAAAAATTCTGATCAAAATGCCTAAAAGATGCTCACTGTTTTGTGGCAGTATGTCTTTAGAGCGAGTCTTTATTACAGGACCTGCGGGATCCGCTGGATCAGATATGTGACTCTGAAAAACAAGAGGAGAGGAATGAGGATGCTTTGCAGAATAACACAGACAGGTGAAAAAAACAGAAACATTCACATTGGCATAATTACACCACAACAAAGACAGACGTGCTGCCATGGCTTTGCACACAACATCAGGAACAAACCACCCATTTGTTCTTTTGTTTTCTGTGTGACTTGTTGGTTTAATACCAACAATAAACAGATTTCCTTTGAGGTGCCTCTGTTATGGAATATAGAAAATGGAGAACAAACCCACACACATACATTTGGTCTCATCCATTGTCCCTTCATATAGTCTCACCTCCCTGGCTCTGTTTTTGTTTTTTACACACCCACCTCAGCTTTGTCTTCATCAAACACGAAGCCAAAGTTGTGCCCATTTTTACACACACGTAAGTTGGTGTGTTGCAGATTTTCTGCGTTGTCATGGCGACTGGTAGTGAACCTTTATTGTAGTTTCTTGCCTAAGAACCGTGCTCCCCAAATCGCTCCTCAACACAGCAGCTCCAAGTGAGAGAATAGCCTGAGTGTTGCTATAAATAAATCCCTCCCCCTGCTCTCTCAGTTTGGTGTCCTTGGATGATGACAAGCCACCAGGAAGTGCTTCTAATGCAGGTACGTGCTGCCCTAAAGCAGAGCAGTATTATAGTCCAAAACAGGTGTCATTTGATCTATACCCCAATGACATGTTATTTAGTCAAGTCAAGCTCTCAAGTAATATCTGAGTTTCCCTTTTTTCAGACCTCACCCTCAGCAGTGAAGGGCAAAGCCAGGCCAGTGAGAGCGGTGAGTGACTGTATGTGTGTGTGTGTGTGTGTGTGTGTGTATGTGTGTGTACTGATGTGTACGTCAGGATTGTTGCCACAAACAATTTAAATGGATGGATGGTGGATTTATTATTTTTTTAAAATGTAATTATTTGATCATGTACCTGATCGCTATGACGACCACTTCAGTATTGCACGACCTCGGAAGGCTGTCCGCCAACTCCAGCAACGACCTGATGGCCATGGCCTGCAACATGCCGCACCCATGGTCCCCGTCCCCAGCAAATCCCCCGGTCCAGCGCCCCCCTGATGCTGGAGGCCAGAGCGAAGGCTGTAGCTTTGCAGAGCTGGAGTCCACCGGTAAACTGGCTGCCTGGCCTTTGTTTGGTCCGGCTGCAGGACCAGACTGTCTCCTTCCTGTCTTTGTTCGCTTGTGACAAAAGCTCAGCTTAAGATTCCTGTTCCTTTTTCTGGCCTTTTTCTATTCGTCTGGCTGGTGGAGGGGTCTTTGTTTCTGACAGGGGTGTCATGCTGTGCACGTCGTGGCAAACCGTGGACTTTCCGGCTTATTGAGACCATGCAGATTTTTCTTGTGACAAAATGAATAGTCTGATCCATAAAGGGCAGATTTCTCAAAAGTGGATTGAAAGCATATCAATGTGATTATTGATTTATATGTGCCCGCTTTCCACAAAAGTAATATGAGAGTGACATACAGAGTGGGTAAAGGAGGGAATCTGTGTCTGCTCCCCCCTGCAGGAAGTGGCCTGCTCTCCGATGGCCTGTCACCGGCCTCTGAGGCGAGTTTGAAACGGCAGGAGGAAGATGGCGAGCGGAGCGACATGGCTTTCCTTAAAGACCTCCTCAGCCCGGGTCCAGGGGCCAGCGACGAGTTCAGCAGGGAGTGGCAGGATGCCTTTGGAATATTCGACTCTCCAAGTGTCCCCACAGCCAGCAGCGGTGCAGCTGAAGTGGCGCGTGCAGGCTCGAACCCCCCCAGCCCCACGGGCTTTCTGCCATCCCAGCTGCTGGACCACAGCCTGAGCTCCACAGGTCAGCACCGAGCCCTCTGCTGGACGCAGGAACTCACTGCACCACCCTCAGTCCGGAGCGTCCAACAGTGTTTGCCACATCTCTTTGATTGCATTTTTTCCATTTTTGTTGTTTTTTTTCAGGTTGGGTGACCCCACCAATGTTCCAGGCTCCACCCCTGCAGACCCCCACTGGGCAGAACCCGACAGCGCCTCAGACTCCAAGTTCAGCAGCGAAAGGTATAAGCTCTCTGTCCCATTGTTCTGGCTCTGTGAAAAAGCAGTATTCTATCAATGCGATTAGACTGTGTGAAATGCCAGGCACTGAAAAAAGTGACTAATACCAACAACTCCTTCGTTTCAAACATCTGCCATAAAGCACTGAATGTTTACTGGACTGCATGTCAGGCTGCTACGTGGCAGTCGGTCAAAATGCTAACTGATCAAGATGATTTCACAATGTCAGCATGCTGGGGCTCATTTTGCTGTTCACAGAGCGCGTTTGGTTGTATATTTGGTAAGACCACATTGCCCATCCATAGAGTCCAGTAAGCCGTTGGTCCATCTTTGCACTTGAACAGTTTGAACTCAACTGGGAAGGCTGAACACAAGGTTCCGGGGTGTCTTTATGGGACATTTTCACTATTCTTCCAGAATCACTGGGAAGCTCATGGTGAAGCTCCTTACGTGTCTTCCTTTAGCTAATCTGCAGGCTACATGAAGTTTGGACTGACGAGGTGGAAAGTTGGTGACCTCTGTGCACGCTGCTTCTCAGCATCACGCTGGAGTTCACAGAGCTCCGGGGAGCGAGTCATTCTTTACCGAATGTTTGTAGAAAGCAAACAGACTGCGTCCTGAGGAGCGTGACTTCATACATGTGCAGCAAGAGATATTATTGTGAAACCGGGCTTTTGATTATTTGGAAGGGTGATAAAATACCTTTGGTAATATAATCTCTGTCTCATTGTATAAAGTGAGTTCTTTTTTTTTTCTGTTAATCATTTTGTCTGTTTACACAGCTGCCTCAGGAGGGTCCAAAGACATGTCTGCCTGGTTCAACCTGTTTGCAGACCTCGACCCCCTTTCCAACCCCGACGCCATTGGACGCTCTGCAGATGAGCTTCTCAACGCCTGAAGTCCTTTGTGGGCGTGCAGCAGGTTTTCTTGCTTCATTTTATTGAGTATTTTCTTGTTCTGCAACTCTTTATTTTGCCAGCGGAGTAAAAGGCACGCCCCGCTCACAGCTGGATCTGCGTCTCTGTTTCAGGGGGAGCTGTGTACCCACATGCAATAAAGTTTCAAAACACTGCAAGGTTCCATTTCACACTGTCAGCTGAGATGATTGTTACACAGTGCTCCTCGGCGCCTCTGAAACACTGTACAAGACTGTTAAACACCACCTGCAATGCCGCTTACCCATGCACACGCCAGATCTCATGCGCTGTGTGCTCTACCTGTTCATAAGCGCAGCTCCTGTCAAGCAGAAAGAATGTATGGGCTCCACATTTGTTTTTGAGGTGTTTTTGCATTTGATACATATTTGATTGTTTTTCCATTTCTTATGTGGGCTGTTTTTGTTTGCTGTGTACATATCACAATTAACTAAGGATGCTTTTTCTTTTTTTCTCTTCTTTTTTTTTTCCTACCACCTACAGTTCTTTAAACATAGGACATGATTGTCACATTTTATTGAAGAATATACAGATATACATATAATGGGTTAAGTGCACTAGTGTGTTTGGACAGGCAGGTCGTGGAGCCTGTATTTGCACACTGAAAGAGTTGGATCAGTTGAAGCTCAGGCTGAGCCAGGAGTCTGAATCATAAACGGTATAATTAGTGCATCTGTAAAGTCTCTGTAAACAGTAGAGCCGACAATGCTGCCTTGCAAAGGAAGTGTAGGCCTTGTGTCTGTCTGGCTTTGGTTACTGCGCTCTAGCTTGTTGGTCTGCTTGCATACTTGTTAGCATACCGACGGGGGTTTTCTGAAAACCAAATGCAGAACTGGTAGAAAAAACGCTTTTTGATAATACCTACTTAGGCCCACATGGCTTTACATGACTCCATGTAGGTGGTTTTCCATTGCAAATGAGGTCCAAAGAGAACAAAACGGGCAAAATGGCCTGTGATGTCATTTGCATGCGACACAAGACAACAATTAAGTACCAGCTGAATCCTGGTGTTGATTCATATAAGGGAAATATAGGAACCGTTTGGAGGCAGCAGCCCCTAATGGAAATCAAAAGCCGGTGGTGCTTTTCCACTAGATCCTACTGAGGTATTCTACACGCTATTCTTGCATGTCCAGAAAGCACTGGCCCTACTAAACGGTCCACTATGGCACCTACTGGGTCACCTACTGGGTCGGGGTCCCATCGGGGCTGAGTGGGGCCACCTGCTGTCGCCGGGGATGACTGGCCAGTGAATCCCGTGGTTAGATAGCAGCTCCTCAAGTAAACCCTGCCAATTAAAACATAAAACAGGGCTACATCAAATTTCGGATTTCATTACTTCTGCTATCCCAAACGTTGTAAATGACTCATACACGAACAAACACCGAGGTTTAATCGTTGAATACTTGCCGTGCTTGTGCTTGTGTATGAATGACGTCGTGCGGAAGTAATTTGCAATGAAAACCACCTGAACCGTGTAGAGCTAATTAGGCACTAATTGAAAAGCGCCACGAGCCGAGCCGTGTTGAGGAGGTACTCATGTGAAACCTCCACAACCGTGCACCCTCTGCTATAGTAACACCACTAAGAGTACAGCTGACGTCCGAGGGGATTGACGTCACAACTAAAGTCGGTGTCAGACACATCTGAAAATGTCTGCAAACAGCCTAGAGTTCATCGTATTGCATTTTAGCAAATGCTGTGGATTTTTTTTACTCGTGACTGCCACTACTTGGTCCCTAAAAGAAAAAGGGCGTTTTTCAATCAAATCTCGTGGTCAGATTAGCCGGATAGTCGGTTCTCTGCTCTGCCTGACAACAGCGCGACCACTTCACTGACCAGTTACGTCCCTGGAAAAAGTGAGTCATCAAAATCCAGGCCCTGCCAGAAGGAACAGCTGGATAACACGAACAACAGACCATGACTTAGCATGGTAGCTCTTGACTTAATGTGCTTAACGTATTCCCTAGTTAATTCTTATTTTTTGCAAAAATGTATGCATTAGATTTTTTTTTTTTACACATTTGTTTATTGTCACTGTCACGGTTGACCAAAAAAAACAAAAAGGGAAACTCTGTGAAGCATTGTATTAAGATATCAGCTGTTTGAGAAGAATTCACCTATTCAGAATCATTACCAGAACTTTTTTTTATACAAGTAACAGGTTCACATCTTAGCTCAGATGGAGACCTGCAAAGCACACAATCAAGGTCCCCCCCCATTGTGATGCAACTGGAACATAAAAATGATTACACAAAAAAGCAGCGCTGACTATGCCCTGTCAAGTATTTCTGTCACATGATGTGCGATGCTGTTTACTCTGTACTGACACTTAAGAATGAGAGAATGTATTTGTGAAGTCAATCAAGAAGCTTTATTTAATTCAACTATGCCTTTTATTTCACTCAAAGGGGTTTAAACGATGAAAAGTTGGCAGTTTGGTTTCCAATAAACTGGACAAGCTAACAATGAACCGTGTTGAGTGTATTTCCCGCCATGGATCCTCGTTCCGATGATGCTGCTCATCCACTTTGAAAACCAGGAATAAATCTAGTTTCATTTCATATGTTGGTAACATCTCACCCGGATAGCGGATGTGGCATTTTTGGAACAAACCTTTTGTACAAAGATACAAGACTTTTTTCTTTTCTTTTTTTTTTTTAAACACACAATCATTTTAGTAACTAAGCTGATCCAAACCAGGTCATGGAACAAACGACACCCAGGCTTTCTCTACTTCTACTCTGCTACAGCTTAAAATCGGGGCTCTGTGGGGCCGGGAGGCCACGCGGATAGCAGCCGTTGGTTTGCTCGCTACGACCTGAGATGGACGTGGGGGTGTGTGTGTTCGTGCTGGAGGTTCTCTCGCCCCCATGAGAGACGTCGCTGTCCAGTGTAACGAGACGGGTATCAATTCACAGTACTCAGCGGAGGAGGAGGAAGAACAGGGCTCATCCAGACACACATCTTAGTCCGCCGACAGCACAAACGCGGCGCCTCCGTATTTACAGGTCCGGTACATTCCTATCCCACCGTGGCAGGCACAGCCGGGTGAGAACGGCGTCTGCAGGAGTACGGGACGGGAGCTTGAGCTGATCGAGGGCGAAGAGGTCAAAGGAAGGAGGGGGGGAAAAAAAAGAGCTGGAGAAGGAGGGATGGGGTCAGATGATTTCAAAACCAAAGATGGGATGAGGATGAGCGAAAAAAAGGCCGGTGCTCGGGTAGGAGAGGCAAAGGGACAACTTTGAACAGGCCGCTAAACATCATGGCCTAGTCCCGCATTTCCCCTGGATACACACTTCGTAGACACGCGTGGGAGCCGTTTTCTGCTGGCGGACCTCAGTTTACAGCCATCTTCTTTTTCTTTTCTTTTTTTACAGTGAGTGGCTAGAAAAGGGTCTGGATTTGGTTTTAGCAGGTGGTCTAAAATGATCCCGATAGGTGCACCTTAAGTGAGACCCTTTCAGGATTACTCTCATCCACTCTGGCCCTGCCTGGCGCGTGTGTGTATCTGTGGCCATCATAGTGTTGATCACCGGGATCGGCCTCAGGATCAAGCAGGATCACAGCATTATGACAGTTCAGGGAAAATCGGGCGGTCGAAAAAATTCAGGCACATTTTTTCTTTTTTCAAGCGTCTCCTTTTTTCTCAACTCTTCAAGTTTTGCTACGATATATCTGGCAGCACCAATATTAGCCTCCGTGGTCAATCTTGTGGTCTCCGAGGAAACCAGCAGCCTTTTTCCCCCCCTTTGTTTTCATAATGGAAGGCATAATTTATATCTATATAAGAGAAATCACTACAGATAGAAAAAGAGATATGTCTGTCGAAAAGGCGCCATGGTATAGAATACGATGAAATAAAAGAGTCTTTCTTTTCACCCCCCCCCCCCCTTTTTTTTTTCCTCTGAAGATGGTAACGGAATCAACGCAGATAGGTCGAGGACGGTGATGAAATGCTGGCTGCACAGCTTTTGGGGGATGCAGGGCTCTGGTGTTGTGGTTGGAGGAGGAGGCAGTGAGAAGCGCTTTGTCAACAGGATACAGACATCAGAGAGAGCGTAGCTGGCATGCTGAAGGCTTTTTTCGTTACAGCAGGGGGGCTTGTTTTCCTCCAATGTTTTTTTTTTCCCGATTCCGTTGCCGAGGGGGCGGGGGGGCGCCGTCTGCACCACGGCGGGGCGGTCAGTCAGTGGGTCAGAAGCTCTCGGGCTCCTCCAGGAGGCAGGGCTGGGTGGAGAGAGGCACGAGGGACGGGGACAGGCTCCGGAGGCCCACCCCGGGGCGAAAGCTGATGTCCGGGGCCGGGAGCAGGGGCTTGAGGATGCTGACGAAGCAGAAGGCCGAGCCGCTGTTGGGGATGAAGTTGACCTTGTTGCGGTCGGGACACAGGAAGGGGGGGACCTCCTGCAGAGGTTTGGGCCTGGAAACGCACAAAGACAGACAGTGAGTCCTCACCGCTCAGCCTCCATAGCGCTTTGCAGAGAAGGTGCATAACAGGAAGCAAAAAAAATAGGAGAAAAAAAAGATGGAGTCATTTCACATGTCTTCAGGGGAAACAGGAGCAGTGAGACCCATCCGTAGCTCTTCGATTTGTAATGGTGATTTGGTTTTCAAAGCCAAGGGATGTTCACACGGCCTACTCACATGGACTCCTCGAACACTTTGACCTTCTCGCAGCCCTCTGGAGGTTCTCTCTTGAACATGTAGCTGTTGTTGGGTCTGGGGGAGGCGGCGTATTTAGGCAGCGGGGAGCAGGGGCCTAGCTCTGTGTGCAGATGGAGAAGGGGGTGGGGGTTGGGATGGGGGGGGGGGCGGTTAGAGGGTTCGGCACCACTCTGGCGGGTGTCGGCTGGCGTGCTAATCACCTTTATCCTCATAGGGGCTGCCTCCGGCTGCGTCGTTCAGCACAGTGAGGTAGGAGGGAGAGATGGAGTCGGGGCGGCTGCTGCAGTTGCTATGGCTACCGCTTAGTCCTCCTCCTGATGGAGTCTGCGTGTCGATGCTGCGGGTGCTGCTGCTGCGCTGCGGGGGCACGGGCGGGGGCGCGCGGTGCCCGTCTGGGACATCCTGTGGCTTTTGCATACGCACAAAAACAATAAGTTTGCAGTAAAAAAACAAAAACAAAAAATAAATAAATAAAATACTTGGATGGTATCTGAGTGACTGACGCCAATGATGGAACTCACGACGATGGCCTCGTCCTTCTCGGGGGTGTCTCGGATGATGATGCGTTCGATCTCCTGGTTGAGGCCTTCCACGCTGTTGCGGAAACGAGGAGCCGAGGATTTGGAAATGGGGATGGGTATGAGGATGGTCTTGGGCATGGGCGACTGCAGGAGAACAAGAAGCAGACAAACACGCTCACGTTTCTTCATCGGGGTGAAGGTGCTGCGGCTTAGCCCCGATTAAAAAACCCCCACAGAAAACAGGACAGTTTGACTCCAGCAGACTCCACAGGGAGCGAAGCACACACACACACACACAATTTGAAAATGCATCTCGGCTAAACAAGGGCGCTGTGAAAAAAGTGGGACAGTCTCATGTTTTGTTTCCAGATTCGGGACACAGCCTAGTTCTTTTCCTCAGACAAAGCCACCCATCAGGATTCTCCTCCCCCTCTCCCCCCTCTATTGATCACCTGTGACTGGATGATGGCGTGGCTGCCATTGAACGGGGACTTGCGCTCTTTATCCCTCCGATGGCGGCTGCTGCGTTTGCTGCGCTGTAGCTGCTGACGCAGTTTGGCAATCTGGAGGGGTTCAAGTATTCGGACACTTCAGAAAACATTAGCACCTGTGGTGGATTTGGGGATATTTATAAAAAAAATAAATAAAAAAAAACTAACTCAGGGAGAGACTGACCTCCTTGAGCTGGTCGGTGCTCCCGCAGGAGGCCGAGCGTTTGTGAGAGCCCCTCCTCCTCTCATCTGCCCAGGCCCTGGGGGTCTGATGCACACACAGCTTAGAACAAAACACACACTCCACTTCACAAGGTGCTGGGTTTAATGAAACGTTCAGCATACTGAGGATAACCGCTTGATAAGGTTTTGGCTGATTGAAAGGACAGAAAGACTTTCTGTCGCCTCTTACACCTTTAAGGGGATTTTTCCTTGCGTGTGATGGAGGTCACTAGTTCTCACAGCCCAAAGGACACCAGCTCCTGTCGGTCGGTGTCCGTTTATCTGGGAAGCATCCTGCCGGCACTCTTTGATCTGAGTTCATCTGAAAGTGTTGCTGAAGGATGGGCGACGCAGAACGGTGATGCAACAATCTGCAACCTCCCTTAACCTCAGTCCTGCATTCCTTAGCTTCCTCAGAAATGTTTGTGCTATACAAGAGCCCCCAAAACTGGGAAGCATATAGACAACTTGTTTGATTCCTCCTCATTTGTTCCAGATCATATGTGAGCTTTTTGCACATCTTAATGGCAACTAAATGAACAGCGGCTATGCTGGCGCACCACTGGGTGTGCTGGTGTTGTGGTGTGTGTCCTGTGCAAATCAATAGAGCTAAAAAATAATCCAACATTTGCCTGAAAGTCTTCAGAGATTAAAAAAAAAACTAAAAAACAGGAGATAACAACCCTGCTCACCTGAGTCGCTTTGTCCCTCATGTAGGGAACGTGTTGTTGCTGGCTGCCGTCCTGAGGCCAGGGACCTGTCAGGTGAGAGCCAGCGAGTGCGCCCTGCGAGGGCCACAGCTGGACGCGATGGCGGGGGACGGAGGGGAGAATGAGGGAGCCGAGAGCTCAGAGGCCCAGGTGGAGGTGCAGGTAGCGGAGGCCACGGATGCAGTCTGAGAGACGGAAGAAAAAAAAAGAAAAGGGAAAGGCGTAAAGAGGAGCTTGATCTGCCGAGATATGTAAACAACCTGTTTGTCAACACGTGTATGAACACATCCACAGGCACAGCTGGCCGGCGGGATAAGCCCCAAGCTCTGTCTGTCTAGGTTTGTGGCTGCGAGTGTGCGTTGGCCAGATTGATGCTAATCCAGCCCATGCTAGGCAGAGCGGATATGCCCTCTGGCTAAATCCCACACCACCCTCCCTCCCTCCCTCCTTCCCTCTCGGTTAATGGCATTAAAACAGCCTAAAACAGAGCAGCGAGGGACATGTCGCTTTTGCACCAGTGACCCACTTTTGGAGCCGTGGCCGCATATTTAGCATGCTATTGTCAAATGGCTCCGTGCACAGTTACTGTTGAGGTGAGTGTGTTTGTTTGTTGATGCAGAGGAGAGTCAGGAGCAAACTAAGCGCCTATAACGGACCCAAGAGCAATTACAGACTATTAGGATTCATTATCATACCAAAACACAATTTCTTGTTAACACACAGCTGGAGATTCTTTCATTCTTATAGGAAGTCTCCCGCTCATTCATATTCCTCTGAGAATGATTTTTTTAAACAGACATCAATTGTTGTTGTTTTTTCCTGCACATGGAACCTCCAAATCCCTAAACGTCACATCAGATAAAATTGTCACCTTTATTTTGGGATACAACAGCGATAACGACAACAGCAAAAAACAAACACAAACAATGCTCACATAACAGACTCAGTCCTAATGGGGGGCCAAACCCTTAACAAAACAATTATCTTCAACTCTCATTTTCTTTTTTGATTTTCTTGTCTCCAATGTGGAATGAATGCAACATGTGCACAAACAGCAGCGACTGGCAGACCCTGGAGCTAAAATTGGAAGGGGCCTTGACCAGAGGACATCCCTGTTGCTAGGGAACGGGGAGAGGAGGGGAGGGGTCCCGCTCACTGTTCTTCACATAGCAGCATCTGTGTGCCTGTGCATGCATGTCAACAACTGTCAGAGCATCAGCAGTCTGCTTGCAGAAAAATGCTTGACTAGATTCTGCAATCCCCCCCCCTTCCCCACCACCACTACCACACACACACACCTTCCTTTGCCACAAGCTGTGAAAGAAGGAAAGGTGGCAGACATGCTGCTGTCGTTCCACTGACTTTTAGGTGTCAATCCATCCAAAATGCATGTTTAGTTTTTATTAGAGGAGGGGGGGCTTAAAGGCACAGCAGCTATTTTTAAGCAGCTCCAAATGCACGAGCTATTAACAAGAGGGCGTTTGCTAATATGAGTGTAAAAAGAGAGCCAGGCACATGTAAAGGAGCATAACACACAAGGCAATTTATGCCCTTAAAAAGAAAAAAAAAAGAGGGGGGAAAGAATTGGGGGTTATGTTTATATCTCCACGCAAGGCCCAATGCAAAGCAAATGCAGCATGCAGGTGCATTTTGTTTACTGCAACACCAGCATGCAACCCAGCCCCAAGCATCCCCCCCCCCCCCCCCCCCGTCATCTTAACGCAGTCCCCGCGATGCAGAGCTGCAATTCTTTGCACGTGCACTCTGCCAAACGGGGAAAAACACCCTCACCTGCCGAAATGCGATCTGTTGGCGCCGAATGCCAGGGGGCATGGGGCTCTTCGATGCCCAGCTCCCCGTTTGCAGCTACTTGAAGATGCTAAGGAGAAAAGGCTGTGCAGAGAGAGGCAGAGGCAGAGGCAGCCCCCCCCCTCAGCTAGAAAAACAAACCGAGCCTAGAAAAAAAAACACCTCCGAGGGCACACCGGAGAGGAAGAGCGGGTAGAATTCGCGCGACCTGCCGCCTCGACGTCTGGATGGACGTTTTTTTTCCTTCTCCCGATTGATGCGACACGACGGCTCGCGCGGCTACCGAAACACCATCTGGTCGAGGGGAAAAAACGACAACAACCGGAGGACCATGCGTTTCGAAGCAGGTGGCTGTCGTGAAAGAGTGTTTAGAGAAAAAAGGGGAGGAAGAAAAAGGGGGAAATAATAGTAGACGGATAGAAGATACAGAGGGGGGGATAGACAGAAGAAAGGCGGTGATGCTGGGCTAACCTGGCTGACACGACGGGAGAAGGGACCAGTGTGAAGCTAACGGAGTGGAGCAGGCTGACTTCCGGTTGGCACGCTCAAAGTAAAAGGTGCCACAATCAGCCAAAATTGTGAACACCGGCGTATATTGTGCAAAGTCCTGGCAGGAGGAGAAAAAATCCCCACTTTCTTCATTTTTGCGCCCCCATTTAAAGTGTTATGATGGAGATAAATCTTAGGTCGACCATTAAAAAAACTTTTTAAAAAAAGTATTTGGAAATTTGGGAAAACCAATTTAGACAAATCACAAAATTTAAGAGGCAGTTGGATTCATTATTTTACCAATTTCATTATTTAACCAATTCTCACCAATTACGATATTTTGGAAGCAGTCAAAGGAATTACTGATTTAAATAATTCGAATTTATCTCCCAAGGCTTTAGGGAAGCTTGAAAAGTCCTATAAGAAAAAATAAATGCTATGTCCATACATTAGTAACGAAACAGTGAGAGTTGGAGCGCAGGAATGACGCTATGGGCCACAGAGCAGCCGGTTCGGAGCACAGGTTACCTACCACTGGCAGGTAGGCCGCTGCCTCTTTAGCCAGAACCCACTGTCCTTTATTTATTCCGAGGGCTAACTGGCGGATTTCCGGTACAGCCCTCGGGACTGCTCGCTAGCCTGATGCAACCCAGCTAGAAGTGTGACGTAACGCTCCGCTGCTGGGCCGCTCGCGGTGATGCTGCAGTTGCTAGGGCGCGAGGAGCAGACGGCGAGGACGTGAGGTAAACAAGTGCAGGGAGGGAAATGTCGCCCTCTAGCGGCGTTCGTAGCGACACTACGGAAGAATTTAGGGCCGCTGAAGAATTCTGACTTTTTTTCAGAAATTAGGGTCAGGGGACAAAAAAAAAGGCCTGACACCTTGAAGTAAAGTCCTCAACATATATACCCAACTATTATTTCATACATTTATTGAGATTTTCGTTCATACCGACTTGAAAATGTTTACAGAAACTGTACCAAGCAAGACGCATAGTAATGGAATCAAAGGCCGTGTCCATTGAATGCACAACAGAATTCCATAAAAATGATGCAAATATTAATGCAATACACATACGCTTGTTTGTTGCTTTTTTTTATACAAATTACAACTTACAAAAACCCATAAATGAGAACTTGTCTTATGCCCTGAAGCAGCACTGAAAGTACAGAATGAGCACGGTGACATTTAAGCACGCCTGTACAGCGCCAGGCCTTAATGATTCCCAAAGTAAAGAAACTTGTGCGTGCTCTCACGCGGTGGGTCAGCCATTCCAACATCAAGGGATGAGTCGACAAGAAGCAGAAAAAACGATATCCAGCGTGCTTCAGTGTTGTTGGTTTTTTGCTAGTTTCGTCTCACCTGTCTTGATTTCAAAAACACAAAGCAACAGGACACAGGCTTTTTATTGTTTCTGGTCTTCCAGGTCCAAAATCAGCTGGGTGCAGTCCACAGTGAGGTCAGGTGATGGCGGTACAGTGACTTGAGCTGTCCCCTGTAACAGATCACTCCATAGGCTTGACTCTGGTTGATTGTTGTATTAAAACACCACAGATTGCGCATAGTCCTCATGTAGCTGTGCATTCAGGTTCCATGAGAACCAACTGATCCAGTCCGCTAAAAAGTGATTGCTAGCGTTTGTGCCAGTCCCCCCCCCCGCAAAAGAAAAAGAGATAGCCCCGAGTCGAAGAGAAAGAGAGGATTGCATCCATTTTCATCTCTTGAGATTAGTGGGTGGACGTGGGGTTTGGGGGTAGGGGGTTGTAGTGTGTGGTGGATTGTTTACAAAACGATTGTGACAATTCATAAGTGCAACAGAGATTAACATAAAAATAATGAGTTAAAACAGCCGAAAAAATAATAATAATGGGAAAACACTGAAAGCATCTAAAATCTACATCCTATTGCACAATTAATAAGTATGATGCAAAAAAAGGGTACATAGTGTCAAAAGTCATTAATTGGTATTGCATACAAATCAAGAAAATAATAATAATTAAAAAAAGGGTTTAGTTTTGTTCCGTCTTTAAGACGTCAATGCTTTTTACAGAGCTTGTCCGCATATTGCTTTATACAGCAAAGGAAGAGAATAAAGAAAATGAAGTAGTGATTGTTTTTCTTCGCCTATTTAAGTTTAGAGACCGCTTTTTGTCTCGGTCACAGGAAACAGACTTAGAAACACTGATTTTTTTCTTTTTTTTCATCTGTTCAAAGTGCACAAATAAAGTAAAAAAAAGGATTTGATTCAAAACAAGGCAATGCTTTTTAAGATGAAACATGCCAACAAAAAAGAGCAGATTGAGAAAGTGGTGGAAAAGGAAGCTGATGAGAATGCTGCATAGCTGGATTCCATTTAAAGCGATGCCATCTGAAAGACACACGGGAGGCGAGGCAGGCCTAATTACTGTACAGGATTAGGATCGACAGTTCACAACACACTCCATAGCTTCCTCTTGCTGATTCAGAACAGAGAATTCTGGGTACTCTGGGTATCGTTCATTCATCCTTTTGACCAGTCTTGGTGGAGGGTCTGACTTCACACCTGTGTGTCACTGGGCTCGCTGGCCAGCCCCGCCCCCTGCAGGTAGATGGCTGAGCTGGACTTGGGCCGGCTCTGGTTGTGACTCTGGCCGCGGTTGGAGCCGTTGTTGTTCACCTCTGGCCCCCGGTTGTCCGTGGAGATGACCCAGGTGGTGGGCCGCCACTTCTTTAAAGAGTAAGGCGTTTTGACTCGCTTCTTGATTTTATCTCCCGTCCCCAAGGCGCCGTCGGGCTGCACCAAGCCCTCCCCTGGAAAACAGAAAGGGGGAGTTGAATATTAGCGCCCAGTGTGGCATCTGCACACTTCCACTGCACATAAATAACACTGTGGCAAATTTCTCACAACTCAAGTCATATATATCACAAGTAACCCATTTACTAGAATTATTGAGTCAAACAGCCAACAGACAAAAAAGAAAAAGACAGAACAGACCGATTATTGTGTCTAACGGGGGATTAGCAGTCATCCGTCAGCATGCACGACAATCACCTAATGAGGTGAGGTCCTGCGTTGTGAAGGACAGGTCCAGGGAGTTGGGCCTCTCAGGCCGGCGTGCTCTGGGCTGCCGGAGCAGGGCTTCTCCTCTCATGGTGACCGGCGCCTCCTTGGGGGGGTCTGCTGCCACGCACCCCGACCCGGAGCTCTCCCCCGGGTTCCCCGGGTTGTCCCGGCTTCCTGCCTCCCCGTTTCCCTCCTCCTCGCCTCCGTCGCTCTCTCCCCCGCTCTCGCCTTCCCCCTGGCCGCGGCCCGTGTTGCTGTTGTTGTTGTTGGTGTTGGGCCGGGCCGAGCGCAGGGCGCCGGCGCTCGGCGCCGCGTTCCTCGGCTCGGGCTGCTCGCGCTCCCGACTCAGGAGGGGCTCGTGCTCGTCGGGGCTGGCCGTGATCACGCCCAGGCTCAGCCGGCTGTCGTCCGGCCTCAGGGCTCCCACTCCCAGCCCGTTCGGGGCGGCGCCCGGCCCGCCGAAACCCGTGGCTCCGCCTGCTGCGGAGGACGACATGCTGGCGCCGGGGTGGCCGCTCAGGACGCCGTTGGCGCTGCCGTTGGCGTGCACATCTCTCGGAGCCGGTACGTTGTTGGTGCCCGGGCCCCGGTGCGTTTCAGCAGTGTTTGTGTTCAGCTTGGTTCCCTCAACCTGGCGCAGGTTGGACTTCCCGGAACGCCCAAATTTGAACCTGAGCGAGGAGGAGGAGGAATCCTTTTTAGCAGGCTTGTTGCGCAGGGGCAGACTGGACGGCCTCTTTGGCAGGTTCTGCTGTTTGGGCAGGGGGAAGATGGCGGTTGGCATAGCCACAGCGGGGTCTGAGGCCCCTGAGACCTCACTGGCCATCTTGATCAGCGGGTAAAGCAGGCTGGAGCTGCCGGGGCTCAGCGGGTCAGGAGAACAGAACTGCTTCTGGGAGTGCTCCATTAGGTTTTCGTCGGAGCTCTCCTTCAGGTTCTTGTCCACCTCTTTAGGGTCGAGCTTGGTGGTTTCCAGGTCCTCCTGGGTCAGGTGAAGGCAGACGGGGACCGTGGCGGCCCCCGTGGGCCCTTCGGATTCAGAGATGAGCGTGGTGGTGGTGGTGGAGGCTGAGGGGCTGCCCCTGAGGCCCATGCTGGTGCTGCTGCCCTCGGGGCTGGGCAGTCGGGTGTTGGCCTGCTGCTGGCGCTCCTGGTTGATGGAGTTTCTGTTTCTCTCTCCCGTCCCGACCCCGGCTCTCGCGCTAATGGAGTTAGCCACGTCCACCTGCGTGTTCTTAGCTACACCCTCCTGCTCCTCGATGTAGGAGGAGGGATGGTCAGTGTACGGGCCGGACTTTGGGGTCATGCGATTTCTGTAGCGAAAGAAAAGAGTGGTGAGGAGGAACAGAGAATGGCTATGAAAAAAAAACAAACAGACAGAGAGTTCTGAGTTCAAACCCACCTCTCGTTGTGCAAAGTGGTGGACATGGGGTTGAGGGTTGGACTGACAGACTTCGAGCGGTCCCATATGAGGAGCAGCTCTGCCAGCCTCTCCTCAGCACACTGAGCCGTGAGGCGAGCCTCTGCGTCCTGATCCCAACAGTCCTCCATAGTCTCTTTAAGAGAGCGAACAGCCTGGAAGAGACAGTTTGAAAATAGGTTCAACATTAATGATGATTAAAAAAAATTTGATTTATAGAAAAGAAAAAAGATCCCAGGTTATACTGCTCAAGGATGTATGTGCTCTCACGTACATACCAGGCTATTCTCTTTCCAGGCCTCTGGGAATTTTGGTCGTTGCTTCTCTCTGGATACCAGGACCTGCATGTCCTCAAACGTTGGGTGGTTCCCAGCTTCCGCCTGAAAGGCCATCTGGTACTCTGGCACAGACTCCCCTGGAAATAGGCAAGGACAGAGAGAGAACGGGGGATGGGCACATAAGTATGGGGAAGAAGTTTCTTTTTCACTCCTCTCTGCTGCATTCGTTTTGGTGTCTGTCTCACCAGGGAAAAGGTCGGTGCATCTCATAAAGGTCTCCCAGTAGACCAGGCCCAGGGCATACATATCCACCTGCTTCAAAGCTGACTCACAGTCCCTCAGGTTCACCGCACCCTCCAGAACCTCGGGAGCCATGTAGCGGATCGTCCCCACCTGGAAATACAAGCCAGGTTTAAAATGGAGGTGAGGGGGACGGGGAAACAGGACCTAGAAAACGAGCGTTATGTGCTATTAAAACATTTTCGACATAGAAACTTCCACTGAATTATGTAGCTGCAATCATAAGATGGCTATTGATGTTGAAAAACTACAAATGTCTTCTGCTCCACACATTTCACCACAAAAGCAACGCGACTGCGCCTCTTCTCATTGCCAAAGGCAGCAGGGTGAGCCTCTTTCTGCGGGGCCTTCAGGTGCCATGCTGAATGCTAATCTTATCCTCCCCACTGAAGGCAAACCTACAGTTTAGCGAGGCCCCCTTTTCCCCCCTTCTCAGTTCGACGTGAAAAGAGCTAAAGCGCTCACGCTGCAATGCCTCGCTGCCCTGTCAAATTCTAAATTCAGGCCACCGGTTCTTATGCTAACTCAGCGCTGTGATACAGTCGAGCCAGCTGCAGCTATTCTCTGTTTTATCTCGGGCTCCATCGCCTCGCTCAGATATGTGGAAGCAGACTCTGAGAGCAATAACAACCAGAAGTTAAAAGACAAACAGGAAACGCAAGCTAAACAAGCAGGAATTCAGGAATTTACTTCATGGGTTTGAGACCATAGTCAGGAATGGACATCATCCATGACAGGTCTGAGCTGTTTGTGTATGTGGTGTAAGTGACAACAGATGCCATTTAGTCATGTTAACCCATATCAGCACCTCCATCATCCACTAACACGCTAAAGACAGATGGAGTGAGAAGAAACTGGACTCTGCTCCACTCAGACCCATAAGAGTCAACTTTCTTTTTAAATGTATTTCACACAGTTAGTTTAGCAGAATAAATTAACAAAAGCACCATCGCTGTTCATGAAAAAAAATAAAGACAGAAAGGACTCGCTCACCTCGCTTATGGCCGCATTTTCGTCTTCACCGTGACGCGCCGGCCTGTTGCCCGTCAGCTTCATGGACAGGCCGAAATCGATGATGACACACGTGCCATCGGTTTTGACCAGGATGTTCCGGCTGTTCAGGTCTCTGTGGGACACCGCAGGCTTGTACAAGTCTTGAAGGAGGAGACAGGAGAGAAAAAATTGATGAAAAATTGATCAATTAGAGAGTCTGTCCATATTGCTTTTCATTTTCCTCCTTTACTCACTGTCCGCTTCAGTAAACCACACTGCGAACATCCAGCCAAATCAAACCATTTGAACCTATTGTTTTAGGCGCACGTTCTTTGCGTGACTGTCTCCCAACCAGTCAACAGCCTCCCTGTTTTAGTCTTCGCCGTTAAAGGGTTAAACCTTTTTTCTTGTTTTGCGCAGTGGATAAAAGGCTCCTTGTAGAGTGTAACTGTGACAATGTTATATACATTTTTTTTTTCTTTGTGCTATTTTTAAGAGTTCTGATGAAGATTCTTTTTATGATCTACACTTTTGACCCATTATTTCGAGAAGAAAAAAAAAAGCTCTAAGATGCTAAAAGATCTCATCACAGAGCTGTTGATCTCCAGCCTTTTTTCCTAAAGAGTCCAGCAGAGGGCGCAATGATGCAGACGGGAACGGGACCGCCGCACCTTATCTGCCGCCTGCCTGCCTCCGGCGTGCAGGACAAATGGGGGAGGATGACAACTGTACAAAAAGCCCAGGAGACTCTGCCGTGCGCCGCCACACACACAGAGCACTCTGGTCAGCTTCCACAGTGTCTCTCTCCCATGTCACTCTAGACATATTCCTGATGTGAATCCGTGCGGGTGAAAACAAGAGTTAAATGCAACTGCTGACGAGAGAATAAAATGGTAAGAAAGAAAAAGAGTATAAAAAAAAAAATTCCGCTATATTCCGCCTTGGAATTGAATTCACAGAGCCACGGGGGTAGTCACATTTTATCCAACTCTTCTTTGCCTCTCCAGTTTTCATCCCAAGTGTCTTTTTTCTCTTTACTCTGAGGCTAGCTTGAGGCGAGTCTATAAATACCCTTGGCAGGGCGTGCAAGCAGTGTGTACGGGAGTGTTAGTCAAAACAGAGGCATACAAAAGCCCTCCAAGACAAACGAACTTGAAAGGGAGCTGCATTGAGTCGCATATAACGCTGAAAAGAGACGGGGCGATCCTAATTATCGATTCTAATTAGGCCCAGCACATGAAAAGCATTGCCCTTTTTTTTTTCTTAAATCACTGCTATTCTTTGAACATGCTTATGAATAAGAACTGGAACCAATGTGAAGTCAGTTTACCTCCTTTGAAGAGCTCGGTGTGCAGGTAGGCCAGGCCTCGGGTTACGGAGTGAGCCAACCGGCAGCTGCTGACCCAGTCGTTGGTCTGGAGGCCGAGGTAGCGACTCAGGGAACCCTGAAGTGGACAGGGAAGAGGTACATTAAAAGGTATAGAGCGACCAAAAAAGACAAACATATGCATAGAGGAGAGACAAAGTGAGGCATCCAGCAGCAACGCTCATACACCTAAACACAGAATAGAAGCTAATGGCGTCTTTTTGGTAAAAAATAATTTATAGCTACAATAAGTAAATGAATCAATAAAAATCTAACAAAAAATTAGCAGGATATGATGTTTGTGAGTGATGCCCTTTTTGAGGGACACGAACAGCTAAATCTTTTTGGGCATCTGTTGAAAGGAGCAGCCACATGACTAGTCTTTACCAGGAATTGTGTTGGACAGCATTGATTTCCTTCCTGTATTATCTGTAGCAGCTGTATAAATCCACCGCACCACACAAGGCTGCACGCGCGCACACACACACTGAATAGTTTCTCATTAAACCTATCAATCACACAGTAGTTCTAGTGTCCGTTACCAAAGAAAATTACATTACATGTGTACGTTTTCCGATTAAATACATAATAATTTTCTCGAAAGGCCTTATGTGTCCCTGTCTCATGTTCTGGCCTGCACTGTGTTCCCTTGGCGATATATATTGAACTAATGACTACATAACATAATTGGCTCTTTACATGGGCTGGATGGGGTCGGCCGTTCAAGCTCCGAGCTTGAACAGGAAGCTTTCAGCTTATGGGTTTATGTATTCATGCTGAACAGCTAAACAGCAATTCGGTATTCTTTCATTAATTCTTATGCATGATTGCACGATACTGGAAAAAAAAAAGTGAATTGCGAACCCGACCCAGACCAGCCCCCCCACTCAGAACTGAGATCAAGAATCGGCCTTACATAGAACGATTATTATCTGTGTGAGACCACTGCCCACAAATCCACAGGCCCAAATAACCCTAAAATGCATGTTTTACGGCCCGTAGAAGAACCACGTGAACACGGGGAGAGCCGCGAAGCCTCTTGCTGTGTGGCGACGGCGCTAACCACCACACCACTGTGCCCTACCTCAATGCTGAAGCACTGAATGCCAAAACTCCACGGGAAACAAAGTGTCTGTCACTACCGCTTAGCTTTAGCCACAACAATTCAGGCGAGGAAGGGGAAGAAAACAAAAAAAGGGGAAGCCATTTGTTGCATCTGGCAGGGGGTATGGAAAAGCTAGAATCTGCTACAGGCAGCCGAAGAACTCCCAAAGAAATAAAAAGCTGCTGGATGGAATCAAATTTGCTTTGCCGCCCTGACCAATAAGGCTTCCCTCATCTTTAAGAAAAAGGTTTGTGGTGCTCACATGTGGGTAGTAGTCCATGACCAGCAGGTACTCCGTGCGGCCGTCCGTGCCGGTGCGCTCGTCGGCTGCAACGAACCGGGCGATGTTGTCGTGCTCCAGAAGCGGCAGGCGGTAGATGGAGCATTCGTTGAGGAAGTTCTGCCGATTGGCGGCAGTGAACACCTTGACGGCAACGGGCCGCTCGTCCAGCGAACCGCAGTACACGGTGCCATATCGGCCTCGTCCGATAAGCTGAAAAATTTGGAGAGAGGCTGCTTAAAGACTTCAGTTATTGTTCCACAAAGGAAGACTGATTTGAATGAAATCTTAACATGGTTTCAGCTGCTGTACGTCAAAATACAGAGACACTAAAAAGAGGCCAACAACAAACGGGTAAAAAAACAAAAAAAAACAAGAGTGGAACAAACAGCCACAATACAATGAGTCACTCAAATGGGCAGCCAGAAGAGAGAGACAGGAAATAAATGAAATTACCAACAACCATCAGGATTAAACAATTAAAATGGCTTTGAGTCAGTTCCTAATCATTGAATTAGTGTCCCTAGTTAGCCGGAGCACAGCAAGGTTAAGAACCCGATGCACTGCCTTTAACTTAGATCTGCGAAAGTGTAGCTCTGCAAAAAAAGTAATCCGTTAGAAAAAGTGCAAAACAAATCTTCAGGAGTGGATTTACAGTTCACATCGTTACCATTTATCTCCGGCTCTAAAGCCCACGCCGGAAAAGCATGGACCTGTTTTGTCTGTGAGGAAGGCTCCCTGGCTTCCATCCACCGCCCCAGGCTGAGTCTAATGTGAACAAGCATTTTCACTTGATAAGGCACAAGGACGGTATTCTGAGCTGAGCTCCTGCTTCAGAGATGTCCCTCGCCTCTCTGTCTCTCTCTCCGGGTTCTAAATCAGTGGATAGGGGAAAACATGACAGCTCCCCAGTAGACGAATTTGTTCGGTGCCGACTGGCTTTGCGGGATTATTGGGGAAAAAAAGAAAAGAAAAGAAAAAAAAATGTCAGCAGAAACTTCCGGAACGGCAGACATCCCGCTTCTCCTTGTGAAAAAAAGCGAGCTCGGTCGGACCAGAGGTATAAAGAGATGTAAATCAGGCCCAGAGTTGGTCTACCTTTCAGCCTGCAGTATATTTTGATATTGTAACTGAATATTGTACAGATTCTATTGACTTCCTATCACAATATGAGCTCTCCCACTTCCATTCCGGATTCTCAGGATCATGTGTCAGTGTAAGCAAATTCCTATTTTTGTGCGCCTGACCTGTCACGTAATTCACCCTGACGTGATCGGATGATAAAAGTCACATTGAAACGAGAAATCAAACCCTAAGCCTTGATGTAATTTTTGGTGTATTCTGAATCTTTGGGGTTTTGTTTTTTTCCCCCTCTCTCTTCTGAACCGTCATATTCTTCTTTTCCCCAGATGTCCGAACTGCAAGTGATGCAAACTGGAGCCGATGGAAACCCAGAGGCAGAGGGACACACTAACCTCGAGTAGTTTCAGATTGTCAAGGTCCAGGGAGCTCTCAGAACCAGCAGCCTCCATCATATTGAGGTTGTGCAGGCCTTGCTTCCCATCTCCTGTTGAGGCAAAGAGTTAAAGCTTCAACAGAAAGAGAGGCTGTGCGTGCAGGTGGGTTGACAATGAAAGACCAACTCCGCTTCCACGTGTGATATCAGGTGAATTTCAACCAAAAACATTTGGCCTTGAGCAATGAATGCTCGCTGCTTTCTCCTCCCAGCTTGGCGTCATGGTAACTCACCGTGCATCATGCGGTAACCAAAGAGGGCTGCTACAGCAACCACGGCCAGCACGGAGACTGTTGCCAGGGCGATAATTACAGTCTCCTCGTGGCGCAGTGTGCCAGGGTCTAAAAACAAGGCACATAATAAAGAGAAGAAGAAAAAACAGAACACGTTACATTTTGACTTTTGTGATAATCTTCTGAAACCAGGCACAGACCTTTCATTTGTTTTTAGCAGTGAGAGGAATTGCCAATTCCTGCAAAGCCAGTTTAGTTCAATTACAGCTATACACAGTAATAAGCACTGCACACCAGCCTTTGAGTTATTGCAAGATAACAAACACTATAAAGGACCATACTTGACTCATATCATGTCAAATAGAAACGCCACAAAACAGAAGCACGCGGCTAGACTGAGTCAGGACACATCAGAAGCAGCCTCAAGAGAAGTTAACTAGGGGACGTAGGAAATAAGGCTGAGGGCCGACCTTGGTCAAACAGAGGGGCCAGCCGGGAGCTGACTAACTTGCACAAAGATGAAGCCATTTGCCACTAGCCCATGGACCGACAGGCCAGAAAGAGCTGATGAGCCAGGCACAAGCAGGGCACGCTCTCGCCAAACAGCAGGAGCAAGGCCAAAATGGAGGCCATGGCGGCCTGCGAACTTTGCAAGCAAAGCAGAAGCTCACTTGACACAGACGCTGCCGGCACAGAGGGCACTGGAGCGGGAGGTGGCTCCAGGAGCTCGCAGCCCAGCTGAAACATTGCTGTGCCTCAATGAAATCCACATCGGTTGTTTGCTTTCAAGCAGAAAATCTGCTGTTAGCTGCACTGACAGGAAATGCAGATCTTTTTGTAAAACGAATAAACTGCTTTCACTGTGTCTGGGGATGCGAATGTAGCTAATGTCCAGCTGTCTTTTTCCCCGATACCCTACTTGGAGACAGAGAAATGTCAAATTGATTTAGGTGAGACCAGGTGAGCATACTAATAGATTCCTATTTAAGGAAGGAAATGAGCAGGAGTAGATAAAGCAATTTTAAAGGCACGAGCAATATCCCGAAACATCATTTCAAAAGGTAAACTGGTTAGTTTTCAGCCACTCAGTTGCTTTGTTTCAGGAGCACAGAAACAAATCCAATTGCATTTTAGTTAGACTTAAAATAAAAAAAATAGAATCATCTAACCATCCAACAGAATTAATTTTTGCTCAGTAGTAGCGTGCATAAAGGCGTGTTGGAATCTGACAGCAGGGGAAAGAAATGGAAGTGCAATAAGCAGAGAACAGCGAACAACTCTGCAGAGAAACATCGCATCCGTTAAGCATCAGACGAACACGCACAGGTGCTGCTGGGACACAGCAGCCTTATCAATAATAAATGGCTCCCACAGCCCGAGGGCAGCTCTGACTGACACGCTGGTGCGAGTGTGCGTTCCCGCTCTGGCACGTGCACAGATGCACGCCGGAGCCGACGCTGCTCCCCTCAAATGCCAAGGTCACTTGGTTTAAAGGGATGCACACTGCACAGTGCTGGAGAACTCTTCAGAATCAACACAGCATCACAGCCGGCCCCTCCTGCATTCACGCGGGGGCCCGTTTCCCATTTTTTAAAAACTTTTGTTTACACATCGCATCAGATCAGATGAAAGTGGAGCCTTTCTTCACTATATGCTTTTCTTGATCTGGCAGCTTGGGCCACATTACAGATATAGATCAAATACACAATATGATCCATGCAAAGGTTTGCTTCCCTTTCCAGCTCAGGTAAATAAATCTTCGGTGGCTGCAACAACACAACAGAGACCACAAACAGAGATATTTAACAGATATTTAACATATTTAACCATTTGAAAAGATTTTTTTAAAGTAACTTGTACTAAAATGAAAATGTTAGAAAAAAAGGATATGTTATCTATTTATTCTTTTTTTTAAACAAAGTTTTGACTATTTGAAGGTGCAATAAGTCTTAACTAATTTGAGAATAACTTTAGTGGAAATTATTTGAATTTGTTTGACATAAAACAAACAAAACTAACTAGGTTAGATCACAGACCTGTTTCCAACCGTTTACCCGAAAGTGATCGTGGCGGATTGATGGGATACACCCCAATCTTTAAGAAGCCTCAAACACAACCTATAGGAAACCTGTGAGGTGTTTAGTTTGAGACAAACCTCTATAGAGCATGTTTATGCCTTTTAATATCCAGGACAAAAAGCTGGATGGACTAGTTGGATTAGTTTTAAGGGTTCACAAACTTCCCCAGCATTTCTTTGAATTAAATGCGGGTCCTGGTGGAGTATTAGATCAGTATAGCATTCTTGACCGTGCTCATACATGGGACGCACACGAGTTACACACTCAGACAGTCTCATGACTCAAATAACGCCTTCCCACTAATGCTGCTAACTTAAAATCTCGCTAACTGCCCGGACGCGTCCAGAACTACCGATCGGATAAAGCCGGAACAGCTCAAGTATCTGATCAAAGACGGTCACACCAAACTAGTTCTCAACCGATCCTTTGTACGCTCATCCGTCTCCGCGGTGACAGTCGTCGGCGTGCTTGCAGCCAGACGTTTAGGGTAGACGGCATGTAATCCCTGGAATGCAGAGAGACAACATGGTTTGTGGAGAGCGCCTGTTTATGTGTTGGCGGGAGGGATGATTAGGTGTCTTTAGCACCAGCCACATCACACCGCACATTCCGTTTTAACTCGCCGCTGAAGCCTGCGAGAGGAACAACTAACTATACATCTGTTTTCCCTGTTTAATGCCTCACCGGCAGGGGTTTCCCCCCCATTAGTTCCTTCTCAACCCTACAGGGCTCTACTCGCCTCGACTCGGCGTGGGTGGTTCTTCATTAAAATCAGGACCTCACAGAAAGATGGGCCAACCGTGATGTCATTTGTATGCGACACAAGCACGCCGAACAACGCAGACAGCATTATGGACATGCTGGCTGAATCTCGGCATTAAAACGCCTTGTTGGTCCGTTTGCAAGGAATTTACGGCCTTGATGATCACGGAAATAATGAAATATCTCTATTTTATTTTTTTAAATAGGCAGGGTTTACGTGACAGGGTCATGTGACTCCATGGCCAATCAGCGGTCGGCAATTTGCTGTCAGCCTGACTCAACCCACTTGGACCTGAGTATCTGTTAAAAATCGTAAGAAAAAAAACATGTAGAATCGAGCTGAACTGAGTAATTACAAGTGAGTAAAACCCCGGTGAGAACTCACTAACAGCTCGGAAGCACAAACGACAAGCAGGATCACACACTGACCTTTCAACTGTGTAGGACTGAATCCTTGTTTTTTTGGTTTTTTAAATGATTTCTTTCTTAATCCTGCCAACCCAAAGCACTTAGTTGTTGAAGAGATTATTGTACCCGCTTCTTAGCAACCCGTATCATTTCTCTCAGGCTTCATCCAAGCAGCCCATCAGTTGTGGCAACGGCTCCCTAAACAGCCACTTCAAGAACAAAGCGTCAAATTTAAAACCATAAAAAGAAGATTTGGCTCTAAATCCTTTGGTGTGACTTCCTATAGCCAGGCTGCTGAGACCCCAAAATGAAGAACAACAAGAAACAAAAAATGTTTTGTAGACATTTCAGCAGCAAACTACAAAAGCAGCTGGTCTGTGGTTAAGCGAGTCCTTACAGATGGGCTGTGCAGTGGTCGGGTTCGGCGGGGGGAAGTCCTCTGTGAAGTTTACATTGCACATGTCGCTACCACAGCAGCAAAAGTGGTACGTCCCGTTCTGCATCTGCGGAGGCAGGTTAGTCACCACGCAGCGGTCGTCGTGGCAACCGTGGTTGTCACCCAGGTGACTCCAGCAACCTTGAGAGAGGGAACAAGGTTTGGAGAGAAGGAGTAAAATATGGAGGTGTAGCCAGGGGGTATTCCAGATCATTATGCAGTACTCTACCTAGGGGCTACTTCAACTGTGTGGCAGTCAGAAATCTGACGATTTGATGATGCATTGAAGTGTACACTTAACTGTCAAACAGAGTTTCAAATGACTTGATCTATTTGTTCGCCTCATTGCATTTTATATTACAGGCAGAGAAAAGAAAAACTCACGTTTTTACTCCATATTTATGCTTTTTCAAATAATCTCAAATCCAGTTGCAAGGAACGTGTAAGGCCCATAATGGGAGTTGAGCTAACGTGGTTACAGCTTGAGTGGGTGTTGGATCACAGAGAGAAACATCCATACCCAGTTTTCTCAGACTTAACAACAATGGAACTACTGGCCACAAAATGATCCATTTAAATGAGATGCTGGTCCCTTTGCATCAGTTCCATTATCCATCAATTATCAAAACACTTTTTGAGTAACTTGGATAATTATTTATATCAAAATAGTCTGCATATGTCAAACCTTTAAGATCTGATGTTAGGTGAAACTACGGTACTGTACCATAGTGCTTCAAGTAATTTACCCTGTTTGACCAGCCGCACTTCTCCCGGGGGACTTTTTTCCCACAGGCCAAAACAGTGGCTGCCCATGGCACATCGAATGGTGGTGTTCTCTGGGGAGACCCGGCCTTCGCCCCCCGCCAGTCGCTCCACTTCTGACTGCTGCTGCTGGTCTGTGAAGGCACACTCCCTCTCCTCCCCCTGTGCAGCTGCAAAGAGACAGACATAGTTCCTGTCAATCCCAGCATCTTTGGGTGGACGGGAGAGAGAAACAGGACGTGGCTCGGCAGCCAAAACAGGAAATCTAGTGGTTGGATGAGGAGAAGCAGGCCGATGCAAACTAAAGTTTGTAGCTCGAAGAAATAACCAGTAGGTGTTTCTGTGAATGAAGCCAGTTGTGCAGCAGTTGAATTCTTCTAATGCACAGATTTGAGTGTGAGAACAAGCATCGACGTTATCAAAGGCTGAATCTTCGCAGTCCATCACTGAAACGGTTATGTTGTGGCTGTGTCAACACAGCTGAGAAAGAAAAAACATGCAATTCTACAGAGGAATAAACAAGCATCAGTGCTAAAGCTGCTGCAACGGATCAATAGAAGCAGCGATTTAAACTCTTCCAGCCTGAAGGATGTAACATTTACATAGAGGAGCCAGGGAACCGGGCACAGGACGCACAAAAGCTCCCTCTCTGTGGTTAAGCTGATTTAGATGTGCACACACAGACGACAGGGGCGAGCCTTTTCGCTCTTCTGCCTAGCGAACAAACTGTGGAGGGGGGCCGGTTTGTGTCAGTTTGCTGTAAACCCCAGGGGAGCCTGAGCGCCGTGCCAGCAAGAACCGTCCTGAAAAAGCGCTGCATGCGTGCACAGACTGTGTTCTGGGTAATTTCAGATAAACGAAACATGATGTGCCAGTTTGTTTCCTTCTCTCCCGGCTCCTCCCTTTCCTTCATCCGAGAGAGGGATGGAGGGAGTGGAGGGAGAAGGGTGGCGTTGCCCTGTCCAAGGTCAAGCCTGGCCTGTGAGCCTGTGTGGGTAAAGGGTGAGGAGATAGAGCAGTGGCTCTGCCGGGCACAGAGCCAGCTCTCTTCCTCTGTTCTCATCTGCAGATAAAGCTCTCAACCCTGGCCTACTGTAGGCCTTGGCTGCCCCCAAACTGTGGGCCTTTCACTGGCTACTGTCCTACAAGTCTGATTTGGCTGGCAGGGGAAAGCATGGTGTATGTGAAGAGTGAGAAAGCAGTTCAAACTCAGGGGTTAAATACATACAGGACTTGTTATTTGGGTGAGTTTTATTAAACCGATGGCACCGTCAGGGTGAGCTATTGGATAGCGGATGATTCTGCACTGGCATCCAGGCGCAGCACATGAACGAGCTGTTCAATTGGTTCAATTTGACGGCTGAAAAGATTATGTGCAAAAATGGCAAAACATTAAAAATTCCTCCATTCTTTTCCAGGGTAACAGAAAAAAACGATCTACCCAGCTTCAATAATTTCCTGACAGTGTGAAAACATGTCATACAAGTTTAAAATCCAAAAACCAAACGCCTCGTAACAAATCTGTAAAACGCTGACGTGGTGGCAGACCCCAATCAACATAACAAATCAAAAGCCTTCGCCTTACAATGTGAAAAATGAACCATGTACAATGCAATCACCCAACATCGATTTAATTGTAAGACTCCCTACTCAAATTTTGCTTAGTTCAGTCGGACATTTTGGACATCTATTTTCACCTGTTATTAAGGGGTGCTGTCTGGGCCATTCTTCTATTATTGAACTATAGCTACATACATTTTGTTTAAAAAAAAAAAAAAGGCAAGTTAGCATTCAATGAACCTCAGATCTCGAATCCCAAATTCTGCTTTCGCCTAATCTTGGCATCATTCATGCAGACCAAATGTATGTCCTCAGATCCCTTTTTCCTGGGATTATTTCAAATGAATGCAACAAAGTAAGGTAAAAACAAAACAAAACATAGTTTTCATTGAAACAATGAAGACTGAGGACGTGAGGAGAAGCATTACTTTACTTTTTTTCTGAGAACTTGTAAAGCAACCGGCCATTATGTCAAGAAGATTAGGATCTATGCTCTTTCAGTGATTGTGAAGGTTTGTTTGAACTTGACAAGAGGCCAGAGACAGTACGAGGTTAAATACCCCATAGCAGTGATCTTTTTCCCAGCGCTGGACACTGGCTTTCCCAATTTCCATCCCAGAAATTAAGAGAAAGAGTTTAAATCAAGGACATGAGCCGCACTGGAGGAACTGGTGTTTGGAAGAGGAAAAGCAAACCAAAACAACGGAACAATAGAAGGAGCACACCAAAAGGAAGTGACACCACCCACAGACGGACGTTTGGGGCTGGCAAAGCTCAAATCTGCTGAGCAGAACACCTCCTGTCTTTAAGGAGAACTTTGTTGGAGCCCGTGCACTCACATTAACTATTAATACTTCATGCATAAGGCTATATAAGGAACTCCATTAATGACACTCAATCTACAAAGACCTCTGGCAGAAGCAGAAAAAAAGCCTGATAAAAGGCCATTCATGTCTCACAGGAAAATATCTCAACAGTACATTTTTGCGCTGTCTCCATGGACTAGAATGGCCCTTTATGCGTCCCTCAACAGGGATACCTGCAAACAGTAGATGAGTGGCGGGCATATCGAGTATCTGCACCATCAGACAGTTAAAAGGTCTGATTGTTTTAACCCTCGGCCTGCTGAGAAACGAGCTCATTGTCTCCCGGAACCCTTCGACGCCCCGTGGCCTCTGACGTGTGACTCTGCCGTGGGCCTGAAATAAAGCTGACTCGCTGAGTGGCCTGCAACACATTAAATAGTTTCACTGTGGCGACACGGCTGCACATAACAGGCACGCATGAGAGAAATGGAGCATGCAGACAGAGCGCGCGCCCTTCTTTGATGCGCATTTCCTTGTTTTTGCCTTTGGAAATGCATATATTGGATTGTTCTACATCCACACCCAAAACTATGGCGTGGAAGGACGACAGTGAAGAGCAGCAACGTGGATCATTACTGACAAGCCGCTCGCTTCGGACCGGCCCGACTGCAGCTCCGGGTCGAAGTGCTAGGTTTACTGGATTTATGCTCAGTGTTTAAAGCAGTGCTTCTGGTTGGACGGCAATCTCTGTGTCCATCTCCGATTGGTCATGGCAGGCTCTGTTCCTGGTTCTGCTCCGTTGAGCTTGCAATGTAATCTTGGCTTCCAGTGCATTGTGGGTCAGCGTATGCAGGCAAGGCCAGCGGAGAGAGGCAGATGAGAGACAGAGAGGAGGACAGAGAGACAGAGAGTGAGACAAAGAGAGAGAGAGAGGGTAGTCATATCAAAAGGCCACAGAGTAGTTTTCTGCTCCCAGCCCCTTCATTGGATGATGGCAGCTACTGCTGAGTGTTTACCCATGGCCCAGTTATTTGCTAATCTCTCCCTCCTCCCCCAGCTGGCCTTCAGTGCACCCTCCCACCCCTTCAGACAACCCCTTCCCCTCGGCTTCGCTGTTAAAAAACAACAGCGATCTAATCTAGCTGGGAAGACAGGGCAGTCTGAAACTTGATTAAAAGTCACCTGGTACATGGATGTGTTGTCTTTTTTTTTGCCACCCCCCTCCACATGCACTGAAGCTGACGTCCAAGATAAGAGGCTGAGAGTGAGGAAAGATAGGAAAGGAAAAAAATGGTGGTGTGTGTGTGTGTGTGTGGGGGGGGGTATGTCAGTGTGTACTTGAGTAAAGACTTAAATGTGCCCAATGCACCTGAGCATCTCAAAGCGAGGACATGCGTCCGCTTTCTAAAGCCACTTTGCAGTAAACAAATCATTTTTCCTCGCATGAGTTCTCATAAAACAGACCTACGGGCCACAGTGCCTTCATATTATATCCAAATGAATCGCAGAGATGTGCTGCTCCACGCTTGGGTTTCTCCCGTGCCGTTTAACAGATGCAGAGCTGACCTTGATGAAACAAATGTTTTGAAATAAATTTGTTAAAAAGCTGTCATCTTAGCCTACAGAGGCTGGAGCTGCTGTGGTAATGCTGACAGCTCCCCGGCGCTCTAAACCCCGTCGGCCCCGATGTGTCGGCGCTACTTGCTGAGGTAGGACGGATAGGATTGGCATTTGCTGACATCCCCAATTTCCACCAACTCCTCAGGTTTGGTTTAAAGATGCGTTGGAGTGGTGGTGGTGAGGGTGGGTTGGAGGTGGGGGGTGGCTTTAATCTATCCCATCTGCTGCCCATGACTACACCCCCTCCATTTAAAAACACAACCACTTAGCTTGAGTCTGTCTGGGTCTGGTACAGTTATGCTAATCCTTGGGGTTTACACTGCCTCCAAAGCCTGGAGGCCTCCATTATTGACCACCACACAATTAACCCCCCCTCCCACCCCCCACCCCTCTGATGTACCTTTACTTTTCCAAATAACACCATGAAAACAGGGATAACAGGTGGCGTTTGCTCCAACTCTACAGGGGGAGGAAGGAAGGTCTCTGCTCAGCCCCACACAGCTCTTCCCAGTTCAGGTGGTTTTCCATTACGAATTAGACATTTACAACATTTCTGATCACAGAAATAATTAAATTACATATTTGTTGTTGGCAGGGTTTCCCTGATGGAGTTGCCATCTAATCATGCGACTCCCTGGCCAATCAGTGCCCCTTTAACCATTCTGATAGCTTCCAACAGGCTGTTTTGTACAAACAGGGAGAATACAATTAAACAGATTTCTTCTTGATTTGCGCTGCTCCATTCCTCCATATATATTTTTTTTCTTCTCTTGCACATATCATTTATTTAAAACTCACAACGCTGTTTTGGGAAACTCTATATCTATAAGATAACATTTGCCTCAGATTGGTGTTGATGTTCTCCTATCAGCTGATCTGTGAGCAATCATTAAATCCATAAATATAATGAAGAAACAATTCAAAGATCAGCATCCTGTTTAAAGCCTTGAAGGTGTCGAGCGTGGGTCCATGAGAATACAAAAACATACTGCAGAGCAGCTCATCTGGACTCCCGAGTAACATTTTTTGCGCGCTCTAGACTTATTGTCTCTTCTGGTCAAGGAGAGCGCTTCGTGTTAATCACAGCCTGTCACTCTGAGTTACCATCTCAAGGCTGCACCTTTTGTTTTCGAAAACATCCACTAATTTCTCCTGTTTGCCAAACCGAGGGACTTGGTGAGCATTGTTCTACTGAGCCGTCCATGTTTCCAGCTCGCCTCAAAACTCAAACCGAGCTACTGAGTGAGACGCTAAAGTTTTTATTATTTATACTCACCTTCCAGTTAATACACATAAGGTGAGATCTACTAAAGGCCATATGCCCCCCCCCCCAACCCCACTGCCTATTCCTGCATTGGCTGCCCTGTTTGGAGCTGAAGTTTGTGTCTTCTTCTTTCAAATAATTATGCCGAGTGCAAAACATTTTCAGGAATCAAAGCGTGTTCTGTCCTTCTTCATTTCCCTGTCCGGACTGAACAGCTTCAGCTGCACAAACACTCGCGTGCCAGATTGCTCCACACGTGTGACCATATTAACTGGCTTTTAACAGTTAAACACAGGGCTGCTTTGGAATTATGGACTGGACTTTAAGCATTTTATGAGTCATCACCTTCCTGTTCACTATGCTAGTGTTTACCTCCGGAGGGATGCCGCAACACATCCTGAAAAGAGCAGAAGGCGTGCTCAGCAGTCCTGCGAGGGGGCCAAAGGTGAAGCAGAGAGGCAGCTTTTGTTTTGCAAAGTCAGATAAAAAGAGTCGAGACTCACGTACAAGAAGTGTTTGCATTCAACCGACGTACAAAATCACTTGCTATACCTTAAAGAAAACCAATTACTGTGCCACATTCTTAAAAGCACTCTCACTGGAGATTACATCTTGTTGCCAAACAAACACATACAATGAGGGACTTAAGGGAACAGTGAATAAAGAAAATAACCAACAATCACTTCCAATCAAATAGGTAATACCAATTCCCATTTCAAAGCCTCCCTGAGAACGGTGCAATAAGAACACCTGGGGTCGCACCATCGGTAGCGTCTGCTGATTTGAGCCCGTTTCAAAACTATTTCTGCTCCTGATTTTGGAGCAGAGACGAGTACACCCAAACAATGATTAGTCACCAGGGAATGGCGGCGCAGACAGAACCAAAGATGGCCACAAACAGGTTAAACATGTAGCGTATGGAAATGAATAAGAGACTTCACAGGTACCTCACAAACTTAGAAACAGGTTTCAGACTTTACATGTGAGCTGGGAAAGTAGATGACGGAAGTTAATAAAAAGGCAGTGTTGACTCAGAGAAAAGACTCTTAATATCTTTTTTTACATCATTATCCTCCAAAAAACCGGCCGATAGAATTTACCTGTGTCGCACTCGTGTCTCTTTACAGTAATTGTGCCGACAATGTCTAACCCTTATTATGTTAGCGTTGCACCCCACACCGATCTGGATTTATTGACCTAGTGTGCACGTATGTATCAATTAACTGCCCTTTTATCGACTGAACATGTCAATTCTTACCGGGCAATTACAGCTGAGCTATTGCAAGGGCACACAAGAGCAAACTTATTAAGACACAAGCAAAAATCTCAGAAATATGCTCAATCCACCTTTGGTCTGTGCAATGCAAATTCAAAATGTACATGAGTCTAATTCCCTGGACAGTACGAACTGTAAGTAACGAACACAGCCCGACTGTGTATTCAAATTGAGTTCCAAATGCGCATTTCCCTTTGCAACAGCAGGTATTACTCATGCCTTCTTATAATACCCTGTCTATGAATGAATGGAGGCATCTCAGCAACGAGACTGGCTCAGGCAAATGATTATACATCATTATGAGGCTGTTTACACATACATTCACGCCCACGCACCAGCCACCTATTCTTGCACAGCAGAAGCCGAGCACCGAGCAGGACGTCTATCCCCTAAATTACCCATCTTCTCAAATACCTTTCCGTCTTCCCACACATTCCACTTAAACCCCCACCCGCCTCTCTCCTTGTTGCTCACCCCGCATGCACCGTTCCTTCCTCCATCTCTGTGCATGCCCTGCTACTATCTTATCATGCCCAAGGTCTCACAGAAGCCTGGCTTTAGCCCAAAGTCTTGAACACGGAGCACAACTTGGCAGACAAGGACTGCGGTATGTTTGGCTGTGTTTTTCCAGACCTTTGTACACAGACTGATTAAAAAGGAGCCGAGGGTTTGGGGGGGTTGTGTGCATTCAATGCTCTGTCCACGAAGAGATATATCTGTGAGAGGTTTATTCCACTACCAATGACAGGAGCCCCGCAGATCACTCAAGAAAAAGAGATAGGGGAGAAAAAACAAACCACAAACAGCAGGGGTATGAAAACATGATTTTGGACACGTGTCCATTATATAAAAAAACAAACAAACACTGTCTGTAAATTGCACAATAATCAGACAAGTCCAGTAAATAGCACACTGTATGTAAACAATATCAACAAATAAGGTCACGTGAACAAAATCCAAGAGAGCAATAAATATTAATGAGAGGCAAGAAATAAATCCACAAAATCAGGCACTTACCAGCGACTGAAGTCAGGAGAATCGCCAGGCAAAAGCCGAATTTAGTCAGAGACTTCATCGTAATTCGGCCCACAGCCATGACAGTGTACGTCGACTTTGGTTTGGTAGTTGCGGCTCCTCCGAATCTTACTTTCCCCTCTTTTTGGTCCTCGTTTTCTAAAGATACAACTCTTGTTTCCCCCCCACACCCCCTTTTTTTTCTCACATAAGCTCAATAACTTGAACTACTCTCACAGACGTGGAATAACACTTTGAGAAATTGTACGAAAAAAAGGAGGGGTGGGGGGGATTGGGGGTGCTGGTGTTTTGGTTTCTTTCGACGAAAGAATGTTGACAATGAACAATGATTGCCGACTAAAGTTACGTTAGTCCCGATTTCGACTCCACCGCAGACCGGACAAATAACCCGAGCGGCTAACTTGTTCGGCGGATCTGCCATCTGTAACTAGACAGCGAACAACGTCCATACCTGCTAGCTGACATGCTAGCTGACTAAGCCGACTGTCTGGCACTATAAAACTTAGGCAAAGAGGTTAATTATCGCGACAATAATCACCGTACAACTAGTTATTCAAAATACCAATCATTGCCAGCTGTATACTTTGCAAAACAGTCCACTTTTATGTCAACGGAGTCGCGGATTTGGCTAATAAAACCATAGCCAAATTGCTCGAGTCGGCTGTAGATGACTGTTATCGGGGCTAGCCGACGGTAGCCATCTAGCTAACCAGTTAGTTGTGCGCGTCCCGTCTCATTTCACGATCATTGGTATTCAAGAATAACAAATCCACGAGGAATCGGCGCCATAAGTGAGCTATTCTGGTGTGCGGTGGATGAAAATCCTTCCTCCGGCGCTGACAGACGGTGGAGGGAGGAGATGGATATCTTTCGGTGTGATCAGGGCGGCTGGGAACGCCTCGTTTGCAGGCTTGTCTGGACCACTCGTCTCCGGTATCAAGTTGCTGTGGAAGGTCCATGAGCAGGCGGGCAGGCGGAGTGGCGCAGCGCCGCTGTGCCGCAGACGGTGGAAACAGCACCGTGGAAACCCACGCAGCACGCAGGCTCCCGACGACTTTCTATTAAACATAAAAAACACACGGCAGCTGAATTTCTTTGGCTGCTTTCCCCTACTACAACCAAGTGCGAATAATGATGTTATCATTATAATAAGGGTGCCTACATTAAAGAAAAACATAAAATAACAAACAAAAATATTTGTTTAGATACTCTCTGGCCTCAGTTCTCATGAACAGTAAGCTACAGCATGACTTACGGAACTATTCATTTCACCTAAAACAGAAATTGTGTAACATGTAAGCAAGATTTAATGGCCAAAAATACTACAGACTACTCCTCTGTGGATTACCTTAAAAACAAAATGATTTACACTACACTCAAGCGCATAGACTAGATGTCTCATGATGTAATCATATTACTTACTAATGCTATACATTCTCCTAAAATAACTCTATCCCCTTTCAAAGGTGATTGTTCCAGACATGTGAAAATAGGACAGCTTGTTACAGTGGAGCAGAGCAGGCTAATGTTTCCATAGACACCAAATCATTACGCTAAGCTAACGCTGTAAGCTAACTCTATAAAAGTTACTTTTTGAAATGTCATTTCAACACCTAAAAATCGTTAAACCAGGTCTAGATTATTTAAACGTTTTCTCCCTTTTATAACCCAAAACAGGAGCTCCATTTCTTTTGTGTAAGACAAACTCTTAGTAATGGACCGATACAGCTTTGAGAAGATGAGCTAACAAGCTCACCTGTGACTTCTGTCATAGGGATGGCCAGTGCTGTGCTAACCCCAGTTGGATACCAACAAGGGTCTTCCGCCACTGTTACGTGTAGCCTTGGTGCTTCTGGGCTTAACTGTAATTAATGCTGCAGCTTTAACTACTCTGCGTTTTAGAGGGTTGCAGTGCCATATTTCCTCCACAAGGTGGCAGTATTTATCCGCAAGAAAAACCTGAACGGCTTCATACGATTCAGAAATATCGTATTTATTGTAGCTAAGCTAACATATATTGCGTGTTTTAGTTTTTTCATATGCATTTTGCAGAGGCTCGTTTTTTTTATCATTTCATAAAGTGACTGGATTCACAGTCTACCAACTGGACTTAAACAGAAGCAAGGGGGCGCATCAGTTTGCGAGATGGACCTCCTTGATGGGACGGGGCAAAACTATGTTTCCCTCTGGCTCCGTTTGACAAGCGAGGAAAGTTGCCGTCGAGAGAAGAAGCTGGACTCATACCGTTGCTGAGCTAATTCAAAGTTTACCAGTGGGATAACGGCAACATGAAGTAGCCACATAGCTTGCGTGTCCAGACGTGTAATTGTAGCTTCGCTGCGCGAGCGCCACCTTGGAGCGGCCCCCCTTCTCAGCTTGGACTTCTCTCGGTACCTGACTGACTGATGAGAGGTGGACTGTGTGATGGCTTCTGCTCCACCTGAGCCGAGGAAGTTTGCCAGGGGCCTTAACAAGCTCGGAACCGCCGCCGAGTTGAGGCAAAGCGTCTCCGAGGCTGTCAGGACGTCGGTGTTGGTGGTAAGAGAAGGGCTGAAAACCCACCGCCGCAGTCTAAATATTCTTCACTCTCGTGGTACATGTCTCGTGGCAAATTACAATGCTTAATCGAGCGACGCCCGGTAGAAAGGAGTCGGGCTACATATAAAAATATGTCACAGCTGTCTTCTGAACATTCGACTTTTATTCATGTGGAAAGGTGTTTCAGGTGTTTAAGGGCCCGTTTTCCCGCGTCTGACTCCAGTTCCAGGTCTCTCAGACAGGTTGCCAGGTAACTGAAACGGACACGTATGCGCGCGAGGGAGCACGCTCTGCATTTTTGTTACTCAACCCATCGAGGTGCAACCTGCAAATGTTTCACAGAGACGTTCATGTAATGAAAAGGTTAAAAAAACAAGACAATACCCTCTTTTTGTCCTTACATGGGTCAGGACAACATAGTGCATTAACGCTCTATTAGACATGAGGTTGGGTTCGTGTTGTGTACCCCATCATCTGTATGCAGTATGTAGGGAAACTGCAAGGAGGACAATTGTGTGTCCCTACCCTTTATATAAAAAACAAAACAACAACTTGTTCCACATTAGCAACCAAACCAATTTGGTGGATGTTGAGTAATGATGGTCAATATGCCACTTTATTCCTGCAGCTAATGGCAGCTGTCAGTAATGGCTTTTGTACAATCCATGATCAGTTCAATGTCAGTTATCCTTAGCCCCCCAAAAAAGTACTTCTTGATTTAATGCAAACTTTAGAAGTATACTGAGCTTTTGCACAAGTATTTTTTTTATGTTCCCATGTGATGTAAAACTACCTGAGGGTTTGTATAACTGAGCATGAAACAGGTTAGCATGTGTTCTGTGGAACAGGAACTCAACTTCATGTAACATGAACAAAATATAAATATATATTTCTATATAAAATATATAAAAATATATGTTAAAAAAAAGCATTTGACACCATATGCATGTTTTCAGAATTTTTAATTAGCCATTTTTTAGTACGAAAAGGGTTCTTTTTTTGGCTGGTCCTATCGGTTTTCAGTATTTGGCATAGCCCACAGTTATAATTTATAGCTTGTTATATATTTTTTTATATTTAGTCAGCTGACTTCACATAAAACTGAAAAACAAAAAAAACTAAAACAAAAAGGAACAACAAAAACCGCCACGCTCCTGGAATGCTTTTAGGAGCAGTCAGCTCCTAAATAGCTTTATAACTATGCATTTTCTTAAGAGTAAATTAGAAGAAACTGCGTAAGTACTTCAAAGCTAGCAGAAACAGCTTTTCAGAGATATTTCTCGTGCTTCAAAAACTGTAAATCTGTTTCCCATTATATGCCTCTTATTGTCTATTTGGGAAAATCGCCCTCTGGTCTATTTTTGGTTTTGTACTTACAGTGCAGCTGTTTTCCCTAAGCGTTAACATGGGACCAACATGCTGGTATGGTAAATGCAAATAAATAAATGTAACCACTCCAGTGTTAGGGGTTAGGAGGCTTTGTTGAAAGCTTTGGAAAGTTGGCTGGTGAGATGTTTTACTTGAGCTCAAAAGATACTAAAATAAGACCATGTGTGGTATTTGTAGATAATACAAAGGAGTTGAGTGTCTTAGGTACTACCGTTCCTGGTGCGTGGTAGAAAAACAATCTTTCATTGAGTCTTACGCTTAGTCACAGTGGCTTAGTAATTCTGCCTTTGCTCACAGTGTGTGGGATGGCATAATGGATACCAGCTCACATCTCTGGGTTGGGTTTAATAATGGATGAGATGATGTGAGGTGTCCTTGCTATTTTTAAACCCGCTCCCATTCCCTGTTGCAGCTCACTGTGTGACACCAAGCACTCTTGGGACCATTAATTATTTAAAAAAAAAAAGTCCAATAAATCATCAAGACCCAGGGAGGCCACCTTTGAATCGATGTTTGTCAGACACACACAAGAGGTGGCTCAAACGTTGCCGCTTGGCAGCCACACCCAAATAAGATGGAGGCTAATCTGCAAAGAAGTAGAAGTTTCCTTACCTATGTTTCCTTTTTTAAATGACTTTACGCAATTTATTGTTAATTTTTCAAACCGAAAACCATCATTTGAGACACACTAGTTTTGCATCCTGAAACATTCCATCCTCCCACAAAACCAAAGGCTTTCTGCTCTGGACCTGCTCTTTTGGTGCTAATTCTGCTCCAGAGGATTCTATCGGAGTATAGAAAACCCTGTGCAGATGTAATCTGCAGATTTAGTGACGCTTTAGTACTGATGACCTATATCTTAGTCATGATAGAGGAGTTTGCGATGGAGTTGGGTGCTTGGTTTGGCGTTAGGCTTTGCGGTTTGGAAAATGCTGCCACTGACAGTGGAGGCCATCAATTTGCAAGCTGTGCTGTTTCAAACCGTCTTTATTTAGACTGCTCCCTGCTTTTTGCCATAAAAACCGGTTGCACTGGAGTAAACACCTGTGGCTAGTCTCTTTTGTGTGTGTGTGTATGTGTAAAAGTTGTTTGACTGTCAAACTAAATCCATAAATCTTTTTTTATTAATTATTTTTAATTATTAAAGCTATTCTGAATGATAATTGGTATTATTCATGAAATGTTAAAGGCCTTATTGGTTGCATATAACACAGATCTCTCACATTTTCTTTTGCATATACAAGCCCGGATTGAAACAGTGATTGTCTTCTGGATAGTGCACCCATCGACTCCAGCCTCATCTGTTAAGAGCCCAGTCAGTAAGCCTTACTTTCAAGGGCGATACCCCGGCAAGATTATACAAAAATACCTTAGTCTTGGCCAACCACTTTTCACCAAGCATGTGCTGGAAAGGGCGATGGGGACGAACTGTTTGTGGCTGAACTGCAGACGGAACAAAAATGGATCATTTGTCTCTTGTAGGTTAGCCAAGTTGGCAAGCCTGCAGGCTGGCTAAGCATTCTCTAATTCGGTCCTCCCATAGCCCGTGCAGTGTCTGAGTTCTGCATGTGCATAGCTGCCGGAATGATAAAAAAATGTAGAAACTTAACAGGACTGGATGCCAAGTGTTTGCGGGTTGGTTTTAAAGGATTTACTTTGTGCAGCAAGTATTTTTCTCCGAGGCAACCCAACCTCCACATTCAAGTCTGGGTGATACCCAGCGTTTGAACTATCTCCAGTGAAATGTCAGCAAAGCATCATGACATATTATTGTGAATATTCATGACTTCCTCCTATAATTAGCTATCTTTCACATCTTTACGTCCGTGTGCTTCCCACTCCGTTGCGCTCATAGGTCCTCTATGTAAATCCAGCCAAACTTAGAAACAGCTGCTCTCACGCACAATTCTTTCTCGGGGGTCGAGGGCAAAATGAGTCTGAACTTGTATTTTCGACTCAAGAAGTCATAACAGAGCGCCTGTTCATTAATCATCGACGTATCTGATAAGTGTCTGTTTTCGATGAAAGGCCGGACTCACTACAGCGATTATACCAAACCATAGGGCACTGTTCTGGAAATGAGCACCAGAAGTACATAATGCATCCCTGTTTTGCATTTTGACTTTCTTTGGCTGCTGAAGCCACAACTCTTCCCTGTAGAGAGTTGCAACCAAAAAAAGACAGCAAACCCATCTGGTGCAGGAAGGTTTTGTGAACTAAATGTTGAGTACAAGCTGCCAAAATCATCAATGGCAAGTGTGAACTTGACATAAAGTGGAAGCAGAGAAGCATTCCTGCTGTGGCTGAGAGACTTCGCTCTCACAGAGAACCTATACTATGTTAGATTGTTTGCTAAGTCCTCGCTCACAGATTCCCCGGATTTGACTTGAAAGTTCCAAATGTTGGTGTTCCCCCTCTCAATGAACCTATTTGCACAATTACTCTTAGGAATAGCACCTGACTGCATATCTGCACTAAGCTTTCACACAACACAAAGCAGAAGAAGAAGCCATCATTTGAACTGTGTGTGCCTGAAGCTGGATTCAAGAATGCCAACGAGCGTGCATGACTGGCCTAAAAGCATCTTAACTTTGGCTCATACCAATTTCTTTTTGTCAGTCTCACACTTTTCCTCCTCCTTTTCTTTTTCTTTTTATAAAAACGAAATATCAAGCAACACAGGTCATTAAAAAGACTTGTTTGAAACTAACTCCCCGAATGAAACTTTTACTACAAACATCTGTAGCGGGCCTTGGCTGCCATGCAGTCTTTTGAGTGATGTTTTCCAACGTCTCTGGGGTCAAGTTGCAGTTTATTTCAGCAGCTTTCACAATTACAACCCCCTTGCATTTATTTGTTCCTTTTTTTCGTTTTTCACATGCTCGCTTTTCTTCCTCTGCACGCGAAGGAAAGAATTTTTCCACGGTCTCTTAGTGCCTTGTTAAATAAGGCGAGAAAACTTTGTCTTGGTTTTTTTTGTGTGTTCTTTTTAATTTTCCAGCGAGTCATCAGACTTCATTGCAGTTGCAGAGTTCAGAGCAGCCTGCTGGAGGCAGCAGTGATGCATGGCCTTTGCCTTGACAGCCCACGGGGCACTCTAGAGAAATAATCATGCTTTAAGAATTTAAACGTGTAAAAACAAATACTTTTTTCTTTCTCAGAGCGGTTATGAAGAGATAACTGTGCGATGGCTTTTTTGTTATTGATGGTACACTTAGCAGTCATAAGAGCATTGTTCAGTCATTACTCTTGAATAAGCCATTTAATGCAACCGTTCCATCTGTAAATCTTCACGCTGGTGTGTTTTAATTTCCTTGGTTTATGCTTTTATACATTGAGAAAAACAGTGATGTGTAATAAATGCTGCCCACCAACAAAAGCTTCCCCTCTGCATTCTGTCAAAATAGTGTCTTGCTGCCAGGGAAATCAACCTCAATCCATCGGTAATTGTTGTCTGGCCTTTTAGAATAAGTTATTTAAGTGGTTCTCCACATTGAAACTAGGGGTTGGGGTTAGAATTAAAAACACACATTTTAGTCACGGACTGTCAGTGCATCAAACTATGATCACACAGTTCTGATGTGAGCTGGATGGGGATTTGGGTGGGCGTCTCGATGATGTGTCTACTAAATGAAACAATGAAACTGTTCTGGAGTCTCGTAGAATAGTTGCTTGGTTTACTGCAAGAACCCATTGGTCTGCAAATGCCTGCATCAAAAGGTCATTGGGGGCATTAGTGGCTAGTGTTTGGTTTAATTGGATTAATTCATCCTATTGGCAGCTGACCCAGTGCAATCCTGCTGAATAGGCCTAAAAGCCCTGCATTAACATAAAAAAGGAAAAAATAAGTAAAATCCTTACCAAAGCACTAGAAATTTCACACAACTCATTGAAATAGATTAAGTAATTCCAATGTAATGTAAATACAAAAAAAATGGGAGAGTTTCATCATAGTTGTGCAGCCAACTAATCTGCAGCAACTGCCTCGTGCTGTCATGTCAATATGGACAGCCATAACTGCAGCCATAACCACATGAGCTCCGAGCCAATAGTTTCCTGTAGAGTTGTCATACTTGAGATCATATGACTTTCCAGACTGTAAAATTCAGCCTGGGAAACTACTTGTCTTTTTATAGCAGCGTGGATGAAGTATACTCTTGGACTACTCCTTTCGCACATATATACATGAATATATGTATATATCTTTGATATCTTTAATCATAATCCACCTGTTTTCACCCATTTTACCGCATCATCCACTTTAAAACAGACCAGTGAGACAACTGCTGATGAAATATTTACACTGATCAGCAGAGAGAGGCTGAAAAAATCCAGCTTCAAGGGAAGTATTAAGGAGGGTATGTTAATCAAATTCTTATTTTCACAGATCCTCAGCAGGTTGATCCTGGTTAGCCTGTGACACATCCAGCATGATGGACGAGTGCATTTAACGGGCTAAAACTGCCAACTGCCAAGTCATTCCTTTCCTTTGTCCCTAACAACTACTGAGTGACATCAGACAGATGACTACATCGCTTGGATTTTATTGCTACTGGGAGAAGGAATATGTCGACAAAGAGCGAAAACATTGTTTCCAGAAGCCACTTCATGTGTGGGTGAGCTTGTGTGTTTGTGTGTGTGTGTTGGTGCTGTTGACAAAGCGTGCAGAGTCAGAGAAAATGACTAAGCTGTTAAGAGTGAGGAAAGGGAGGGCGCCTGCTAAGGAGAGAGAAGAGGAGAGTGAGGGAGGAGAGAAGAAGTGTAAAGTGGCAGGCATGAGTTAGAGACTGCAAGGGCAAGATAAGGAGAGCAAGAGAGGAAGCCGAGCGGAGAAAGAGGACAGTGAGGGAGAAGCAGAGAGAGCCCGAGCATCCTCATCACCATAGCAGACGGAGGGCGGAAGGGAGAAGGATCTGTATGCTGACGCCCTTCTCCGACCGAGAGAGCAGCTCAGGCTTTTCTGCTCCGCACACTCATCCCTCATCCCTCCATCCCCTCTGAGCATCACACCAGAGGATACCACCCGGTAGCCAGGGGAGCTGCTTCTCTGACACAGCCTCTTGAGTTTCAAGCGGAACAATTGCACAGCTTTTCTCTTGCAGCGGTAGATCAAGTTGCTCACCTGCGAAACATTTGCCTCCAATCATTTTATCCGTGAGACATTTGCCAGATATGTGGAAGGAGCCGGGAGGTAAAGTTAGGACTGTCGCACCTGCCTGGATTTTGAGTTAAGGCTTCCCCGTGTGGTGCTGGCGAGCGTCTGCTGACACCATGGGATGCACCACCAGCCTGGTTGTGTTGGAAGGCCTGCGCTCTATCCTTGAAAGGAACTGTGGCTACATCAAGGGGTCAGTAGAGCTCGGGGCTGTGGAGTTTGAAGAGGAAACACTTAGTTACAGGGAATCTCATCTCTGGATTCCTACCACTGCCCTGGTAAGCCCCTAATGATAAAATAATGCGTTCAGGTAGTTTTCAAGCAGAATCCTTTGCTTTCCTTTGCTTACAATACTATGTATGATGACTTTAACCCTTTAGTGCCATATGTGTATTCATTTATTAATAATATATATTGGATTTAGATATGTTTTTAAATTGCATTACATATGACTAATAATATAATAGATAATGAATATGATATGATATATATGATATAATTTTAAAAGCATTTTTTTCTTTCAATGGTGAAGGATTTTAAAAAAAATTAACCAACCCAATGATTCTTTAATTTGCTTTATGAGCTTATTAGGTTACAAAACTTATAAACAAAGATATCTAGAAAATAGGACCAAAATTATTATCTCAACCCTTGTGAAATTCTCACTGTGCAGGGAAAAGATTGAGCAATGGGATTTCCCCCCTCCTACTCCCCCAGTTGCTTTTCCTGTAGCGGCTTTCTGCCATTTGTATTCATTCACTGCTACATTAAGCATCCCCCTTTTAAGCAAGCTGCATTAGCTCTCATCATGACTTGTGGAGTTGTTTTTTTTAAATGTTCAATCAATAGTGAGTGTCTTAAGTGTATTGAGATGGTGTAAGTCAGACAGTCATTTTTCAACCCCAATCCCTTTTGGGTGCACCGTGCTTCCGTTATTCCACGTTGGGCCTCCTGAATTCAAGTTAACAAGAAGGATATTAACCACAACGATCCAAAACATAGGCTTTCTAATAAGATGCAATCTGCTGAGTTGACTACAGGAGCTATTTATGTTCTTACGTTTCCTGCCTTTCCCTTCGGGGGCAGAGTGAGTGTCATCGTTTAGTATGAAAAGAGGGCCAGTGGCTGAATGAATTTATGTGTTATGCATCGTCATAGAAACTAATCCCATACAGGGACTTTCTGCCTTTCGGTTGACGTCACTGTACAGTATGCAGCTGAATACCTGAGGGAAGCTCTGACATCATTGGTACTCAAGGAACTCCCCGCTCTCATATTATATTTAATTTGTTCCATATGTTTTCCATTGCTCCCGCGGTAATACTACGTTGATCGTAAGATTCATTCTATATCTCACTCAGTCTTGACTTTTTTGGAGGACTTGAGGTAGTGATGTTTCAGCATAACTTTGTTGTAATACCAGCAGATGGGATCAGCCTCGCTTTCGAGGCAACACCCTTACACTTTCTTTTCCCAAAGGGCCTTGCACCGTTTGGCTTCCCATCATTACATCAGCCGGTCCTCTTTCAATTCTCCAAAGACGTGCAGCGCCGTCTTTATACGTACGTGTGTGTGTGTGTGTGTTTGGTCACACCTCTTGGGAGGGGCCTCATGCCCCTAATTGGTTCAAGCTGTGAAAAAACTAATGTACATCCCCCTCCACCTTGCTTCCCTCCCTGATAACCCTTTTTTCTTTCTCATGCATTGTAAAAGCTCTTACGCAGATGGCCCCATAAACTGATTTGCTGTCTTCCATCATACTCTGAGTATCCCTGGCATGGTACCAGAGGGGCTCCAGGAAGCTTCGTGGTGCGAGAGCACCATGAATGAAGCGGGATGACCTCAGTGCAGCCAGCGTCTCAACAAGAAGCCGTTTATCTGACGGGGCTGGTGACGCTGTCACCGTGTGCTGCCGCCGCCGCTGCTGCTGCTGCTGCTGCTGCTGCTGCTGGCAGCGGGCCTGAATCAGCAGCGCATCCTGCTTCTGTGACAGTGTGGCTGTTGTTGTTTGGAGTGAACTGCCTTTCGTAGGTGATCTGCTTTAAGCCGGCCAACTTTTGCACAGTTTGTAACCATCAGGCTTCTCCTCCGTAAAAAAGGTTGCTCAGTGGTCTGTCTGTTTAATCCCTTCCTGTGAAGCAGAAGGTGTAGGTGATGCAGAAAAAGAGTTATCGAACAGTTAAATCAGTCAAGGAAAAAGGGCTTTAAAGCGTTAGCATTTTAATTTCTCCTGTCAAAAAACAGGAAGAAATTCATTTTCGCTTTTGCATTGTCTTATTGGAATGTAGGGCTATATGTCCTTATGCTGCTCTTGTGCTACAAATGATAGAAGAAAAGCTATAATACTTAGCAAAACTGTTGTCTTTCAATCCACCAAGATCAAATATTACCTGCTTTAATGACATAGTGTCGTCCCAGGGGAGCTGTTTTTTTTCTAAAGTTCTTGATATGCTGGTGATTTAACCAAGTATAAGTGACAGTCTTCTCACCAGTTTTAAGAAATTGCTTTATTGTAAATACCCTTATATACTCATGGATAAAGCATTCCTTGTCCTTGTGTTGGATATAAGTCAGTTTGCAGATGTTACTTTTGTAGGGATGGATTTTAAGGGAAAGAATTTATTGGGTCATGGTGGCGTGTCTGTTTTTCCTGCAGCATTGCAAAGTGACCACATGGACAGACTTGCTGCTGGGAAAAGGACAGAGCTGTCACTGAGTTTCGTTTTTTTTCCTGTCGAAAGGGTCCCAGTCCATCACAGGTGCAGATATTGGTACATCCATTCAGCTATCCATTCTTTGACCGCTGATACTAAATTGGGGGGCGGGGCAGTCCATCACAGGGCATCGAGAGATGGTGCCAACCATTGTTTTTTCCTTAAACAGCCTGTGCTTCATTTATCCGGTGTTTTCAGAGGAAGTTATTTCTCTGAATGGTGCAATTCTCCCTGTCCCTTTGAAGCAAGTACAGCTAAAACAACTTATGCAAATGATTAGAAAAACCCTGCAGTGCAAAGAGTAAAACTCTCACGCAGGCACACACTGGCCCGCTTTTGCGCTTGGGATGGCACCGAAACAGCAGTGGAGAGCAGAGACCTTTGAAGTCATCTCAACTCGCAGCTAGTCGTCTCTGCTCGCTGACATCCCACCCTCCCATCCTTCCCTCCTCCCTCCCCGCCTGTACAACTGAGAGAGCCCCCTAACTTTTCAGCCCATTGAGACCATTTGATGAGTAATTAATCATGCTTGTTGAGACAGATAAATACCAAAGCTTGCAAGCATATTTGTGTTATAAGGAAACACGCTGAGGACAGTTCAAGGGAGAGAAAAAAAAAGTCGCCTCTTGAATGAAAAATTTCGACTGCATTCGCCCCCAATAATTCCTCACTGAAAACTTTAAATGTCATCGCTCCGAAACAGGCGCTGCAATAGAAAACAGCTGAGCCAAGGCGCCTCCGCCGCTTGGAGATTAAAAGCAAATGATGAGCCTCGAAGAGGGCTGGTTGAGCTCCAACAGTTGTTGAAGCTCCAGGAGTGCGTGTTACATCAGAATGCCGGATAAGAAGGAAGTGTGTTCTAACCGAGCCCGCTGAGGGTGTCTGCTGCTGCGGAAATAGCTTAGGAACTGTTCAAAGCATAGAAAACAGCAGTGGGGAGCAGTTATCAACACAGACTTTATAAATACTGTGTCGTTTCAGTTATTTTTAGGGAACCCAACGCCAGTGAAGGGTCAGTCTCAAAATGAAATAAAAATAATAAATATGGAGAGGAGAGGGTAAGGTGGATTTGATGTCCTGTCGCATTGCCATATTTCAGATAAGCTGCTGTGTCCTTTCATTATTTTTATCAGTTCTGTTTTTTTTCTGTCAGCATAAGAAGATAAAAGTCTGTACAAGCTGCTTTTTCCCTGCGTCACTCTTCAGTAAATGGTGGGGTAGTTGTTTCTCTTGCATCAAGCATTAGTGATTTACCCGTTTCATCCTTTTTTTTTCCTGTGGCAAACTGCCCAGCATACAGCCTGTATGACAATTACACAGCGCGCTATTCCAAACAGATGATATTAGAAGCATAATAACATGATCTCCAAGGCCTCCTTCAAGTTTTGAGTGAGGGAGTGGCTGATATCCCCTCCTCTCTCACTCACGCTCCGACGTATATACACAAATGCTCTCCTCCAGCTGGGAGGGTGGGAGGAGCCCTGCTCCTCTGATGAGAGACAGAGCAAGGGAGAGAAAGGGAGGCTGGGCCGCCATGGTCAAGCTCGGAGGGGGGAAATCTCACTGGTACGTCAGGGAAGCCACTCACAACGCTCAGAGACTGCAGGCAACTTTTGACAATGCAGGCTTGCACCTGGCGGTAGGCTCCACGCTGGCAGTACGGAGCACCATGCAGGGCCGCGGAGGCAAAGCCCCCAAAAGGGAGATGGTGATAGAGTCCCCGCAGCAGTACAAGAGCCTGGCTGAGATTGAAGCAGAGGTGGAGGGAGGGTCACAGGTGGCTGCGGTGAGTTTGATCTGAACCTTTTGGTTAAAGTTACTCATTGTTAACCTCCTCTTCTCTCGCCACTCTCGTCTTTCCCCGTATCTCCTAAACGACACTAATGTCATTTGATTCTTCAAACGCAATCTTTTTTCTTTTTGCAAAATCTCTTAGATGTTATTTCAAGAGCAGCTTTGAAGATTTTTTTCTTTTTCAAAGGGAGGGGGTTGGACGGAAATGGGAAATAGCAGCTTGAGGTTATGCATCTCCTGGGAGCTGAATCTGGGATCTTTTTTTAGGAAATGGGGGCACTTGTGGCTCCCTTTTGTTCATTAGCTGTTCAGAGTGGAAGCTTTGACTGGGCTGGACGTCAAAGTCCTTTACGGAGCCTTTACGGCATTCTTGGTCATTCTTGGTCATCCCGTCTTGTGAGATAACAACTGGCAAGTCGCCCTATTCACAGCTGCTTTTTGTTATCATCTGTCCGATGGGCAAGCATCCAGGTGTTAAACCGCTGCTCACGATTTTCTTCCTATTGTAGAATCTCTCACTTCCAGAGTACTGAGACGTACACAGGGGAGATTACGTGACATCATTATTAGTATTGACTGTAAAAATCAAGATATATGATGCATGATGTTTTAGTAATGTCTTCATTGGGTTCATCCCATAGGGCTGGGTATGTAACCTGACTGCAGAACACTAGCCTCTTACTAGTTGTTTTGACACCTGAGATGGGCAGCTCTCCCAACTCGTGGTTTTTGGAGGTTGGGGGACAATTCTTTCCCCGTGCCCTTTGGCAGCAGTTAAAGCGCTATCTGTGTAGAAAAAAAGGGAGGAATCTGTCATGAGTTTGGGGTTTATTTTATTTAGTTATTTTATTTTCGGAATTTACTTTCTCCTTTGTGTTGCTAGTCGGTCCTGTTCGTAATTGCTTTGTGTTCAGTTTCCTGTTTTATTGTGGTTTATATTTCTGCCACCTTCACCATGGTACGTTGGACAAACTCCACAACGTAGCGTTTGCTGAACTTGAAAAACAAGCAAACAACAGAATGACTCTAATCACTCAAAAGCCCATCACACAACCCAAACTTCAGCCTTTCCAGCTATCTTTTTCAAGACTCCAGACACTTTTGGATAGATTGCCTTCAAATTTTGTACAAGTCACAACAATATTTTGAGTTTTCTTCCGTTCACTGTTTTGTTTTATTTGACAAGGCCGATTCAGACACTGGTGTGCCAGTTTGTCACAAGCACCTTCATCTGCTCTGAAAACAGTCGCCTTCTTACCCCAGTCCTTCCTCTTCAGCTAACCATGAGACCATTTTCTTGTGTATGATGTCCAGCCCTCTAACTTCATATAACCTATTGACTGTTCGGTAATCAAACATAGCAATAAGTAATTGACAAATAGGTTTTAGAAAACAACAGGAATGTATCAGCACAGTTGCCGCATAGACTCAACGTGCGTTTTGCATTAATTCATGAGTCAGACACTAAGGTCAGGGAACAGAAGGTAAAGTCAAACCAGCCCAGTCCATTGCTGATCAGTATTAGGCAATGACATCACACTGAATTTGTTGGACAGACAAAACATTGTGTTTTTTTTGTCTGAGACACAAGCTATTTACCTTCATGTGGAGCCGGGCTCTTTTTTGCCCTTTCCTATCTCTAGGTTGTTTCCATAAGCCATGTTATTCAGTTCTTCTTTTAGGCCTTACTGGGGGGTGAGGGGGGTTGATAGAAAATGCAAAAATGTACACACTTTTTGTCAAAATCTGTGGTTATTGTTTGACTCTTTAACAAAATGGGGAAACAAATAATTTCAGATCTCTACAAGTCCATGCAAAAGGGGATCCCTCGGGTCTTGTCTGTGGAATGTTGCAGCCGATGCCTGTAGACCTGTGGGAGTAAAACATCACTTAGGCTCTCCCTATTTCACTGACTGTGAGACATCATCAGCGCTTGGTCTCCTCAGGATGCATGGCTTCCCACACTGGAATGCTGGTATAAAGCAAAAAAAAGGAATCATGTGATTTGTACTCGTAGGAATTCTCAGAAGAGCGATACGCAGAGCTGGAGCTACCACTTATCCAGTTCAGATTTCCCACGTGAGCTCATGACACTGTGACTGGTACAGTGCTCGGACAGACTCTCGCTCGGGCATCCATCCCCTCCGTCATCCAGATCCACATTCAGTGCCATTTGTTGTGCCAGCTCCTGCCCCTGTGGCCGTCCACCAGCGACCAGTGTGAAAGGACAATAGGAAACTTGTTGTCCAGACAGTGTGAACGCCACAAATTTCTTCCTGTAACTCATCCCGCTTTTGCACAATGATACTGTCAAATGTAATAACCAGCGGGGTTAAACAATGTGACAGATTACTGTTACAGCAGTCTTTTTCTTTTTGGCATTATGTGAAATTGATTACAGCATGAATTTAGAGCCGCAATGTCTTCTTCTGCTTTAGGTGAAGCCTAAAATCATAGAGCCTTTGGACTATGAGAATGTGGTCCTCCAGAGAAAGACCCAGATCATCAGCGATGTTCTGCGTGATATGCTGCAGTTCCCCATAGACGACTTTCAGGTAAGGCGAGAAGAGCACCGACTTTGGGCCTGTTTATTTCCTGTTTGATCTTTGCTACAAACAAATCTGTAAAAATTCTTTATTCTATTCTTTTTTTTTACTCCCTATAATTTCCTTTGAAGGAAACATGGGTCTGGTCTTTTATGGGTGAAACCCTCATGAAGTAATGTTTGCATAGTCAGGGCAATAGAAAAAAAATGCACAATAGCTTTAAAAGCTGACATGGGCGGCGTCCAGCTATCACAGATCAATGCTGATATTTTTTGCCGTCACGTTGATGAGGACCTCATGAGTGGGAGTTTATGCTGGCCTGTTTCTACTCAGGAGAAGCTAGCCTGGGCCTCTGAATGCTTAATGCTCCATCCTGACTCGCTTATTCAGAGAAATGTTCAAAACAGCAGTCTACAAGAGAGCAAAGTGGGGCTTAAACAGAAAAGAAAAAGCCTTTTTCAAATAGCCCCGATCAAAGCAAAGTCAATCTTTTTGTGTCACGAGTTGAGGTTTCTTGGCTTTTGGACTTTGGGTTTAGTTTCCTCCTCTTTTGTGTTTGAGTTTGACTTTTTTTCCTTGAGCTTCCATATCTTTGATTAAGAGTTTCTCCTCAGTTCCTTCCTGTGTCCCGTTTTCCTGTTTAGATTTTGGGGGTTTGTCTTCATTTCCTGCCCATGGTTCTCTTCATTATCTCTACCCCTGTCACCTGCTCTGCTTTCATTGTTACCCCTCCTCTCATATTTTTCTCCTCCTTATTTTGCAGGTCCTTCAGAAGCTAAGAGTTGTAGCTTCGAACACTTGGGCTCGTTATTTATTAAAGCATTCTCCTCATGAAATTATTTTAATTATATAAAATATTTTAACAAATCTATGCAATTTCCAAAAAAAAGAAGCAGTCAGCTGTTTTTTATTTCTTTCAAAAGAACTATTTCTGATGTTTTGATGGTGAGCGACCAGCTTTAATAGTAACTAGTAGTTCTAAAAGTCTTTTGTTTAGCCACCCAGTTCAGTTTCAGCGCACAAAGTCAAAACATGCAGCAGTATAAGCACAGGTCATCACGAGCTACGAGACAAATTATGATGTGACCTTATGTGTAATCTGTCAGAAATGTGACCTTTATGGAGACTTGACGTAACTTCCAGTTCGCTGTCCTCCCAACAGCTCCACACTCCACACATCTGTTGCCTGTGCTCGTAGCAGCTTTAAGACTGTGTCAATATTACATCAATGTTGTTCTAAGATCTCAAGGGTGTCTCATGCTCAGGTTTTTTCAAGTTAACCTTTTTTTTAATATTACTGTTAGTGAATCCCATTAAACGATAAAAAACGGTAATGGGAGATTCAAAAGTAACGCATTAAGATAACAATCCTGTTATGCTGGAAGACATTTACCTCTCATTATGATGCAGGAAAAATGGGCCCCCTAGATTCTTTTTTCAGACTCACACACACCCACACAGTCCTGCTTTTGTAAATAGAGCATCAAATGTGGATTAATCCATGCCTGAAAGCACTGCTCTTCATTTTCTTTATGCCTCCCTGTTTGGTTGAAATTGGCTAAGTACTGTGATTTATTCCCAGCTATTCTTGGGAATGCATTTAGATATTAAACCATGTTTCGAATTACCTAGTGTTGGTTTGGTGTGGTTAAAGTCTTAAACAGAATAGGATAACAAATTTATAGGAATGCAGGACTATAGCAGGGACAGTGCTTGGTGGGAAATCTACAACCGACCGCTTCCAGACTTTGCGCAATCAGTCAACGAGGGGTGGTTTTCATTACAAGGCTGTCTGCAGTATGTTACCATTAGTAACTGCCTACAAATCTGGATTTGTGCACGCATGCATGTGTGTATGTATGTTGTCTGGTTCAACCCAGTCCGTCCATCTGTCTAACCTCCCATATGTTTCCTATTACTGGGCCCAGAGACTTGGAGGATGGAGTCAGCCAGACATATGGGTGTGGCAAAGTACACGTGCTGAACAATACGCACTCACAGTCACACAGTAAGCAGCCATGTCTTGGAACATGATGGGTGGAAGGAGGTACAGGCATTTGTTTATGGTTTACCTTATGAAAAACAAGCGTTCTAGCAAACTAACGCGAGATAGATCTGGGTGTTACCCCCAAACGTCCTGCTTGTTGCACCCTTTTAGTTTGCCCATCTCCAGCTTGGGCGACATACTTATGCTTTTCAGGGACACCAAAAGTATAAATATTTGCCTTGAGGATTCAAGGAATTGAGAAGGTACTCAGTGGAATGAAATGTGCTAACGTTGCGCCACTATACTTGACAGTGTGGCCTATTTCAGTCATCACAGCCCTGGTTTAATGACAGTAAAAGGAATGCTACTTTGGTTAGATATAGACTGCGGGCATGTAGGACATTGAACTCAGGCTTATGAACTTGCTCCCCAAAAATTTCTAAGACAGTAACAGTTGCTTTTGAATGCTTTTTTGGTTGCTTTTTATTTTTTGTAGAAGCCTTCCCAATGTCTTTGGCACCAGTTATTCAGGTCAAACCTTATTAAATCTGTTTGGAAAAAAAAAAATGAAAGGAAGAAAAATACTATCACTGTTTGGGGTTTTCATGCATCATTGATAGCCCCTGCACGCAAACTGTTCAGCTTTTGGGCAAACGTTCAGTAATCTCTGCTGTCAGAATAGAGCGTTTACAATAAAACAAGGTCAATGTGCCGCTTCCTATCTGTGTTGGTCAAGTGGAAGAGCTGAGTACAACGTGTTAGCAACAGCAGCTCTGCAGACATGCCAACCCAATAGTCTGGATGCCCTAAGGTGCCTTTTGATTCCTGGCTATGGGTTTCCAATCTTCTCGCTTTGACTTTATCAGTCTAATAAGACTGGAACGAAGTAGAACTACAGTAAGATTAGGCTGCGGCAAAATCTGTGTGGGGCTAGTTATGCTTTCCCTCTTTCAGCCATGCGCTCCACCATTTATTACTTACTGTCACGTTGCATTGTAAACTAATTCTGTAAGAATTATCCAGTATTTTCTCCAAAAACATGTATGTTAGGTGGAGACTCCAAATTGCCTGTGGGTGTAAGTGTGAACATACATGATTGTCTCTTTCATCTCTGTGTGGCCCTGTGAGATACTGGCAACCTATCCAGGGTGTACCCCAGCCAATGTCAACTGGGATAGGCTCCAGAACCCCTCCAGAACCGCTCACAATCCTAATACTAGGGATAAATATTATAGAAAGGATGAAAGGATTAAATATTTTGCTAGACACTTGAAATATGAAAATACCATTGAATCAAACAGGATTGTTCCAATCAGTGCATAAACTATTGTTTAACTTTGGGCCTGTTACACATTACATATTTTGTGCATTGGAAATGGAAATTAATTTCAGCTATAATCAGACTAAACCAACAAACTAAAACAGCAGACCATGTGAAAGACACAGCAAAAAGCACTTCAGATATCTCCACAAGGCCATCCATATGATCTAAAACAATTCCCTGCCTTGAAAAAATTGGCTTTTTTTTAACTCTCCTTAAATTTAACGATGAGAATGATGTGCTTTTTCTTTCATTTAAACAAAAAAAAAAGAAAGAAAACAAATGAATGTGCTGGCACCTTTTGCTGATGTGTCCTTGAGCAGAGCACTGATCTTAAACAGCTCCAGGTTAGGCTGGCATATTGCATTCTCTGAACTCTGACCTTTCTTTGAAGGAGAGAGCAGAAAGAGCTTCCCTGCAGAGGCTCCATAAAGTTTAATGCAATCCCGAGGACTAGTGAAAATAACGCTTAGCAACTATCCCCTGTTGCATAAAAGCCCCAGTGTTGTCATGCCTGCATTCTGTCTCTCTCTCTGCTCTCAGATCTCCACCCTGCAGAGCCAAGGCCGGACATTGTTCTCCACTGTACCAGAGACTGCTGAGAAAGAGGCTCACTCTCTGTTTGTCCAAGAGGTAAAGCCAATATATACCTGGGTGTAAACTCACTTTGTTCTTCCCTTATCCCTTCATCTTGCCCAAAAGCCTCAACCTCTTCATCATCACCAAAGCCCAGAGCTTGTATGTGTTCCAGACTGCTCCCATGTTTGTGTTTCCTTTCACCCAAAGACATGTGCTTTGCCTCTGCCCTGAGATAACGTGGACTGGCTTTTACGCTTTTAAGTGCCTCAGATGATCAGAGAAGAATCCAGGACTGAGTTGTGTGGTGAAGAAAACAAACTCACATGACTTATAAACAAGTGAAAGCTGATGTCATGCTCATCACAAATGTTGCTGCTGGCCTTGAAATGAACCTCCATTTATGTCCTCCACCCTCAACATTGAGGGGGCCAGTGGATTGGCCACAGATGGGAGTCCACGGGGTCATTTGCGGTTCACAAAATATTGTGAACCGGTGGGGTGGGGCCTGATAGAGCATGATAGGTGATAGTCCCCCGATGATTCCAGCCAGAAATGACATCACAGCAACATCTGGAGCAGCTGGGATTTCTTGTACAGATTGGGATGTTCTGTTTTAAAAAAATATTTATTTCACTTTTTGGTGACCCTTTGACTCAACATGTGTTTTTTATGAATTCTTGTTATTCCCGGACATACTGAAGAAAGTAACATTGACTGTTTGTTTCATAGCTTCAGTAAAATCTTTAAGTTGTTCTCTCCCTTGTATAGGAAACATTTTTTTTCAAGGTAATCCCTTAAATACGTCTCAATTCACCTTTACTGATTGTTTGATGATGTTGAACGCTGACTTGATGATCCTCGTTTAAATGAACAAATGTTTCCTTTCTTTTTTTTTTTGGGAAACATCTCTGTGTCCCATATATTTGCAACAATATACATTCAATGCCAAAGAAAATTCCTGTTTTTAAGCTAACACAAAAGTGAAAGTGAATTGGGTTGACCTGACCACAGTTGCTGAAGATCATCTTAGTCTCAAAGTTTGCTTTCACATTATATCGAAAGACCTTCTCTTGACGGATGTCTGAAATTAAGCTTGTGCCTGTTTTAGCCATGTATGTACAGTATGAGAGTAACTACCTCTCCTCCTGATGATGTCGCCCTTCACCCCTCTATCTCCTTTTTTTCCTGTCTCTGCAGTGCATCAAAACATACAAGTCTGACTGGCATGTGGTCAACTACAAGTATGAGGAGTATTCTGGAGACTTTCGGCAGCTCCCAAAGTGAGTGGGTGTGATTTGCTGACAGGCGTTACAAGGGGGTCTGTTGACAGGTCTGTGGTCCGTTAAAATTCTGCTGAATTATGTCATTAATGGTTTGCCGTGTTCACCCATATACCCTAAATATTAGCCTCTCTTGGCTCTGCATTGCCCTGCCGACTTTGTAATTGCACTGTTGCTAGTCTCACTAATTTTAGTAAAGTGTGAAGCCTAAACACCAGAATATCCTAAATTGATGGCATAGGCCAAAATATACTGCTTGCAAAACCTCAAATCAATGCACCATTTAGCAGACCTGTGCAGAGCTTAAGATATCTAATCAATTTAAATCCGGTGTGCAGGTATACATTTAAAACTTGCGGAACAGAGTTCGACACCCCTGCTCGAAACGCTTTAGTTATGTCCACTGGCCTTGTTTACAGCCCAGATCCAACCCAAACAGTGTTAATGGAAATTTGCCTCAATGATTCTAAACTCCTCCACAGCAACAATAGAAGACTTCCTGTGTTTTCTATAAAGATAAACAGGACTATTCCTGGAGTGCTGTTGACTGTTATAATTAAAACAAAAGGAAAATCCCACAATACGTTATGTGTCCTTGACGAGCCACTTTCCTTGAGAAAAGTAATGAGCTTTGCAGATGTTGTGTTTAATGTTTAAAGCATCGTGGAGCACCTGCTCCGGCCTTGGCCTTCAGACTATTTAAACAAGCAGCTCCCAAAAGAGAAATGGCTCTTGTACATGTCAGAGGTCAAGCAGTCTGTGCTTTGTTCATCTGCAGCTTTGGAGCTGCATGCTTACATGTAGATGCATTGCTAAAAAAACAAACAAACATTTTGCTCATTACACAGTCTCCAAAAATAATTGTATGCTTATTTGTGCCATGCAGCCTTGGAAGCAGCAGCCATGCAGAACAAATGCGAGTAAATTTGTCCCAGACTACCTTTTGACCCTGGATTGAACCATCTGAGCCGAAAGCATTCACAATCCATCCTGAGTGCTTTTTCACCCTTTATTCATCAAGGTCCAATTGCCACTGGATTACCTATGATGCAGGTTAATAGGAAATGAGAATGGTGGCAGCACCCCATCCTGTAAAAGCCATCCATTTTGATTGGTTAAGCCTTATCAAGTCGTGCCAAAGTAGCAAGGACCTGAAATGTACAGCTAATCCCAGCACAAACCAGAAAGGTTAAAGAATACATTAGGAGGCTCCCAGCTGTGCAGATCAGTAATAGATTAGTCAAATTAATTCACCATTAAAATATATTATTATATAAAGTGCATTTACTTATATAGTCATCCCCAGATGTTAAAAACACTGATATAAAGTAGAAAATGCTACTTGGAATTTGGTGTTGACGGAAATATTTGCCCTATTAATTTCAGTTGCTGGATGCAATGATTTATTGATTGGCCATTTCACATTTGACTGATACTTCTGACCCTCTTTCAGTAAGGTGTCGAAACCTGAGAAGCTCGCCGTCCACTTGTTTGAGGTGGATGAAGACGTGGAAAAAGATGAGGTAAATTTTTTTCTTTTTTTTGGACCTCACCAGAAACTCTGTCTCACTTCAGCTCGGGTGGGTAACTACCACAGCTGGGAGTTAAAGAAAACTGAGAAAATTTGGCAACAGCATGGAGAACCTTTTTTTTTCTTTGAAGCTTCCATGTCCAATCAGAAAATTAATCACAAGCGCAATTAAATGAATGGCCCTATACTGAGTTTTGCTCAGTATAGGGCTGGAGCCAATATATATATATACATTTATAGTGTACATTTTGTATTCTTCCAGGACACAGCCTCTCTTGGATCTCAGAAGGGAGGAGTATCAAAGCATGGCTGGCTATACAAAGGCAACATGAATAGTGCAATCAGCGTTACTATGCGGGTGAGTGTACTTGAGAGAATGCATTTTCTGTCCCTGAAAATGGCTCTTTTACAATCCTGCTTTAATACTATTCATTTTAGCCTCCTAAGGCTGGTGCATCATTGGCCTCCAGGTGAATTGACTGGTTGTAGTAATAAAAGCTTACAGGCTTCAGCTTTCATTTTTGTACTTCTTAGAAACATACCAAATGTATGTTTGACCACAAATAAAAGTGTAAATACACAGTCTTACACAGTCTTACACAGCCTTACGGATAGGGTTAAGGTTAAATGTCCATGATGTTTTCACGGTACTCATAAATTTTTCTGTTTCCATTCTTATTGTATATTAAAGGGAAGATAGAAATGGGCCATTTTGGGTTGTAACCACTCTCTATTTTTGATAATCTAGTCTTTCAAGAGGAGGTACTTCCATCTGGCTCAGTTGGGCGATGGATCCTACAACCTCAACTTCTACAAAGATGAAAACACCTCCAAGGAACCAAAAGGCACCATCTTCCTTGACTCTTGCATGGGGGTTGTTCAGGTGAAGCCTCCTGCACAAACGAAGTATAGCTCTATATAGATACATTTGTTCTTTCTAGCTCAGTCTTTGTCTTTGTATCTTATTAGAACGGCAAAGTGCGTCGCTTTGCCTTCGAGCTGAAGATGCAGGACAAGAGCACGTTCCTGCTAGCTGCTGACAGTGAGATGGAGATGGAGGAGTGGATCGGCACCCTCAACAAGATTCTCCATAGCAGCTTCGAACAGGCTATGCAGGAGAAAAGGAATGGAGACCTGCATGATGGTGTGTGTGTTTTTTTCTTCATTCTTTAAATTTGAATGAGTTTTTTTAAGCATCATCAGCTCTGAAAGTTTTTCTGTGTATTTATTTGCCTATTTTCAATTTATATTTTTCTGACACAAAGTGTATGTATGTGTGTTTGTGTGTATATATACATAGTTATTTTTATGAAAAAAAACACCGCTAAGAGATTTCTTGTTGATCTCTCTGACAGACGAGGAACATGGAAAAACAGACCCGTCCTCAGGAAGCTTTCAAGATACTTTTCAGGTAGCCCCTGTGTCTATGAGTACACTGACACGTTACAGCAATAGTTGACTGACAATTTTGGCTATCCATTATATGAATCCTGGTCATGTGGTGTTGTTTGGGTTTCTGATGTTCCAAGGGATCCCTTGGACACAACCGAAGTGACCTCAAAATAGCCGGGAGGCTGTATTTGCTGTAACCGCATTTTCCTTTTGCTAACCAAGCACACATCTGGTATAGTGTGTTTGTCTCCAAATGCAGTAGCCAGACATGGCCAACACTTCTGCTGACTGGGAAAGCAACAGTGTAACGTGGCAGCATGAAAACAAACACTTACTTATGGCACATTTCTTTTATTTAACATGCAGTGTCAGCATTACAATTTAAGGCTGTAGAAATTCATATTTTTTGGATAAAGGATGGAGTAGTTTCCTGTGAGAAAACAGCTAAATTAACATAGGTTACAGACTATGTTAAACTATGTTAAAGCTCTATAAAGCATTTTGGCATCATTAGTCCTATGTTGTTTTTTATTATGTGTGACCATTTAACTGTATTATATATGCCATATCTGTGTAACACTTTGATGTTTACTTTGTTCACTTCATGGACAATGTGCTGTATAAATAAGCTCAGGTACCTGTTAAAAGTGTAATCATGGAGAAAATACTGTGTGCTTATCTACCAGACTGCCAGAGACATTGAATTGAAAATGAGGAGTGAAGCTCGCCTCAAGCTGTTTACTCTGGATCCCGACACACAGGTAACAAAGCTATTCCAATGGCTTTTCTGCATTTTGCAGTCGTTTTGTTTTCTGATGTAGCAGTACTTCTGACTTCTGACTTTTGACGGCGACATCTGCATTCACAGAAACTGGACTTTTCTGGCATTGAACCGGACGTGCGTCACTTTGAAGAGAAGTTCGGGAAGAGGATTCTGGTCAGCTGCCACAACCTGGCGTTCAACCTGCAGGGATCAGTGGCCGAGAATGAGGAGGGCCCCGCCACTAATGTATGTTTCAGTGGAAGTCCTAACAATCAGATATGGTTTTCTGGACGCACATATTTTCAGACTGAAATGAGAGCACCGGTTTGTGATTTCGGCGTAATTCCCGGGAGATGACGTTCTTTTTGCAAATGAGGGTGAGGTTTAAATCGCTTAAGAAGATCACAAACAGTTCACATGGCCCACTTGGCCGGTCCTCATTAAAACTGGTATTGCTGGCACTGCGGATTGCTGTTGCCATGACAGCAAGCCAGGACCGCCCACTGGGCTTTAGCATCCGCCCAAAGCTGGTTTTCCTGCTTTCACTCTTCAAGGTATCCGCATCTTTAGGGAGACAACTCTTTTGAGGCTCAACACTCAGCTGGGAAACCACAGGGATTAGCACTCAAGCAACTCTTTGCACTCATGTACAGGCACTCACTCCGACCGCGAAAACAATGGCTGATTGTAATGGAAGTGAATGGCTGAAGGAGTGAACGGGAAGATGAATTACATCCACGGTACATTTGATCCCGATCGAAAATGAGATGTGCATTAGGAAACTCTAAACTCAAACCGAGGCATATGAAAGCAGAATACAGAGGAACTGCGGGAATTGTTAAGAAACTGGGGAACAAGAGACACTCGAAACTCAAGGAACAAAATAAGCTAAACAAAATAACCAAAAAACAAACACCAAACACATGAAGAACAGAGAAACTAGGAAACTGAAACTCAACCAAGACGCGAGCCCAAACACAGAATACCACAAAAAACACAACAAAAAATTCAAACTAAAACTAACTAACTTTGAAAGAAACTAGGAAACTAAGTAAAAATACAAACAGAAAAAACACAGAACTCGAGAAAGTTTAGGGACTTTATCACAGAAACATTTTTCTCTCATTTTTCCCATTAAAGATGGAGCCTTTCTACGTGGTCCTGTCCCTCTTTGACGTCCAGAACAGTCGGAAGATCTCAGCCGACTTCCATGTGGATCTCAACCACCCTCTGGTCCGACAAATGACGGCCGGTCACGCTGGCGGGCCAGAATCGCAAACTGTTGATGACGGCCCCCTGGGAAGCCAAAGGCTGGCTACTGGCCTCCTACACCAGGCTCTTCTGTATCCGAAACAGGGGGTGTTCTCAGTTACTTGTCCTCATCCGGAGATCTTCCTTGTGGCCAGAATTGAGAAGGTCCTGCAAGGAGGGATCACTCATTGTTCTGAACCGTATATGAAGAGCTCAGACTCTGCAAAGGTTTGCTAATTATTAGGGATTTCTTTGTCTTTTGCTATTGCTGATATTAATAAAATGTTGTTTTTTTTTGTATAGATTGCTCAAAAGGTACTGAAGAATGCCAGGACAGCTTGCAGCAGGCTTGGACAGTACAGGATGCCTTTTGCATGGGCTGCTAGGTATGACGCCTCCTGCCGTTGAACTGAGCAACAGAAGGCAGGAAGGAAGGGCCAGCTTCACTCAGTTTGCAATTCCACATTTATGGAAGTTCTCATGTATTAGACTGGTCCCAGCTCTGCCATATTTGTCTGCATCACTTGTAAGAGGGCTTCTTTATGAATTTACCATTTTTTTACTCTATTATTTAATTAAAATCAAATCGTTGATTAGGGGCATGCAGGCAGTGCATTTGCATTCAGATTACCTCACATTTGCATTCAAATCAAGATCTCGTCTCTGCTTTGGTTCTCTATAAGTATGAAGCCATATTCAAATATAAGAATGGGTGTACACGAGAAGCAAAGCCCAGTTCATAATAAAATTTGCAAATAAATTTAGCCTAAAGCTCACTGATCAAAGTGTTACATCTTGTTAGTGTTATGTGGGTGAATTTTGTGGAACTTTGTGATTAAATAGATAATATGGGTGCAAATAGTGTTCACAAAATTGGAAATAAAACATATAGGAGAGATAAATGCATTGAACCAATGTATAATTTGTATCCACAAATGGAGGGATGTTTTTTTTAACAATGACCCCTCTTGGTTTAGAACAAAGCATTGTTTCTTTTTTTTTTAAAGCGTGAACTTTTCTCTTGTGACGAGATGTCAGCAAACCTTCGAAGGGGAGCATTGTTTTTAGGCCAGTTGTGCAGAAAAGAAATGCTTAAACCCTTGTCCTTTTTATCCCTGTAGGCCTGTGTTTAAAGATGCATCAGGAACTCTGGATAAAAACGCTCGCTTCTCAGCTCTATACAGACAGGACAGCAGCAAGCTGTCAAATGAAGACATGTTCAAACTGCTCACCGACTTCAGAAAGTACTTTTTTTTCTTTTTAAACCTTATGATTCCCTCCACTCCTGACATTTTTTGACCTGCTTGTAACGGGCTCCTCTTCCTCTGATTTTTCTCCACAGACCTGAGAAAATGGCCAAACTCCCTGTACTCTTGGGGAACTTAGATGTAACAATTGACAGCATGGCTCCCGATGTTACCAGTAAACCTTCCAAATATTTCAAAGTCATTTCTCCCTATGATTTCCACACTTTCTTCCTCATCATCCAACCCGGTTGTATTTGCTCCACATAGACTGCGTCACCTCCTCATACATCCCTGTGAGGAACTTTGAAGCAAATGGGCCGGGCAGTGCTCTTCTTGAGGTGGAGGAATTTGTGCCCTGTATTGCAAAGTGTTCCCAACCTTTCACCATCTACAAAAATCACCTTTATGTCTATCCAAGACACCTGAAGTATGATGGGCAGAAATCTTTTGCTAAGGTATGTGTAGCGGCTACAATTTGTTGTGTATTATAATTGTTCTGTATTTGACAAAGACCTTTTTTTTAAAAATCAGTTTGCCTTAGAAAAAGTCTTCCAAATTGTGCAACTTATCCTTTAAGGAAAGTAATGCTTTTGTTTGGCAGGCATTCCCATATCATCCATTTGTGTTCCTATTTAGCCTGAGACTCTACTGGCAGCAGCCTTGAGCCCGTTAAGCCAAGTAACAGAGCTGGATGGAATTATATCTATGCAGAGCAGCAGCTTTTGATTAATGCTTTCATTTGTTTATTTATATGTTTATATATCCAGGTCAGTCCTGCATAGGGAACGAGTCCGCCTATTTTACCCTTTCTAACTCAGTGGTTTATTTTATTCTACCGAACATTTCTCAGTTCTTCTGTTTAAATTAATTAACACAACCCTTTCCCCCCCCAACTTTTACGCCCTGCTCGTGTAGGCGAGGAACATCGCAGTTTGCGTTGAGTTCAAGGATTCCGACGAGGATGACGCCCAGCCGCTGAAGGTGCATTTAAGGCCTAATTTTGCCTGGCCTAAGCCATGGTGACTTCAAGTCATCTCTTGGCCAAATAATATTGAAGAGTAAATTTAAACGCTGTTACTGACTTGACACTTCATTTAAACTATTCTCTAGGTTTCAACTTAGCAGTAGTGCATATTGAGCATATCTTTATCAGCAGGTTTAACAATTGCATTTTTTTATCTCTTCTTACTTGTTTTTCTAATCTGCTGCAGTGCATCTACGGTCGTCCGGGTGGGCCGTTATTTACAAAGCAGGCGTATGCGGCGGTACTGCACCACCAGCAGAACCCTGAGTTCTATGATGAGGTACTTCTGCTCACAGTCAGTTTTCTTAATGTCAAGCAAATGCACGGAGAGTACCGAGTTATTCTAAAGCCTCAAACTTCATGTTGAATCCCTTGAAAAAGGCACTTCTTTCACTCTTTCCAAACACCCGTTTTGTGTGAATCTGCACTTTCTTTTTTTGTCACCCTCAGATAAAGATAGAGCTGCCGACCCAGCTGAATGAGAAGCATCACCTTCTCTTTACCTTCTACCATGTGAGCTGCGACAGTAACAGCAAGAAGAAGGACTTGGTGGAGACTCCAGGTAGGCAAAAAGGTTTCAAAGCCCTTGCGTGTTCACAAAAAATAAAATACAGACTGAAGCATATGTATGTGCCAAAACTGTTTGATTTGGTTGGTCTTTGGCCTCAGTGGGATCCGCTTGGCTGCCTCTGGTCAGGGACGGCAGCAGAGTCATCATGAACGAGCAGCAGCTTTCCGTGGCTGTCAATCTACCTGCTGGGTATCTGGGCTCCCAGGATGGCATCAACAAGGTAAAACCGAACAAAAGCCGGCAAAATCAAAACACTGTTATTCTTAGCATTTAGAAATAAAAGCTGGTTCTTCGAATTGACGTGTATGGTAGGTCACAAGAGATCATCCACTCTAAGAAGTTTGTGTTCTCTTTTTTCTGTACGTCACTGTAGTTCTTTGTAATTCCCTCAATCTCTCAATAGATACATTTCGGTGGGAAATTAATGAAAGATGTCCTAGATGATTGGATTGGATTGGATCAGCATTCAAATGCAATTCATTAAAAGGCACACCCCACTTGTTTGCCTTTGCCGTGATGCACAACTAAACGGTTTAAAGTGGAATTTGATTATAGTCGTAGCAGAGTTCAAATACAAAGGTGGCACATCAATTAACATTTTATCTTCCACAACATCAAAATTAGATTTCAGATTGAATAGCCTTTGTTTCACCAAAATAAACACAGAATTTGTTTTGTTGAGTATTTTTTTGTACATGCAAGGAATTTGACGTGGTCATTGTTCATTTCTGCAGTCCGGTGTGGAGGTGAAATGGGTAGATGGCGGCAAACCCCTGTTCACGGTCTCAACCCATCTGGTTTCCACAGTTTACACCCAGGTATTCATGCACAAAGCATCGATTCTAATGGCTGCTTATGTCACTTGCTCGCTCAGTACACTTTTAGCGGCATATTTTCTCAAAAAAGCAAATCGGTGAGAAATTTGTGTTTAATATGAGACTTCTCCACCAGGATCAGCATTTGCACAACTTCTTCCACCACTGTCAGCGCATGGAGATGTCCGAGCAAGCTTCAGAGGGGGAGCTGGTCAAATTCCTTAAGGTATTCATGCGGTTTTGATTTGCCCTCATAGAAAAAAAAAGGAACGTGCATTGTTTTGTTTAGTTTGTTTTGACAGGGAATATTCATGGTTCATTCATTTATTTCCTTTTTCTTTCTCTCCTCCACCAAGAGTCTGCATGCTATGGAAGGCCACGTGATGGTAAACTTCTTGCCGACAATCCTCAACCAGCTCTTCTGCGTCCTCACCAGAGCCACGCACGAGGACGTGGCTGTTAATGTGACAAGGCAAGCCACAGGGACAATCACATGCAAAACATTCTTTCCCTTCGGGTAGAGAAACACAACTCAGCCATAGTTTGGGTCTCCTTTAACAATATGAGTCTGTAGATAATTAAACTTCCAGACATTTACAGAACTTTTCTGATCCGGGTTGTAAATAAGGCGTCAGTCACTTGGAATGAATAGATGTAATGTTTGTCTTTGTCTTTGTGGTTAGTCCCCCATCCCCACCCCTAAATATTTAACGTTTGCTTTTTCTTCAGGGTTATGGTTCATGTGGTAGCACAGTGCCACGAAGAGGGGCTTGAGCATTACCTTCGATCGTATGTCAAGGTGCAGGTTTTGTCATTCTGCTTTTTTTCTGTAAAAACTGAGATTACGTAACACAAAAACACAGTTTTTTAATCGACTTTTTTCTTTTTTTGTTGTCTTTTTCCCCGCTCTTAGTTTGTATTAAAGCCAGAGCCGTATTCCTCCATCTGTGTAAAAACAGTTCATGAAGAGCTGGCTAAAGCCATGACGGCCATACTGAAACCCTCCACAGACTTCTTAACAAGCAACAAGCTGCTGAAGGTACATTTTCTACTTTCGCAAAGCAAAAATGCTCTTAAAGAATTCAACAGAATATGTAGCTGGTGACAGATAAAAGTGTCAGAGTTTGGAGTGGAGGAGTTTTCATGGCACAAGCTCATCTCAGATGGGCAGAAATGCAGTAACACGTGCTCTGACACCATATGAGTCCATTTTTTAGTTACATTTGGGATAAATGGATATTGCACACTGATTAAAGATGAAAGAAGACGTTTCCATGAAGAGGTATATACCTTGAGGTCCTTGGTTATTGCAACAGGACAGTATTTTCTCCACAGCTTGCTCTTGGCATCACCTTTTTTATTTGATTTTAACTTGAAATTGTTAGACATCTCTCTTTATGTGTATAGTATACTGTTCAGCCTGGCTCTGTCTGTTGAGCCTGGCTCTGTCAGTGCTGTATAGAAACCTTTTTGGTTTGCTTTTTATCTGCTGCTGTAATCCTCTAATTTACCCTTCGTGGGACTAATAATTGAGTGTATTATCTTATCTTATCTGGTATCATAGTTAAAACCTATTTTATGCAGATTTAAGTTTATTTGAATATTAGAAAACTTTGCAACTTTCCAAGCATTTGGAGTTGAAAGGCTTTGGTTACCAAGGATGACAAAGTAGTGATTGAATTTTCAACCGCTTTCACTGACTCGTTCCACAGCACTTGTGGTACTTCTTTGAAGCCCTGGTGAAGTCGATGGCTCATTACCTGACAGAGAGTGGGAAAGTCAAGGTGGGTTTGCTTTCCCCCCTGCTCCTTCGCTTCCTCAAAGGCCTTTCCATTTATGCATAACTGCTGTCCTTCTTCTCGTCCCATTGCCCTGGGCGCAGCTCTCCAGGAACCAGCGCTTTCCTGCTTCCTTCTACCACGCGCTTGAGACTCTGGTCAACATGCTGATGCCCCACATCACGCAGAAATACAAGGACAACCTTGACGCGTCGCGCAACGCCAACCACAGTCTGGCAGTTTTCATCAAGGTTGGTCCTTTCCCCTCGTTAGGAAAATTCTCCTCTTTTGAGCTCATTGCGATATGACATGGTACACATTGTTTTTATAGATCAAAAACAGAATTGCTTGCCTTAAGTTTTTTTGTTTTTTTCCTGCACAAATTGCAGAAAATAAATCTCTCAAATTGTTTTTTTTTTCTCCCAGCGCTGCTTCACCTTCATGGACAGAGGCTTTGTGTTCAAGCAGATCAACAACTACATGAACTACTTTTTGCTCGGAGACCCAAAGGTTACTAGGCTCATGCTGGCTTCTTTTAATTAAAGATAAACAAAACAAACATATTTATAGTAAGAGCCCGAAGCAGACGTAAAGCCCTAAACCGTTATCTTTCGTACGTTCCTTTCAGACCTTATATGAATTTAAGTTTGAATTTCTTCGAGTGGTTTGCAACCATGAGCACTACGTGCCTCTAAATCTGCCCATGCCCTTTGGAAAAGGCAGAATTCAGAGGTTTCAAGGTAAAACGATGACCGATTCATATAATTTTCTATTCGGCCTATTCGGATATCCGATTTGCTAATGTCTTCAACTGAATGTAATTCTGCTTCAGATCTCCAGCTTGACTATTCTCTTACTGATGACTTCTGTCGAAACCACTTTTTGGTGGGCTTGCTGCTGAGGGAGGTGGGCGGGGCTCTTCAGGAGTACAAAGAGATTCGCCAGATTGCCATCCAGGTGCTCAAGGGACTTATGATTAAACACACATTCGATGACCGTTATGCCACGAAAGTGAGTCCTGCAGCTCTTTACAGCATGCACACACACACACACACTTTTTGAGCCATATTCACTTTGGCTAAAGGAGTCTTTCGATTTTTCTCAATCACTGTCTTCTGAATTCTTCATTAACTGAGCTGACGATGTGTTTGAATGCAGTCTGAGTTAAAAACCCACTCAACTTATGGCTACATTTTATATGTAATTTCAGAGCCAACAGGCCAGGCTTGCCACCCTCTACCTCCCTCTGTTTGGGCTGCTTCAAGAGAATGTCTATAGGCTTGACATCAAGGATTCTGCTCCTCTCACAAACAGCAATGTAAGGCTGACACCTCATGGTCGTAAACCGAATAACAGCTCCATTTAGTGATATCCCAAACAATACATAGCTGGATTGATTTAGTCTTTTCACATCGTTCATGTTTGCCGGAGTTGTATTTGAACACTTATTTTTTCTGCCTCAGAACACGAGGGAGGACTCCCTGGTGCCTAGCTCCATGGTGACCCCTCAGAAACCTGGAAGCTACATAGAAACCGCTCTCCACAAAGATGTGTTTGGAGTCATATCTGGAACCGGTGAGTGGTTGCTAAAGTGGAGGAGTGCTGAAATTCAACCATATAGTTTAAAATCTTAGAGAGATCAGGGAGAGTAAGAAGAAAAGAAAAAACACCAAAATATATATTTGTTTTAGTGATTTAAGATTAATTTGCTCTTCTCCACTTCCTTCTCAGCTTCTCCTTACAGCTCTACTCCCAATGTGGTTTCAGTCCATCACGCAGACTCCAGAGGCTCTCTGGTCTCAACTGACTCCACAAATAGTCTGGCAGACAAGAGCAGCGACAAGACAAACTCCCTGGAGAAGGTATCTGTCCGCTTGGTTTACAGTTCGATTGAATCATCTCATACTCTGTTAAATGTGTTTTTCCGGTAAAGGTTCAATTTACACTACTCCAACTCTCCAACTCAATACTCTACTTGTGAAAGTGTATTTTGCATCTCCACCGCTCAATTTTGTAACTACAAAAACGTGACAGAGGTTTTATCTGCTGTATGTTTGATGGAATGATTGATTGTCATCGTTTATAATATAACAGCTTGGATGGCGAGGGTTGAACAGGTTAATTGAACTATAGAATTTGCACCCAATTCAAAAACAGATCTATGATAAAAAAGAGTCAAATTTTCCTTTTTTCTTCAACACATGCAAAGTTTAAAATGATATTGATCTTGACATTCGAGAATTAAAGGTGGATCTAAGAATGAAAATGGTAATGTATGCATACATGTAGGCAATTTTATTTGTATTGAACATTTCATACATAACAGCAACCGTACAAAGTGATGAAGATTAAATAAATTCACTTAAAAGAACCTGTACTGAAGTACAGGTTCTTTTAAGTGAACATGTGTTGCCCCTAATCTCTACACATAAGGTCATACATGGAAGTACCGGTGACAATTAAAGAAGAAAGAAACCAGACACAGCAAAAAACTAACAAAAAAGTAAACAAACCAAAAAATGATTACAGCTGATGATTGTTAGCAAAGGGATCCTTTTCTTTCCTAATTTTGGATCATCTGCGCCCCTGGATTCCCACATCTTCCGCTGTTGACCACCCAACCACATCAATAGGAGAGATTTACCAGGAGGCACTCTGTCAACGTGCCCCCGCTCCCCCTCAACCTGGCTGAGCGAGATCTGCCTCTGAAGCGGGTCACGGTGGACTTCTCCCTCCTCACTGTGCCTCTGCATGACCGACTGCCACGCAGTGACAGGGAGAATGACAAAGCAGCCACAGGCCAGAGAGCGGATGGAGATCATGAGGAAAACATACCTATACAAGTACTCCTGTTTGGCCCCTGCTTACCTATCCACTTTCAGCCCTTGGCGGCTATACGATGAGTCATTGGTCTTATCGCAGACTAGAATTCCTGATGAGTTTCGTACGTCTTGTGCAAAAGTATTCCAATTCAGACATTGGGGGATTGCAGCTATCTGTACAGTATCTGTACAAAATCTCTCCTCATCTTTGAGTGTCTTCTCATCTTCCAGCGTTTGGGTGTGTGATTTTTATGTGTGCTCGGAAGCATTGACTTCTTTTTTTTCCTTTTTTTTTGCTCATCACATATCGAAATGTTTGGACTGTTCGAGTGAGGTGAGCTTCTTCGAGTTCAGATGATTTACATTTTTTTGCTTCTCCACCCCAGAACCAGTGTGAGTCGGCTCTCGGCAGCTCTGTGCTGCGCTGTGACAAGCTGGACCGAAATGAGATCAAGCACCTGCTCATGTGCTTTCTGCACATCCTCAAAAGCATGTCGGAAGGTAGGGTAGGAGTGAATCATTTACATATGGACAAAGGTTCATGTAAAAACAACGACATCAACAAAAAAACAGATACATTTTTATTTTTATTCATCGCCAGATGCCCTCTTTGCTTACTGGAACAAAGCAGCTCCAGCAGAGCTAATGGACTTTTTCACATTATTAGAGTAAGTACTGTATTAGTAGATCCAGACTGTATTGCAATTTTTTTTGCGCCCATTTTGCCATAATTAGGAATAAGCTTGGACTGAAGTATAGGCTGTTTTCTGACAGTGATCTGCTAATGTTTGTCCCTCAGGGTCTGCCTCCATCAGTTCAGATACATGGGAAAAAGAAATATCGCCAGGTATTTGTTGATTCCGTTTGTGGATGTCACATATTTCTTATGAAACTATTCTTCAACGGAAACTAATTCAGCTTTTCATCTGTGTGATGAATGACTGACACCTACACAGAAACTTGCAAACCTTAATGCTCACTGAAATGACTAACCTTCAGCTCTTGATTTGTTCTCTTATTTGTAACACTGCTGGCAAGTTCTTTTGTGACTAATGAAGCAGGCCTGTGCCCTTCCTGCATGGGGTAAGAGAGTTTTTTTTTCCTTGGTTAAATGCATGTGGCTGACAAGGTTCTTCTTTTTCTATTAAATACAACAAATACTGATAACTCATAAACTGGTGTTTTGATCTAATGTTTTCCTCTCTACAACACAAGACCCTGACTCCTAGTGAAGTTTGTTGAAGGCCATTTATCGTTGTAGTCACTTTTCAGACTAACAGTCCAAGATCTTTTTTTTTTCTCGTTCCAACAGGAGCCAGGAGGGCACAGGACCTGTGGCCGCAGACAGGAAGTCCCTGACTCTGCCTGTGTCTCGTAACAGGGCTGGAATCCTGCACGCTCGGCTACAGCAGCTCGGGGCGCTGGAGAGTGCTCACACCATCAGTAACAGTAGGTTTAAAATTCTGCAATTAAACAGATTATTCTTATTTTGTACAGAGCGCAATCAAAATATCCAACCTTAAAAAACACATATAAGAGTAAGCAGAGTATTGTATAATTTCTTTTCTTTGTGGAAACTGCGAGGAAAGAAAATAAAAAAAAAGGAATTATAAGATTACAACTGTATTATCGCAGATCCGATATTTTGTCATTATTCTGGTAACATTACGACTTAATTCTCGTTATATTATTACTTTAATTTCATAACATTAAGACATTAACGTAATTTCTCCCAGCATTTCTCCTAATAGTCTGTTGTAACATACAGCAGTCAGCAGGGAGGTGACGTTTTTTTAATGTCTGCCAAAACCTCAGTTTAGGAGCTCACTTAGTTCTTATGTATTATTCCACATAAACAAAGTCAGTCCTCCTTGCTTGATGAACTAAATTTTTTTGATGGGTATTATGACAACTAATGAAGACTCCTAAAGTTATGGAAGTGTTGCACTGACCTCTGCTGGCATAATAACAAACAATGTCAATGCTGAGGGTGAATGACTACTGATTTGCATCCAAAAGGCTGTTGATCCCAAGCAGACCTGGTGATATGCCAGTGTTTCTATAAAGTCACATTTTCAACGGTGCACCTTTGCCTCCAGTGTACACCCACACAGAAGCTGATGTAAACAGCCAGTGTCTGCTGGAGGCCAACGTCTCCACGGAAGTCTGCCTGACCGTGTTGGACACTCTCAGCATCTTCATCATGGGATTCAAGGTGTCAGCAAAAACTAAAACTAAACCTCCAAGCACACATGGCACCATCCTGGTCATCAAATAACATGTACGTCCTATGTTTTCAGACTCAACTGAATTCAGATCTAGGTCACAATCCCCTGATGAAGAAGGTTTTCCAGGTCCACTTGTGCTTCCTGCAGATCCCTCAGTCGGAGGCTGCTCTCAAGCAGGTCTTTACCTCACTCAGGACCTTCGTTTACAAGGTGAAATTGGGCTGAATTGTCAGGATGTTTGGACTACAGTAGAAGGCTTAAAAATCTGATTGCTTTCCAGACCTTTTTTTTGTTTAACTGAAGCTAAAATTTCCATGCACTTCCAGTTCCCTTGTACCTTCTTTGATGGACGAGCTGACATGTGCGCCTCCCTCTGCTATGAAATACTCAAGTGCTGCAACTCCAAACTGAGCTCCATCCGTAGCGAGGCCGCCCACCTTCTATACTTTCTCATGAAGAGCAACTTTGACTACACAGGCCGCAAGTCTTTTGTGAGAACACACCTCCAGGTATTTTTGTTGATTTCACATGAGCATTTCCTTTCGCGTTTTTCTTGCTAAGTTGATCAGCATGAGGTTGATGTTGTACGTCTACCTTCCCCTAGGTGGTAATTGCCGTCAGTCAGCTGATTGCTGATGTCATTGGCATTGGGGGTACCCGTTTCCAACAGTCTCTCTCTATCATAAACAACTGCGCCAACAGTGACAAGAACATAAAGGTGAGGACCCAAATCACGCTTAAACAGTAGCTAAAAACAAGCTTGTACGTGTACGTTTCAAAACTTGGTTTAATCCCCGATAATCATCTTGCAAAAGTCAGTAAAATTAGTCTTATGCATCCCTGTCACACTGTGCAGCACACAGCATTTCCGTCAGATGTAAAAGACCTCACCAAGCGCATCAGGACAGTGCTGATGGCCACAGAGCAGATGAAGGAGCACGAGAACGACCCAGAGATGCTGGTGGACCTCCAGTACAGCTTGGCCAAGTCTTACACCAGCACCCCCGAGCTCCGCAAGACCTGGTTGGACAGCATGGCTCGCATCCACAACAAGAACGCCGACCTTTCCGAGGTACTCGCTGCGGTAAAGATGTAAACGTGCCTCTCACATAGTTCTGAAATATGCCTGCAGAGCTGCATCACCAGTATTTGTTGTGACAACCTTTGGCTCTCCATGTTCTTCACCCGCAGGCAGCCATGTGCTACGTTCATGTTGCTGCTCTAGTGGCTGAGTATCTATGGAGAAAAGGTGGGTTCAAAAAAGGGTTATCTTGCTTGAGCAGCAAATTTCCATTTAAACTACTATCATTGGTTTTTATAGTCCTCATTTACAGAGGCCCTAAAATGATTCACTTGAAAGTGTTTCCAGATAATAACAGTAAAACATTTTTTAAAACATCCTGAGATGACTCATTAATAAAAACATGGGCTACATAGATGTTATAAGATTTGATGCTGATATTCGACAAAGCAGAAACACCCCACACCTATTGAAAATGAGAGCAACATTAAATAACAGCCTGTCCTGTGAGTATCAGTTTACAGACCATTGAAAAAATGTTTTGTAATCAGAAGAGAGGATAATCGTCTTCTGTCTCGATGGTTCTATCTGACAGGAATGTTCAGGCAGGGCTGCTCAGCCTTCCGCGTCATCACTCCAAACATCGACGAGGAGGCGGCCATGATGGAGGACGTCGGGATGCAAGACGTCCACTTCAATGAGGCGAGACCTGTTTTCTAAATTCTGCTGTGCGAGCTGCCTTTGTGTACCTGTCAGTTTAATAATGTTTCTCTGGCTTTTATGATGTGCTTTTCATCAAAATGACACGTCCCGTGATTGCTCTTATCTTTTTAACGATTATCAATTGGTCTGAGGTTAGTGGAGGAAATTACAATACTGTAGACTTTGACACAGGACTTGTCAAAGTCCTTTTGTTGCCTGTAAACGTTCTTGAGTAGCCAACAGGAAGTGGCCTCGAGAAAACTTCAGAGTAGTGTTCTTGACCAATAGGAGTTAAACCGTGTTGACAATGAGGCCCCTCACTCGAAATGAAAGTGGCGGCTGATATGTGAGCTTTTACGAGTTGGTCAACATACCTGTTGACAGTGAAATGCTCCTTTACCTTCTCTTAAAAAGCCTCTCTCCATTTACGAGCTGGACTCATAAAGAGAAAAACCGGGGCAGACTGTTCAGAGTTGTCCCTCAATAAAAAACAAAGGAGATGGTAGATGTGCTTCCAACCATGTCTGCTGTTTTTTTTTTTTTTTTTTCTTTTGGCAGACAGCACTATCTCTGTTTGTAAAGCGTTGCATGCTAAAGCAGCCTAAGCTGAGGCTGTGGGGAGGAGGGGAGAGCGTATTCGAGCGCAGGTTTATGTTCTCTGTGCCATTGTTTGTGTTCAGGAGGTGCTGATGGAGCTTCTGGAGGAGTGCGCTGATGGCCTCTGGAAGGCGGAGCGCTATGAACTCATTGCCGATGTTTACAAGCTCATTATTCCTATCTATGAGCAGCGCAGGGACTTCGAGGTAAGCTGCACAGTGGGCAGCAGGACACACACCAGTGTTATCCTGCATAGCTGCAAATGATATGGGTCTGAGCTTTTTAACCTGAAACATAGATGTGGTTGCTGTTTTTAAGCATGTCACCATACTTTGGTTACAGTAAAAAAAAGCTTTATATTTAGTATCAATCACTTTGATGTTTTTGCTGCTCCTCCAAACATTATGAGACTTGCAATGGACTATTTATACCGGAATAAATTCAACTTCATAGGATTCTTTAGAGGACACCTTAGTTGAAGGGCTCTCTCTATTCATGGTGTTACAATCCCTGGCATTTGATATATAAAATAAGTTCTAGTCTTTTACATCCAGGACCTTATCTCTCCTACTGGTTATGATTTTTTTTAAAACAGAAACTGACACACCTGTATGACACCCTCCACCGTGCCTATACCAAAGTTATGGAGGTGATGCACACCGGCAAGAGACTGCTGGGCACATACTTCAGAGTGGCCTTCTTTGGACAGGTGAGGTTCCGAATGGTGAAAAACACATCTCTATCGAGACGTTTTGTAACGTTTAGATTATGGCTATGTACCGACACACAAAATGATTTTCTGACTCTGAATGAAACGTCTCTTCCTTTCCATCCCCCCTCCAAGGCTGCGGTAAGTTTGTTGTTCCAGATCTGTGTGTGTCGGGTCTGCATCTCCATTCTTCTCTGAGTAGTTCTAGATTTGTAGTCAGATTAGTGGTTATTAGTTAGATTACTGGCAAATAAGTGTCATTTCTGCAGTGATAGCGCACGTAAAACAGTTGCAGAGTGTGAACTGCAGATTTAGCATTGGCATGCAATTTTTTTGGTTTTTGTAGTTCGGCCTGTAATATCACTCTGTTAAGTCTGCAGTCTTGTTATTCTTGGTGGTCTATCCATTAAAGCTATTTATGTTCCCTTCACTGAAACTTTTTTCATCCACATCTACTGAGAAATGTGCACATGAATAGCATTACAGCATTCACTGTCTTCATTTCTATTTTTTGTCAAGCTCAATTTTCCATGATTGTTTTTTTTCTTCAAATAAACTTTTATACATTCTGTAACTTTGTTTGAACTTACTTAATGTTTTTTTTTATTCCCTTTCCTTATAGAGTGATAAGGCTTTTTTCTGAATAATTGTGTGGGAAATGTTTTAAATGTTTTATCATATATTGCAGGGCTTTTTTGAAGATGAGGATGGAAAGGAATACATCTACAAGGAGCCAAAGTTTACTCCACTGTCAGAAATTTCCCAGCGGCTTCTTAAGCTCTACTCTGACAAATTTGGACAGGAGAATGTGAAAATCATTCAGGATTCTGGCAAGGTGGGTTCACATTCATGTTGTTCGCTAGGTCATTAGGAAATTAGGACAAAGTTCGTTGTGCGTTGTGGCACTCGTGCTGCTTCTCCCCGCACATAAAACTACTGCTAATATTCAACTGAAACTTTGCTTTTATAGGGCAAGTGTTCCTCTGTTAAATTGTGAATTTGCATAATTTGAAAGGGATTTTTAGATTTGAGTTATTTGGAAAAAATATTTGGAAAAAAACAAAAAAAAACAACTCATAACTTTGCAAACAGGTAAACCCGAAGGACCTGGATTTGAAGTATGCCTACATCCAGGTGACACACGTCACGCCCTTCCTGGATGATAAAGAAGCCGAGGACCGGAAGACGGACTTTGAGAAAAGCCACAACATCAGGCGCTTCGTTTTTGAGACCCCTTTCACGGTGTCGGGCAAGAAGCAAGGAGGGGTGGAGGAGCAGTGTAAACGGCGCACTGTACTAACCAGTACGTCCTACACAGACGACAGGTTCTATCTGATCTGAGGGAGGAGTGGTGCTGACATGGATGAGTCTTATCAAAGTGTGTGGTGATAAAGACAACCAAAATGACCGTTTGTGCAATTGTAGTTGTCACATTGTCTAAAGTTCAGTTAGTTCATCAAACTCCTCCTTTAAATTGATAGGAGCACCTCCACCATCCCACAAGCTACAATATTGTCTTTTTAACAGGGTATAGCTTAGCCTTTGCTGTTCATCTTCCTTGAGACTCCAGGTACCCATGAACATGTAGATAAACGTGGATTGGATGCCTTCCACCTGCACTACCAGCCAAGTAGTAGCAATAAAATATAAATGATTACCTTTACTTTACCTTATATTTTTAAGCTTTTGCTGAGCTTGTTTTCTTGTTTTCTGTGTCTTGTTTATACTGCCCAGCAGTTTCTCTATTCTGGGATCAATGCAGTGCATCTTATCTTTTGATTATAAATCAGTCTGGGAAAAATGTTTGTTGATTAGATTCCATACGTTTTAGTTTTCTTTTGTTGCTATAAGAAAAAAACAAGAAGTCAAATTTGAAACTAAAATTGATTGCTTTCCACTCAATCTTTATCCCATTATGAGTTAGTTAAATCGAAATCAAGGAGCAGAAATGCCTCCCTTGTTGTTTGTTATTGTTGATTTGCAGGCTATCTTGCTTCTCATGTAGCCAGATAAGGTGACGTTTATTGCTGTTCTATCAGTTTCATCCCAAGGTTGAAGTGCTATCTTTCCAAGTTAATAATCATGCTGGCCGTTAATGACCTGCTTGTGGGTGGAAAAAAAAAACTCTCTTTTGAGTAGTTTTATTTACATGGGATTTGGTAACAGCAGTGCTATGAGCGTGTCCATGGAGACATAACTGAACAGGGAACACAACATATCTTAGAAGTGTTTACTTGCCAGAGTCTCAAAAGATAATAATATGTTCTCTCTGACTGATATCATGCTTTTTCTGCCTTGAACCCTTCCACCCAGCCACCCACTGTTTCCCTTATGTAAAGAAGCGCATAGCAGTCATGTACCAACACCAGACCGACCTGAGCCCCATTGAGGTGGCCATAGATGAGATGAGTGCCAAAGTGGCTGAGCTGCGACTTCTGTGCTCAGCTGCGGAGGTGGACATGATCCGCCTGCAGCTCAAGCTGCAGGGCAGCATCAGTGTTCAGGTACTGTGGCACTGGTAAGAGTCACGCCTCTCGATTCAATAGCCTGGAAATCGACTGACTCCAGCGTTATTTTTCTAGGTAAACGCAGGTCCGCTTGCTTATGCCAGAGCCTTCCTGGATGACAGCAGTGCCAAAAAATACCCAGACAACAAGGTTAAGCAGCTCAAAGAAGTTTTCAGGTACCGGTTATTGTAAATATGTAAATATAAAAAAATGTAAAAAAGAATTACAACCCTCTCAATATTTAACAATTTTAGTCTCAATGTGACGCAACCTAATATAAATTTTGAAGTCAGCGTCTTATTTCTGTTGCTCAGACTGCGTTGTATTTAAAATCCGGCCTTTAGATGCCAGCCATACCCAAAAAACATTTGGAAAGAAAGAAAGTTTATGACTGGTGAGGATGTCAGGATTGGCTGTATCAGTAAGGGTGGACATATTTATAGACTAGCGTATTAAAGTGCTTTTGCATTGTTCTGTAGACAGTTTGTCGACGCCTGCGGTCATGCGCTCGGGGTTAACGAGCGACTGATCAAAGAAGACCAGCAAGAGTATCATGATGAGATGAAGGCCAACTACAGGGACTTGGCCAGGGAGCTGTCAAACATCATGCATGAGCAGGTGGGAACCCCCAGCATGCCAGTATGTGCTATCTCTAGAAATGTATACAATCATATCGTTAAGCTGAGCTGCCAGACATGGAACATTTAAGCAGTAGACACGGAAGAAAATTATCCTCAAGGCCTCCTTATTGCAAGGTCAAAATGTTCCCCAATAGTTAAAAAGGGGCACATGCAGATGAAGCTGCTTATTGTGTCATAGTCTGTTGAAAAAAACAATAGCATACCACATGATTTTGTTGGTTGAAATCTCAACTCTGCATATTTTGTTATTTTCACTTGTTTAACTAGAAAGCAGAATGTTATCTTTTGACCACTTACTAACCATATTTCTCCCATCTCTTTGTCTTTATGCTGGCCTGAACAGATTGGAGGGTAATGCAGTTGTCCTTTTATACATTTTATGAAGGGAAGAAGGAGGGAATGTACTGAAATGTCTTTTTTAAAATATACAAAATCAAATTTGTCAGACTTTCTTTGTGCCACACCAAGCAAACTTTTTTTCTATATCATGTGCAGAGCCACCATCAGCACCCCAAACTGTCTTACTGTAGAGGGGCAGTTTCTTTGAATGTTTCTCGAAATGCTATGTGAGAATAGAGAAACAGAAAATAATGAGACTAATCCTTAAAATGATTTATTTCTTCTAGATAAACCCAGTGGAGGACGGTACGAGGAGCACCTTGTCTGACTCTTTGGGTATATTCAATGCCATCAGCGGCACGCCAAGTGCCAACCCACATGGCTCGACTACCATCCTATGATGGCTCAGGCCTTCTTCACTGCTAGAGATGGGTTTAACCACCTGGATCATCATTAAGGTCGCATTTGAAGAACTCAAAACAGCCTCACGCCCTTTTGTTTCAGTGAACATCCTCATCTGCAGTGTTTGCTTTTCTTTCCTCTTGTTTCCTATGGCGACTTTGGTGTAAAAGGAGTTTGGCCTTGCATCCTTATGTACAGCTTGTTTTGTGGCTTGAGAACGGATCGTAATAGTTGATCTTGTCTTAAATGTTGGTTTCCCCTTAAAGAAGAGTGGTCTTAACCCTAGGACACTAACTTTCAAAATAGTAACACAATCACTAACGTCGGGTATATTTTACCCAATGTAATAATATCCCCGATAAAATACAGTTTGCCTCTTGAAAAAACATAGTTGGGCAAAGGGAAACAAACATAGCATTAATGACATAAATTAGCTGCCTTAAGCTACCCAAACCCCTATGCAACTCTGCAGCAAAACAGTGAAAATTGCATGACAAGATTTGTGTGGGTGAAAATCACCCCAGGTTAGTGTTCTAGGGTTAAGAGAGCTCTACAGTGCAGAAACGGACAAGTGCACGCTGAGGCTCAGTTGTTATCAGTTTTCTATTTTCTCATCCAAAAGAAATGATTTTTCTATTTTAGGCCAATGAAATTTTGTACGAAAATGTCTGACGCCAAGTGGACCACAACGTTTGAACCTATTTTCATGAAAAGATTGTGCAATATTTTCTACCGTTACCAAGCCTACCTACTGCACAAAAGGACACTCTTGCCAAGACATTTGGGGGGGGGGGCTGTGCAATCCAAGACCAAGGAGTGACAGCTTTGTCTTGTCAAACGATCGTTTTCTTTCTCGTGTAGTTGCCTTTTTTTTAATCATCCAAGGTAAGATTAAACAGAAAGAATTTTTACTCAATGTCTAGTCGTGTAAATATGTTTATGACTTGAAAAATAAATGAAAATATATATGATGCTACGTTTTGCTTGGTTTAAATGCAAATAAAGAAAATGCCAGATCCTGCCAATCAAAACCCAAATAAGATGACCATACCCCTTCTGCACCCTTAGACAGTATATACTCAATTAAATACTAATAAATAATTTATCTATTCATTTATTTATTTATTTATTTTCTAAATGAACTTATTATGTATTCATTCATTTATTTATTCCCTCATTGATGTATTTATTTATTTGCATATCTTTACCGAGTTACGTAAAAACACATGACATGCTTCATTGCTGAATAGCCTCAGTGCCGGAACAATTGAAAAAATGTTTTGGGAAAGTTAATTGTTAACTCCTCATAATGTAAAAGGTTCAACAACTGTTTTTGGATGGGTCGTACTCACACAACAGACTATGATAAAGGATCTTTGATCATTTCATTATTTTACTACAATATTCATCAATCTAGCCGTACATTTATAACATAGAGACCACTTTTATAATAATTATTTTTAATGCTTTCGTTTTTAATTGAAAGCAGAAACTAACAAACCCCAAAAATGGCTGATTTAATCATCCGGGAAAACCGAGCAGCTTTATCTCTAAGTCAAGATCATCTCTTTGCACATGACTTCCTTGGGTCATAAAAAAGAAAAGTACTGGCATACACGTGCGCTTGTGATAAAGAAAAAATTGGATCTGATTGGAAATTTAGAAGGATGGTGACTTGCATGCTGGAAGGGGTTGGACTGGATATTGTTTGGTTCCACAGTCCAGCATCGGTGGGTGTTGACGAGTAGATGTGAGGTTACATAAGACGCTGCCAGGCCTTTCGGTGCCATCTTCATACCCGTGGATCTGGGAAGGGAGCTTTTCTGTCTCTTGTTTTGCCGTAGGAAGCAGCTGGTGAATTGAAGACATAAAAAGTCAACGCACATTGTCACCATGGCAGGTGAGAGGTTTTTACTTACAGCTGCGTAAAATTCCTTCCAATTTTGAAAAAAATTCTGGATGAACCAACCAGATTCTGATTCTGATTCATTCACAAGCTACTTTTCATGCTTTTTATGGTGAAATTCTATTTTTTTAAATTGCAAATGGGTACAAAACAGGCTGAGTATTCCCTGCTTGTAACCTGCGGGGTAGATTTGTTCACAGTGTTGCCAGTCACCTTGACTTGTGGTTGCTTTTCTTGACTGCAGATAAAGAGCAAGGGAAGAAACCCAGGAAGAAAAGTGTAAGTTTCACCTTGAAGTGCTTTGTTTTCAGTGATATTTGTAATGAAATTATGTCACAATGACGCACGTTGAACTTTTCTCCCAAAAAGGCGACTGTCTGCGGCTACCCAATCAGCATTTTCTTCATTGTGGTCAATGAGTTCTGCGAGCGTTTCTCCTACTATGGCATGCGAGGTGAGTTTCCATTAAACCCCCCCTTTTTTCTTCTCTAAACACGAGAACTTAGAGTAGTTCCTCAAGTTCATGAAGTCCAGTGAAACAAAGTTAATTCTTCAAAATGTAAAATTAACTCATTCAGAATCTTGCTTAAGTGTATATTTGACAAGCAGCATGTTCTTTGGGATTTCCACCCACCCCTCCCATATAAGGACTGAATGACTAGATTAATTCAATGCCAGCATTTAAACCTTAAGCATTCAGCCTTTTTTTCTCCACCTTCAGTATCAGTTAACTCGACCTTTCATCCATCTGAAATGGAGTCAAATGGGCATTATGATATCATCACATCTTCCGATACTTGGAAAAACTTACATCCTCCTTTTAACTGTCTGCAGCTGTCCTGGTGTTGTACTTCAAGTACTTCCTGAGGTGGGATGATGACTTTGCCACCACCATCTACCACACATTTGTGGCTCTGTGCTACCTGACTCCCATCCTGGGTGCCATTGTTGCTGACTCGTGGCTTGGAAAGTTCAAGTAGGTGACCATAGCTAAAAAAAAAAAGAAAAGAAAAAAAAGCTGTTGAATTCTTTGCTCTATTCTTTGTTGCCCTGGCAGAACGGTAGACTTTACACGTTGATTAGCCGAAGGGTTAAAGTGCATCCCGGAGAGTCAGCTGGATTTTCGACCCTTGTCTGTCTTATCTCTCTCTACCTGGAGCTGCTGATCAACTATTCCACTTCTCACTCCCTCCCCTCCCCTCCCTTCTTCACAGGACCATTGTTTACCTGTCCATCGTCTACGCTCTGGGCCAGGTCATCATGGCAATAAGTGCAATCCATGACATCACCGACGGCAACAAGGACGGCATCCCTGACAACATAGCCCTGCATGTGTGAGTTGAACACACACACACACACACACACACAGAGTTGCGTGGCACAATTAGAGAAAACTGGATACGAGCTGATCAGTGAACGCTGTTTCATCCGCAGAGGTCTGTCCATGATGGGTTTGCTCCTCATTGCCCTGGGAACGGGAGGCATCAAGCCCTGCGTGGCTGCCTTTGGAGGCGATCAGTTTGAGGAGCATCAGGTTAGGCATCGCTCAGCTCTACAAGCACACCAAACGCAGAGTCATATGTGTTTTTTTCCCCAAACACCGTGATACATTTACCCATGCAGGTCAGCGAGATGTAAACACACACATCAGGCAATGACCCTCTCTTTTACGTTTATCCAATTAAAACAGACCTCATTCAGCCATCTGCCACCTACAATCAGCACATGTTTTATCTCAGAGAGTTAGTCATTAACCAGCATCCGCAAGAATAACTCTCCATTACATAGTTCAAGGTAAGGTTACAAAGACTGATGAATATTTTCTCCAGGAGAAACAGAGAAGCACTTTCTTCTCCATCTTCTACCTGTCCATCAACGCAGGGAGCCTGCTGTCCACAGTCATCACCCCCATCCTCAGAGGTAGCGGCACACGCTAAAAAACACACACAGAGACACTCAGGAGTACATCCCGCCGTCTGCCGCCTGAGACAGAGGACATGTGTTTGTGTGTTTGTTTCCAGCCCAGCAGTGCGGCATTCACACCAAGCAGCAGTGCTACCCACTGGCCTTTGGAGTCCCTGCTGCCCTCATGGTGGTTTCTCTGAGTGAGCACACTGAGGATTTCTAAGCAACTGTTGTTATTGCAGTGAAATGTGTGCACAGTCTCACCAGCGCTCTGTCTGTGTGGCCTGTGTCTGCAGTTGTGTTCATCATTGGGAGTGGTATGTACACCAAGACCGCCCCGCAGGGCAACATCATGGTGAAGTTCTGCAAATGCATCGGGGTAAGGGGGGCGGCCTCCCCGTGTCTCATTTCAGCATGAGCTGAAAATGAACAGAGCTTTGACATTTCTGACGATCTCTCCCTATCTCGGACAGTTTGCCATCAAGAACCGCTTTAGGCATCGTGCTCCTGCCTACCCAAAAAGAGATCACTGGATGGACTGGGCTGAGGAGAAATACGATGTGAGTGCAGGCGTTGAGCCCTCGGAACTTATGATAATGCAAGATTTTGGAATTTCTTTTTATCCTGAAAATATGGAACAGATTATTTGCACGTAGAACATTTGATGGCATATTTATTAAGAGAAAAATGTCAAAATGGACCAGGCAGTCGTTATGTCCCTAAGGAAGAAAAAGGAGCGTCATGGTAAAGAGAGGGATAAGAGCAATGCTCTGACGGAGGGTCTCAGAAGCCTTTACATGTTTCGATAACAGCTATTTATTTGAAATAAATGAGTGGGCGCTGCCTTTTGTTTTAGAAACTCCTGATCGCCCAGGTGAAGATGGTGGTGAAGGTGCTGTTCCTCTACATCCCTCTGCCCATGTTCTGGGCTCTCTTTGACCAGCAGGTATGCTGTGCTATGGCGTTACTCTTCTAAAATAAAACCACTGAGAGGAAAAATAACTCTTCAGTTAAGGACGCGTTGCGGTTCCTGATCAGCACTTAGAAACTCATTTGAATACTAATGGCAAGTACAGACTAAATGAGCAGGATGTCATGTACACAGGGCTCAAGATGGACCCTTCAGGCCACTACCATGGATGGAAACTTTGTAAGTTGTTAATACATGTGGTATGTTACGCATTTTAAACTCTGACTGCAAAAAAAAAGAAGAATGTTTTAATTCTCTGTCTTTCTTTACTAGGGACTGTTGATAATCCAGCCGGATCAAATGCAGGTGAGTCTCTTCGTGTTGATCGCCTTAATCTGCTGCTCTTTTGAGCTAATGCTACAGCCCATACAATACTTTTTTCTTCCCATCAGACTGTCAACCCTATCTTGATCTTGGCTTTGGTCCCGATCATGGACAGTGTGGTCTACCCCTTGATCTCCAAGTGCAAACTGAACTTCACGTGAGTTTGGCACCCTGTTATTGTTTTTCTGTTGCTTTTGAATGCTTAAAGGAGAGAACCCCCTCTCCCAAGGGACAGCTGGTAGCCCAGAAGGATGAGGATGAATTGAATGTGTGCCTCTGTGTGTTTGTCCTGCAGTCCGTTGAAGAGAATGACGGTCGGGATGTTATTCGCCGCCCTCGCCTTTGTGTCAGCTGCCCTGGTCCAGATACAGATCGACGTGAGTGATCAGAAACGAAGCCACGGCACGTCGGTAAACTTGAGCAGAGTGCAGCAAAAGTCACGACACATGGTGTCTTTTCCCCCTCTTCTAGAAAACTTTGCCCAACTTCCCGTCAGAAACCGAGGGGCAAGTGAAGTTCATCAACATGGTCGACAGACCACTTGAAATCACAGCGGGAACGCACAGTTTTGTACTGGAGCCTCTCAAGGTGCGAAAACCCACCAGATTTCTGTAGCTGCAGTGAGCCACTGTGACATTAGAAGTTTGGAAAATGGCATCAACTCATGTTTTCGTTCTCTTACAGGCCAATGAAGATTATCTCAGTTTTCAAGAACCCTTTCAGCTGACTATTGGAAATTTGAGTGATCTAGTCAGTTTCCAAGATGGCAGTCGAAATACCATCAGCATTATTCAAGACGGCGCCCAGCCCAGGACTGTTCAGGTGAGCGCTGCTGTGAGCATTAGGTTATGTCTGAAACATGGGAATAAAAAAACTCGTCCTCACATTTGTTTTTCTGTCCCCCAGTTTAATGACATCACAGCAAAGCCAGAGCAGGGCGCCAATGCAATCAGGCAAGATCACAAATACCTTTCTGCTCTTCATTATGATGAGGAGGGAATTAGGAAATGAGTCAAAATGCTTCCTTAAATAGAAGTTGACCCGTGGGCCTACAGTGTGCATTTCAGTGCTTTTTGTGCACCATCTTTCAGACTGAGAATGTATTTGATTGTTCCAAGTTTGTTGTTTTCTCATTTTGGTGTTAACTTCCGCAGGTTTTTTAATGGTTTCGGCTCAGCTTTGAACATAACAGTGGGCGACATGGAGTATGGGATCACCACTCCCAATAACATGTCTGTATATGTCGATTTGCCTCGTGGGAAGTAAGTTGTCATTTTGTATTCTTCTTAACTGTTGGGGGGGAAAAGTATTTTTCTTATTTAGCTATTTTATTTTGGCAGTTCTGCGTTCCGTCTCATCAGTACCGCAGGAGATGTTTGCATCTTGGATAAAGAACTGGGATTCGGCAGCTCCTACACCTTGATCATCCCGTCAAGCTTCGCATTCGGACCAAACGTAACCAGCTCATCTATTTTCAGAGGAGTTTTAGGTGGAATATTTCAGCTAAGCTAACGCATGGGTGTGTGTGTGTGTGTTTATTCTGAAGTGTGCTCAGAGCATTCAGGAAGTGATAGACATCAAGCCCAACTCTGTCCACATGGCCTGGCAGATTCCTCAGTATTTCCTCATGACTGCTGGGGAGGTGGTGTTCTCAGTCACCGGCCTGGAGTTCTCCTACTCCCAGGTAAAGGACACTCACCTCGCGTATTGTGGTGTATCCCAACCCTGGTCCTCAAGGACCAAGTTTCCCCCAATGGGTCTTGCAGATCGTAAGGCGCTGAAGAGCTGTCAAAATGTATTTGCATGTTGTCGACATGCAGGGCATTGGTCCTTGACTAACTGGGTTACAAACGCACAATACAGAAATCTCATTAAGCTCTGTATGTTTCTCTTTCCTCTGATGTGCAGGCTCCTAGCAACATGAAGTCTGTGCTGCAGGCTGGTTGGCTGCTAACGGTTGCTGTGGGAAACATCATCGTGCTGATTATTGCAGAGGCTGCCACGCTGGAAGATCAGGTGAGAAGAATCGAATCACAGCACTGCTCATATTGTGTGATAGTCTTATGAAAGCCAATAGTAAGATTTAATAACAATTTAGCACCGGACAATGTAAGTCGATCAGTGAAAATGTCTGGACTACCTCTGTAAAATGAGCTATTGTGTGTGTGTGTGTGTTTCTCTTCACTAGTGGGCTGAGTACATCCTCTTTGCCTCATTGCTGGTGTTGGTGTGCATAGTCTTTGCCATCATGGGTTATTTTTACACCTACACCGACCCAGCCAAGATAGAAGCCCAGTTTGCCCAGAAGGAGCCTGAAGACAAGGAGAGGAAGAAGAGCTTGGAAATGACCAAGAGGGACTCGGTCGGGAGCCACGGAGAGCGCAAGAGGAAGATCTCGGATTCCAGCTCTGATGAGAAAGGAGACTATCAGACCAAGATTTAAATCGACCAGATTTTTCTGTGGTTCCTCACGGCTTTTTACCGTTAGGTGGACGAATGCTGCTTGGCTGTTTTCTCCCATGTCTCAGAGGGCCTGTCGCGGACAAATCTTTCATCACATCACCAGATAACTTTAGCTTGAACCTGGCGTTACTTTAGATGTTTTTCTTTAAGTGACAAGAAGAGCAGAGCATGTGGCGCTGGGGTGGGAAGAACAGGGAAACAGGCTTTAGCAGGTAAGCTTTGGTGGACAGCGCTCCAGAAGGATTTTGGCAGGGATAATTTCAACACAATTATCCAAATTCCAGTTTGCAATCTTAAGAAAGTGTGAATTCTTTTTTTTGTTTTAAGGCTTCTTAAGTAACTGAAAACATTTGTTAATTTACGCTTCAGTTAAAATTGCAAAGGAAAACCACTCCAATATTTGTATTTATTTCCAAGCACAGTGTTGTATTATAAAAAATATTGTATCTTGTTTAAGAAATCTGTGACCCCTAGTGAGTCAGAACCATATCAAAGTTTTCGTACTGTCTGCTATAAAAGCATTGATAGAAATTGCATAAATGTCAAATAATGACCTATGACTGACTCCTGCACTTTAGATGAAGGCAAATTGAAGAGTTAATGTGTTACCGCCTGATGTAAACCAAATAAAAACAAAAACTGCTGTGTTTGACAGAGCATCGTTTTAATTGGCTGTCATTTTATTCCAGATAAATAAAACACTGATACCATATCTTTAGGGATCTGTCAAGATTCTGACAACTACCTTGTTTAAAAACAACAACAAAGAATTTCATTTAGCATTAGATCTTTATTTGTCATCTCTTTCAAAGCTTACAAGGAGCTTACATTTAACTCAGGGATTCTCAAATGACACAAGCAAAGATTATATACAGTACTATAAATTGTCAGCTATGATAAAGGAGAACCAAATGTACACATTTTGTAGTTATTTCCATAGCATATGTTGTTCTGTAAGGTATAGATATTTGTTTTTGCCCAAGGCAGGCGCCCATAAAGCGTTCCATATTTCCATACGTAACTCTTTGCCGTTATAAAAATATGAGCTATTTCTTCATTTCTCTCAATCCCTGTGCTGACAAGTGCATCATTATGCAACTTCTCAACATTATTGCTGCAATAGCACAGTAGTAAATTCTGGAACTCTTAAGTAAACATATATAGTGTAACATGGCTATTAGCAACTGTTTTCGGTTGTCCCCTCCTGCCCCGTTACAGGTTTTTTTTAAATACTTGACACTTTCAAAGTGCTAAAAAACAAAACAATCAAAAAAGAAAAAAAAATGGTGCAAATCATACTACAAATATCTGGTGAAAGCATAAAAGAGGACATGGCACTTCTTCTATAGCAAGACTGAAGGTGGTGACAGCAAAGGATGGCATTGGTTTCTGCAGACTGGCTTATCCTAGTTTGGCCATTGGAGAAGAAGAAGAAAAAAAACTAAAAGTGTCCTGATGTGATGATCCTTGGCCCCCCACCAAACCCCCTCCACTTCAGTTTCTAAATACTTTTTAAGGAACGGGGAGGAGAAATAATACTTCAAACTGAGCCCAGCGGCCGGCTGGTCGTACTGGTTCCTGTATCGCAACCATTTCCAAACCCATTTAAATAACCTAACATAAAGTACAAGTAGCAGTTTCTCGTCCACCCCCCCTTTCATTACACACACACACAAAAAAAACAAAAAAGCTTTCCGCCGCTAAACAAAGTAAGCGCAGCCTCACAGTTCCACAATACAGCAGGAGATTGAAATGGAAGACCGGAACTAGAGTCGCTTGAAGAAAATGTAAAAAATCCCACAGACACATTCACCGACTGAAAGCCAACCGCCGAAATCTGCGATGAAGCGTGAAGGTGTGTGTGTGGGGGGGGGGGGGGGGGCGTGAGCAAGGCATTTTCTGTCAATTCTGTCGGAACAACTTTCAGAGACGCTTCCCAATTTGACTGGTATCTACAAAATGCGGCGCGACCGTTGTGTACACAGTGATTTACTCCTCACAATGACAACTTAGAATCATATACAGCATGGCAACTCCTCCCCCCACCCCTCCCACCCCACCACCCCCACCCCCCCGTGCCTTGGAGGACTAAAGTCCACTCAAAGCGCTTTACCTGAGGTTTCTTTAAGAATGCTGCAGTTTGACCTAGAACAGGGAGTTTTGTAACATACGCTAGAGAAACATGCACGCACGCACGCTCGCAGGTGACCACTCACACGGCTTGTAGACAAAGACGCCATCCCTGCAGGGTTAGTCAAGCACGTTGTCAGCGGTCCGGTGTGGGTGGGTGGGGGTGGGGGGGGGGGCGGTTATGGTGCCTGCGTTTGAAGGGGAGGCTGGAAAGTCTTGTTGGATCCAGGAGGAGGGGTCTGGGCTCCTGTGGCGTGCGGAGCCCGGAGCCTGACCTGCTGCTCCGGCTGCCCGCCCGCCCGCTCGGCTCCCGCCGCGGCCCTTTGGGTGGGCTCTGCGGCGTCCGGTCGCCGTCGCCGCTCGCCAAAGTAGCTTCCTGCTCTGCCACTGAAGTTTGAGCTTTTTTAAAACTTTTTTTTTTATTGTGTGTTTTACAAAAATACAGGCTAGGTTTGCGCACCTCCCCTGACATGGAGGTCAAATGCTGCCAGCTGGCACTGAATAACTTCACCCCTGTCTTTTTAAGCCTCTGACCTGGGTAGGGCGTTGGTGTTATGTTAGGGGGCACGGGGAGAGGGCCTGGGGCAGCAGGTCTGGGGTAGAGAACCAATCACTATGGGGAGGAGGAAGATGTCCTGCTTGTGGAGAAACTGCAAAAAACACAACCAAAAACAAAACAAAAAAAAACAAGAACAGTAGACAATGGAGAACGGAGCTTATGGTGGTCACCTGGAGCTGCGTGATGATTAACTTCTGTTCTATTAATGTGACTGGGGGCTTTACCTCTGGAGTCTGTGCACCATGTGAGCCACCAGCGAATCCGAGATACCGGGATAGGCCTCTTCAGCCATCAGGATGGCCTCCCTCAGCTCGTCCAGGACCATGGGGTTCCCGTTGACCTGCTCCTGCCGTGCTTTCAGCTGAGATTTGGAGGAGAACAGATTCGGTTAGACTGCTGACGGAGGAGCAACCGGTTATGTAACGGTGAGTTTCGAACGGTGGAGGAAATTGGAAAAACCCACAGAAAGCAGCCGAACGCAAAGCATAAACAAATCTGACCAAATCTCAAATTAAGTCATTTTCATGACACAAGTAGGTCCATGTAGAAAATAGATAGGTATCTTAATAAAAACACATGCCAGGCCTCCTTTGAACCAAACCCAATGTTGGTGTGAGGACCACAAAAGTGTCACATTTTGTGTTTATGAAAAAAGAAAAAATTGTATTTTATTTTGAATATAAAGTATTATGTTTTTATTTTGGTTTGCATTTCTTTACACGGTGATTTGATTTCGCATTAAATGTGTGTGTTGTAATGTTTACTCCCTGCCGGCAGGGGGCGAGGGCGGGTTCCAGTTTTAGTGTCTCGCATCGCTGTTTCCCGCATTACTGCTTGATGTTCTAAACTGACAAGCCGTCTCCTCATCTCTCTCCCGTTTGTCAGGTTGGTAAATGTACATATATGATTTGAAATTAGGGATTACTCATGCTGAAATATATCAGGGATGTTAATTAACCAATTTGTGTTGTAATTTCGACAATTTGTGTGATTTGGTTTAAATTAAGTTTGTAATATCGAGGCTAGGTCTAGCCGTTGGGCGGTACTGGGGTCGCGCGCGACATGCCCGTTGGTAGAGACCAACTTGGTTCAATGGGCGCGCCTCCCCTACGTGAACGAACGCCTCAGTGATGTTAAAGAAACTCACAATGTCGATGTCTATTGTTTATTTTGCCGGCTGTAAGGTCCCAACCATTAGTTTTTGTTAAATGGGTTAATGAAGGAAAAAATGTGACTGTTTAAGTTTTGTTTACATTAAGCACTGGTGGTTTATGAGGGTAAAATGCAGTACTGTCTTGATTTAAAACCAAGTAAAATAGATATATGAGGAGTTTAAAATTAACGTTAACATTAAGCTGGTTATTATACCATTGTGTATGTATTTCATTTGTAGTAAATAGGTTAAAATACTAAACTGAAAAGTAAGTGAATATGTATTTTGGAAAGAGATGTATTTTGTTGTGTGTTGAGATGGATACTGAAATTCAGTGAGAATGTTTAGAGGACATTGAACTTTGAATATGTTGAACATAAACAAAGAAACTTAACACAGGAGTGTATTTAAAAATGAAACTTGAATAAATTACTGCTTGATTTTCTAAACTGACAAGCCGTCTCCTCATCTCTCTCCTGTTTGTCAGGAGTATATCTGTCAGCCACGGTGCCGTTGCTACGGTACCCGTTACATTGGCCAACCCCGAAAAGTCCTATCTGTTATTTTTCACTCCTTTTTGGAGCACAGTTATCAGACTTTGAGTGCAAAGGAGTCACGAGGGTGAAGCCGACTATTAAACTCTGCTGGTTATCCAGATGGAGCTCCTTACCTCAGCTAACGCTGGAGAGATGACCGTGGACAGGCTTTGTGAATAAGGCCTCTTTGGAATGTCTTTTGTCTGCAGAAAAGCAAGTAGACATGAGAAAAAAAAAAAAGGGGGGGGGGGGAGCTTGGAAGAAAAGAACGCAGCTATATTTCTCATGGGACGATGATGCTGACCTGGTCTGTAACCCCCGACTGCCCCTCCCCGTTCTGCAGCTTCTTGGGGTCCTTCTCCCGGATTGTGAAGATCCAGTCATCACTCCCAAAGTCGTTCCCTCCAGATGCTTGGCCATCCTGCTCCCTGGAAGCACAGGTGTGGAGACATCATTACAACAGGACAGGCGGGAAAATATCTGTCTCTCTTTTGTTCGTGCCACCTTCTGCTGGAATCTACTCATTTAACTTACGAGTCGGACTCGTCGGAACTGGACTCTGCTGTTCTGGACTGTTCTGCTTTCCACCTCTTGTACTTGTCCACCAGCTCGGTCAGGTAGGAGGTCTTTTTCGCATGGCGCACGATCAGCTTATGCTTCAGCAGTTCTTTGGCAGTCGGCCTCTGTGGAAGAGAGAAAGAGTTGAGGGGTGAGGTTAGTCTGGAAGGACCAAAAAATAAACACAAAAAAAAAAAAAAAAAGAAAAGAGCATACTTAAAAAACTGGGTTCTTTGTTGAGACAGGCCTCCACAAACTCCTTTAGAGGTTTACTGTAGTTGCCCTCGAGCGTGGGTGGGTTGTTCTTTGGGATGAGGAATAACACCTTCATTGGATGGAGCTCTGAGTGGGGGGGCTCGCCTTTCGCCAGCTCGATAGCCGTGATGCCGAGGGACCAGATGTCAGCCTGGAGCACACATGAGAGCAAGAGGCAAGAAGCCCATGAGCCACACATGACAAACCAGGAGGGAGCCATGTGCTCCAATGAAATAAGACAAGGAACGCTGTCAGTTAACCTGAAAGTTCCCCTCAACAGGAGCATCCCGATACGATCCTCTCATTAAGAGGAGTAAAACACATCAACCTGACTGGCAGAGCTCAGCTTCAGATACCATGCCTGGCCACTAGAGGACGGCATAACACGGGGCTTTTTCCAAATTTCTTTTACTCCCCAGCAAGGAAATCTACAAGTGTGCTCTGTGGATGAGAGGGATGGTCTGCTCCTGACAGCTGTCCCTCACAGCCACTCAACCCCAAACACAGGGTTGGCACTCAAAACAAATCTGGCTGACTCCTTTCATGCTTTCATGCTCACCTTGGAATCGTAGGCCGACTGCTTGATGACCTCGGGGGCCATCCAGAAGGGCGTGCCCACGAAGGTGTTGCGTTTGATCTGCGTGTCCGTCAGCTGGCCAGCCACGCCGAAGTCTGCCAACTTCACCTCTCCTTGTTCAGACAGCAGCACATTGGCAGCTACCGGCAAGAGAAGGGGGGTTAGGGCGGTGAAAAAGCCTGCAAACCTCTACTAACCCAATTTTCTGCACATGCAATTTATTTGCACCATCTATGCGGCGTTCACTTCAGAAGTGGAGGCAAAGACCATTAATGTGCACGGTGCTCGTGCAGCCGCGCTCGGCCGGCTACCTTTGATATCTCGATGGATCTTCTTCTCAGAGTGCAGGTACTCCAGGCCCTTGAGGATCTCTCGGAGGATTGTGGCAATTTGGGTCTCATCCAGAGCGCCGGGCTCCATCTTTAAAACAGGGGAAAGGAAAAAAACAACAACTAAATCAGTGTGAAGTGGCTGTTCGGTTTGAGGAAGAGTTTTCATGTCTTAACCTCTATCGCTGGACCCAGGGAAGACCTTTTTTTCCTCATTTGTTTTAAAATTTATTTAAGTCTTTCACAAAATGTCTAAAAATCAAAGCAGGAATCTAATCGGTTTTTGTTTTGTCTGGCACCTACGTCGCTCATATTTACACATCTGCCATGCCATGACACGTGTCACGCAGGTGGGTGTTCTCTGTCCTCTCAGATTATGCTGCTGTGGGTCCCGTAAAAGGGGATTTTGCCTGCATGCCGCTCCATTTCAACATCAAACCAGATTCCCTCCCCCCAGTGTTCCAGAAACTGACATCACAGCTGGCTCATGTGCCGTTTGCAGCTGGGCCGGGGATGTGTTCACCCCCCCCATCCCAATTTTATTTAGCTATTTTTGCATTCATGGTATTCAAAGGGCAGCATGACTGGTGGAATCACACGCAATGCTAACGTTTTCTGTGAGACACCACAACAACAGACAGGCTGTTTTTCCTCCTCTACTTTTTCAAGATAACTAGATTTTAGTTTGCTATCTAATTTAATTGACTTCTATTGTATAATTGTGTATAATAATGTGACCAAAATCTAAAACTATCAAGCTTGAAAATATCCTTTAGAAACAGGCTCAACCATTCACCTTGTTCCAGGCGTTATCTCTTCTGTGAAACCATTAAAAACAAGAGGGAAACAAAGGCTGGCAAAGTGGGGCTGACTACTGCGCACAACTTACCAGATCTAAGGCTGAGCCTCCACCTAAATACTCCATAATGATCCATAGTTTCGTGTCCTGCAAGAGAGGACAAAAAAGCAGAAAAACATTTAAGTGTTTGCGGCATTGTGTGGCGGAAATACTAACAGGCTCCACTGGGTGAGTCCAAAGTCACAGGATGCCGTTTGATTTCAGTCACAAAAGGGGAAAATGACATATCTGGATACACCAGGAGGTAATGGTCATGCAGCATACCAAAGAAGAGCAGAATTGTCTCACCAATGGATTGCCGCGATCAGATTTACAGCATCTCTTGTGGTCCAGAGGTAGTCAAATCAGAGAGATGCGACGACAACAACTGGCAACGCTGCCTGTGGAGATGCGGTGCGTGTGCTGTCCCTGGTGCTGAACGCCGAGCCAGAGGCGCCGGATCAATTCAAACACAAAAGTTTTGTTCTGTGTCGACAACCACATGACAGCCTTCCCACTGGGGTAACTTGCCCTTGATCCAATATGGTGGCTTTCAAGATAGCGGCCATGTTCCGGACATAGCCTCGGAGGTTTGCCCTCCCTCACCCTACTATTTACTGGTGTGTTCAGATGTGTCACTTTTCCCTTTTGTTACTGAAATAAAACAGCATCCTGTGACTTTTGACTCACCCCGTGTATCAAGGTGGCTGCTGGCTAAGTGCGAAGGTGTCACGAGCTGGTGCTCGTCTTTTTGACTGGATGACATCAATAACAGCTCATGAGAGACTGAAGTCATGTGTGGCTAATAATCCTTTAAACGCTGGACTTGTGAAGGGAAATGTGGGCTCGGGAAAGGAAAACCCCTTTTATGGCTCATCCTTGAAAATACAGTAAAACGTCACCTTCAGGTAGGAGCCGTAGTACTTGGTGACAAAGGGGCTGTCGCACTGGCTCAGCACCGTGATCTCCTGCTGGATGTCCTCGATCTCATCCTCCGCCTCCTCCAGGTCGATAATCTTGATGGCCACGACCTTCTGCGAGCGATTGTCGATGCCTTTAAACACCTCGCCGAAGGAGCCTTTGCCGATGCGCTCCAGCTTGGTAAACAGCTCCTCCGGGTCCACTCTGGTAGTCTGCAGGTCGGCATGGAAGGGGGGGGGGGGGGGTAAAGCAAGGGAGGAAAAGGGAAGGTTGATTGAAAAAGAATGAAGAAAAAGGAACGTCTGAAAAGAACTGAACGATGGAAAGAAACACCAGCAGGATGCCACTCTTACAGGATGCATGGGCTCATTCATTGCGACACCTTTTGTTCACGTCCACAGAAAGAAAGACACGGGAGGATGAGAGAGGAAGAGAGTAACAACTGGATAATAACATGCAGGTAAAAAAAAAAGGTTCAAAAAGTTTTACCATGAATGCTATCCACGTTTTAAATACAATATTTCCGTCCTTTTTACAAGGTGGACAAATTAATTATTAAGCACACCACTTGGGTTGGATCAGAGTTCCACTAAGAGCCTGAGTTTTGTATTTACCTCTCTGACAAAATGCCAGCGTTATGAGTGCCATGTGTTGCTTGTGTGTGTGCTTTAGCTGTTATTTTGTGTAACTGTGCTAGGATGCAATGACTGAGAAGCTCTTTTCACTGCCAACAACGGCCGATGCGACGCTCCGACAGATTTGCCACTTCCATCCAGGCAAAAAGAAAGAAAAGAAATGGGAACCGCAAATTGTGAAGTGGAATGGTGTCAGATTCGTCAAGTGATCAGATGAAGAGGAGCATGGCTATATGACTACTGATTATAAGCGAAAATAACTACGGCAGCGCTGCCGTGCTTCCAGCTTTCTTTGGTCCCACAAGCGGAGGCAATTTTGTGTAAATTTGGAGGGTAAATAAATGGATAAATAAATAAACCCCCAACTTGAAGGTTGCAGGAAGTGAACCAAGATGACATAACTCTCCAGAGGCTGCTATGTGGAAAACACAAGAGCGAGAGCAGACAAAAACAACTTCCTTTTATGACCTCTTGAGAAGAGAAAGGCTCATTATGTCCAATTTAAAGCAGCTGCCCAATGTGAGAAGAGACCTATGCAATCAAAAAGGACCCTGCAAAAAAAAAAAAAAGAAAGAAAGAGGAGCAAATTTTCTCTTTAGACAAACCACATCAATGACGTGTCGTTGCACAAAAAAATCATTTAAAAAATGCAGTTTTGGAACACTGTAGTGTGACTTAGTTCAGTGAACGTCCCCTCAGTTTCCCAGCTTCTGACACTCTGCATCAGCCCACCTCCCCTGAATTCTCCCCCCCACTTCCAGCCAATCACGGAAATCAGCCAAAAGCCCTTGAAAAAGCAACGTCATCTGGCACATTAAATGGTTTCCAGCAAACAACAACAACAACACCAAAAAAAACAGCCTCTCTGCCAAATCTAGCAGAGAGCAGCAGGGAAAACATCCTCCCTGCGCCTCTTAATGCAGCTCAAACAGAGTGCTTCAAGTCCCTTTAGGTTACAAATAAGACCTGCAAGTGCTTCTATTAGCATAATAAACCTCTAGATGGCCCATGAGATGTACCAAAACCCGTAAACACCGGATCACTTCGCTATTTAAAGCCTGCAGAGCGCAGTGGGAGAACCGCTACTTTCTGCTCTGGTTGTTAGCCCCAGCACATTAGGTGGAACAAGCTCAAAAGGTATTAAGCTTACCTGCATCCCGGGCAGGTTACCCTGTACAGGAGAATGGGCCATGCTGAAGCCGATTGGATTTGCACTTCGTGCAATAACGCCGGAGCAGAGATCTCCCTGGATTGACTTCTTCTGACAGTCCCAGCTGCGATGCCTTTAAGTGTTTTAGCAGTCCTGTGGGTCCTCCGAGCACCCAGTCCTGCTGAAAACGCTCTCCGATAATCCAAAGTACTTATCAAAAAACGTTTTTTCTCCCTCACTAAAAAAGAAAAAAAGAAAAAGAAAAAAAAAGTGGACCCCTTCAGGAACACCCAAGACACCTAAAAACAGCTGAGCACGCTAACTGACGTTTGCTAATGCTAAAGTTTGAAAGCTGCGAAGAAGAAATCCGCAACGTTAGCGTGCTAACCAACTGGCTATGTGCTAGCGGTGCGTAATATTCCAATTTCTTACTCGTGGAAGTAAAAGCTGTTGAAACTCCTAGAGTCAGTTTGCTGTAGTATAAGACGTGCTAACAGCCATATATTTCAAACATGTCCCAACTGTCACTTTCTGGAAAGGTGCTCTCGCTAACGGTGCTGTCAGCTAGCAAACATGGTTAGCAGGCTAGCTCTCTGGCCAGCGCAGGGAACCTGACGGGCGCTCCGTCCGCAAACCGGCTGGCAGCGCAGTCTGTCTGCATCCGGCAAACGTCAGGCGCAGATCGGGGTCTGGACTATATCCGATAATTAGTCTGGCCGCAGGCTGGTCTTCAGCGGCCCTGAGATTTAGCATCTGCGGCAAGGGTAGCTCGCCACTGTTTTTGTTTCCTCCCTCACTTTCGACCCGTATTCTCGGCCATCTTGTCGGTGCTGTGACGCCTAACTGGGCGGATCCGGATCTGGAGCAGCAGCAGCAACATCCTCACTTCTCCTCCAGCTACCTAGGTGAGGATGCAAGGTCTTCCAAACTTTTTTTTTCTTTTAGACTTGAGTGACTGAGTGTAGTGATACATAGAAGGATCTGTTATCATGCACCCCAGAAAACTGTGATCATAGGTTGGTTTCTCTCCTCACTGGGTTCATAATTACTTACTAATCTTATTACGTCTGCCAATCTAGTTTGAAAAAACCCTTGCAAAATGTCCCCATTCTCTGCAGCACCGCTCAGCATACAGTTTTTAGCCCGTGGAGTAGTCTTCCAGTCACACACGCACACATCATGAGATATTTTTACATAAATATACAAAGATCCCAAAACACGGTTGCCCCTGCACTGTGTAATGCAGCACCCAGAGTATGTTATAACAGCTGAAAAATTTTTTGCATATCTGAAATTTTGCATCACTTCTTATCCCCCCCCCCCCCCCAAGTTTTGCTTCATGTTGCTCTAGATTCTCATCATCCTGGTCAGAGCTTGACTAAAGGCGGCTGGACTAAAGATGTTTTTCTTCTCATCCTAAAGGCTTTTGCAGTTCTAAACCACACAGTAGGGAGGGTTGTTACAGTCTGAAACACCTGAGCAGAGCCGAGAGTCATTTTTGTCCTGCAGATTGTCTGTACGTGTCACGTCTGGGTGAATGTCTGGTGTGTTGTCATGTCTTGATGACCTATTGTGTACACCTGGGGTTTCCTTCCCTCGTTTCCCCTGTCCTGTGCCAGTGTGTTTTTGCCTCTCCCAGTGAGTTTTCGTCATTTTGGGTTTTGGCTGTCTTCGTCTTTGCGTTCCTCGTCTTGCCCACCACGTAAGATTTTGATCTTTGCACTTTGCCACAGCCTTGTTTTTGCCACAGTCTTGTTAATCTTGTTATGATACTTTTGCCATAGTCTTGCTTACTTTATTTAATACTTTGTTCATAGCCTTGTTTACCTGATTTGATACTTTTTTCATATTTTTGTCAGCCTTGTTTCGTACTTTGCCTGGTCATCCACTCTTTTGACTGCGTTTTTTGTTCAAATAAACCCTTGGAACCGACCACCTCCCAAACTCAGTGTTCCCTGAGATCCACCTTCCTGACAGTAGGCTACGTCTGTAAAGTGATGATTCAAATCTCTTCAAGATCACAAAAGAAGTCCATTAAGTTACTCAAGCTCTTAGGAATGTGACTGAAAAAAACAGATGTCAATCTATCTGAGTACATTCTTTGTCTGTTGGTTTATTTTGTTCTATGTCTAGTGTCCGGGAGGGGCTAGATTCACCTATATTTCTGCTTTAGGTAAGACAGAGCGGTGAAATGATCTGCGCGTGCGCGTGGCGGTGCACGCTGCCATGGAAATTCGTTGGAGGCTCCACGGTGGCCAGAAGAGGGCGCCATGGTATCGAGCCCGGAGCCCGAGCCCCTCGGTCTGTTGGCTGCCGGTGGAACATCGCGTACCGCAACAACAAGTCACCAGCCGCGGTGATGGGGTGGACGGCCGGAGGAATGCCGCGGTCTGTGCGTTTGTTGATCACCATAACCACCAGGCTTACACATCACGATTGAATCCAGCCACTTTGGAACCAAAGCGACAACAAACAACAATCCGATTAAGGATCGATGCTGCCGTTAAGTGCACAGTGCAAAGCTTAGGCTTCTAAAGTGCCTGGAAAAGAAAAATCCACATGGGCATATATCACATGAAGGCAATCCAAAATGGCTGTATGGTTTAATACAGCACGCGTTCTTAATGACAAAGGCTCTGTGAGCCTATTGCTTGAAATCCACGCAGGCCTATTTCATTTGGCAGTCGCCGTTGGCATTGTGAGACATCTGTAAATAGCCCTAAATGTTTCTGGGAAAACTACACATGTGAATCCCCGTTGAAAAGTCTGCGCCGACTTTGTGCGGCGCACCATCAGCGTCCCCGGCTGAACGCGTAGTGGGGAGCGCTACCTCCCTCCTTCGTGCGTAAATTATGTAGGGCAGGACGGGAATGCTTGGCTACCATTTGAAAAAAAAAACCCGACCGGTGAGCGTTTTTTTTCTTTTACCACAGGCTTGCTTCTTAAGCCGCGTCTTATCGAGGAGCACAGCAGCATCCGCACTGACATATTTTTGCGGCTGAGGAGAGGAAAAGATGGACATCACGGATCAAGGAGCTCAAATGGAACCGCTCTTACCAACGGTACGATTTACACACTTGTTTATGCGGTGTATGCCGACATTAATCATCTGTGGCTTATTTTCTTTTCCATCTGTTCTCATTTGACCAAACTGAACCGGCTGTCCTCCGTCTGTGTATGTCTGTTATTTTATTCAGAATAAAACGGGGCTCATTGGCGTCTAGAAAAATGAATCTCATTTCAACCCTTTTTGCCAGTCACGTGTCACCTGGCAAACGTGACAAGCCAGGGGCTTCGTTCGCCATTGAATGAAGGATAATAAATCTGAGATGGAATTCTTTGATCCCAGAGATGATCCCTGTCTGAGTGCGTGTAATGTCACGCGTTGTGATGCTCCGCACAAGTTGGCGCACAGCAGCAACAGTTTTAACTGACCCTGACGCCACCGCTTGCGTAGAAATTATCAATAATACTTTGTCTTGGTGCCTTTTCTAAACGCGTCCGTTTTTTTTTTGTTAGAAAAATCGGGTGCAATCCATGTAACCTGCTGTCAAGCCTTTGCTGGAGGTGCGTGCGTGACTGCAGGTCCTAAACATTCCCCTGAGATGGGAGCGTGAAACGTGTGATCCCAGCAGAGAGAGGGGACGATGGGCGGTCTGGCCTCATCAGGTGGATCATTAGGGCTGGTATCACAGTCATTAGGTTACACCCTAGTTGGCCCATTCCCAGGCTGTGTGGCAATTTAATAGAATAATCCGATTTTCTTCACGGGTGTTGTAATCCCGTCAGATATCCGCACCTCCTGTCCTCCAAAATGTTGGAACTCGTATAAAAGACAAAAGTACAATGCACCTGACAGCGTGCACCAGACCTACAGACACCGGCCCTGCTAGAAGGCAATAGCCCTCCTCTTTTGCGTCAGATTGGGTACATTAGCATTCAGGTGAGGATGAGTAATAAAAAAAAAAGGAGCCAACTCGGCAGAGCATCGAGATAAAGCCACATATTCCCAGGCACTATCAATGTCAGTGAAATCAATAGTTTATTCTATTTGTGGGGCTAGCAGGACGGGGACTGGATGTTCCTCAGCTAGGATGAGGGGAGGCCTGACGGGCTGATGCTCTGCCTCCCTGCAGTCTCAGTGCGGGGGGGCTGCCTGCTTGTCATTGTAAGTCACTGCTGTTTCCCCTGTCTCTCCGCCTATGCAGCAAGCGTTGTCATGGTTTTGCCAGGATGCGTACGAGCATGCGAGGTGTTTAGAGTGGTGAGACTCCCAGACAGGAACTCCCCAGGTTGAAAGAAAGCTTGAGGATGTTGCAGTGTCCCACCCCGTTCGCCCAGGTTACCAGGTGCCCAAGGTCAAACAGGAAAGCACGTTTGATTTACACCAGGAGCATTGCCACATCCCTCTGTCTGCTTTTGAGTTGACCGCATGCTAAAAAGCTTCTTAACTGAACATTTGGAGCTTAACTTGTGTCTTTTACCTTTTTTTTTTTTGTTATAGGAGCCGAGTTCTCAAGAAAACAAAGATGTGGTGAGTACATTTCTCATTAGCTTTTGTTCTTAGATGAAATAGAACTGTGAGCTCTACACAAGAGCTTAATGAAAAATTTTTTTTTTAAAGGCATTGCAACGTCTGTGGTTGTCATTTCATAGAATCATGTTTGTGACAAACTTCCAACTGAGCGCGTTTTCCCCAATTTTTAAGGTCACAGGAGTTGAAATGTCATAAGCTGCATTGTTTCTTTCCAATGTTTACATCCTGCTTGTGATTCTATAAGGTCATGGCGTGGTAATGATGCTTTCACTTCCACTGGACTCAAATGTTCCAGCAGAATTCTTCTTATATGTAAAATTCTTCGAGATTACACTCACATTCTGATGGCTCCGGAGGTAAAAAGCAGGTTGTCTTATATCTTGGCCCAACTTTAATGCTGAACATCTGCCTAGCATTATCTTTAATTGGCCGGCTTGCTTAGCAGAGAGTGCGTTGTCATTCATTTGATCACACATGTCATTGTGCGTCTGGAAAACAGAACACTGACTTCAGTCAATAATAGGAACTGAGTGGATTTAGGGCTTTCATCATGTAAACTGGCTCTGGAGAACTCACAGGGCAGCAAGGGAAGGCATCTGAGCCAGCTGTGGAGCCAGAAGGACCTTATATTAGAGTTTTTTTGGCCTTTGAGGACCATTCACAAATTTGTCGCTTTCTTTCTTCTTTAAAAAAAGGCTTACTTGTATTTTGAATTTCCAATATAATTCACCCAATAATAAGATAACTGTTAGAGAGCTCAAGATGGTTTATATTCCATTTTTATCATAAGCATTACTAACAAAAAAACATAGCAACATGTCAGTTGAAAAGAGAGAATTTAAATGGAAATAAGAAGTAAACGCATTTTATCATCATGATTATGACTCTGATGGGCCAACTGGGGACAATAGTAATCTGAAGCATATGCACAATTCTTGCTGAACATTTTGAAATGCTTTTTAAAAGGAAAAGAGACTTGCAGCAGACCACAGAGAGAGCTGCAGAAGGCACCATGAGCTAATTTAGGATCTATTCTCACTGGAGAGGGATGTGTCCAGAATGGAGTCACCGAGCATGTCAACAAGGCGGAAAGTAGCTCAGCTATTTCTGTGTTTGCCAGAAATAATAAGCATGATCGGACTTACTCTGTCTTTTTGTTTTGAACTAACAGTAGGAGTAGAGTGATGTGCTTGAACCTTTTGGTTTGAGTTGAATCCCAAAGTTTCTTTTCTTGGTCAATTTGCGATGAGCAAGAGTGTAAAACTGTTCTCAGGTTGGACAAATCTTACAAAAAAACAACGTATATATAACTACAAATACATATTGTAAGCCTCTATATAGTTTATATATGTATATCTATATTCTTTTTTTTAGGATTATCTTATCAATTTCCAGGTCTACCTATTTAGCTCTATGTATCCAAACAATGATGGGAATGACCTACACGAAACAAATGAAATGAAGCGTGGAGAGGAAGCATAGCTGAACAGAACGCAAAAAGAAACAGGCATGACAAAATAAATCAGGAAGTGAAGCTAAAGCACAGGCATAAAGTCTGTTTCAGAATAAAACGGAGGTCATTTACACCAGAACACAGAGGATGGACACTCGACTGGTAAAAACCCCTCCTTAAATAAAGAAACATAGAAGGTTAAATGCAATCTGTTATTGAACATGAAAAAACGAGAAAAAGATTTTCAACATTTGATGCTTATTGTGCAGTTGATCATAATCCCTGCTGGTAGGATTATGTAAAACCAACAACAAATTTTAGAAAAATCCTGCATTGATTGTTTCTGGTTGTTCTTTCTGCCAGTCAGAAGACAACGCCTTTACGGCCAAACCCAGCTGGAGCTCTCCATGTAGACCTCCGGGTTGGTCTCCATCAACTTGACGGCTCTTGTCAAACTTGGGGCGTATGGGGGTCCTAATTATAAACCTGTCATTACAGCAGGCTTTCTGTTAGGCGTGTCCAGTTAGTGAAGGCTGGCTGACCACGTTACAGAAGATCCGTGACAACTCGACAGAGCATCTCAAGGTTGCCCTGGCTCGTTCTTTTGAGCACGGTGCTCCTGGATCAGTGGGAAATGTCCAATCGGCTTTTGGGATGCAGCAGTGCAAAGCCTGCAAGATGGCAGGAAGCTTCCCTACCGCAGCTCGGAGCCCAGACCCGCTGAGCTCCTCTCCGTGGTTAATTATAGCGGTGACAGTGGAGAGGAGGGTGAAGGGGAGGATGGAGGGGGGGCCACGGATGTAGGTAGAGGAGAAGGAAACAGAGCTGGCTGGAGAAGGTGAGAGACAGATGGTTGGAAGGAGGAGGGAGGCTTGTGGAGAATTCGACTCAGGAACGGCTCTGTGTGCCCGTGGCTATTGGGAAGTCTAGTTCCGCCTTTGCACATGGAAGCTTTGCAAAATATCAGATGAGAGACATGATGAGAGGCAGCATTACTATAGCCTGATAGCTGGAGCAGAACAGCAGAACAATCTGCTTCTTCTTCCAGATCTGTTTCTAGCTCACCGTGCCTCGGTCGCTGTTTCGCTGACAATGCATTTCACCCAGAAAGCAGCGTCTTTACGTCAGGTAGGCTCTGCAGACACACACGCACACACACACATATCTGCACTTAACTAAACACATGGTGTGAGCAGGGACTGTAAGACTGCAGCAACTACGTGCCGCTCAACTGCTTCTTCTACTTGACTTGTGCTGGGACATGTGGTTGTGACCGGCCACCAGAGCTGTGCGGCTTGTGTTGATTGCCCATTCAAGAATGCCTTTTTGACCCTCCGGCTACCCGGGGCTCCACTTTGAGGTAACGCAGCCACACCGCTCAGACAGACAGCGGAGCAGAGCTGTGCATAGCACAGCAATCGGTGATGTCAGAGCACTAATCTCTCCGGGGGGGATTGGCGGATGGAGGCTTGTCAGAGCAGAAACATTTGATGCTACCCCGGATGACAGCCGGTGGGGGAGAGACAGAGGCAGAGCAGCGCTGCTTTTGGCTTGGACGCCGTTTTGTTTTGTTTTTTCTTCCGGGGCTTTTTATTCTTATTTTGTTGGAGTGAGACTGCTTCCGTATTTAGGCATGGGAAGAACAGCTGATGAGAGCAGCTGAGGAGGGGCGAAGTTTTAACCGAGACGCACAGGCAGACAGGCTGACTTTAGCGTTCTCTGCTCCTTTTTTTTTTTCTCTCCCTCTGACGTTCCTGCAACAATCATAAACAAACTGAGGTCGGAGTGGGGCTTAGGCCCTGAGCCTCAGCCTCTTATTTTACAACTGCCGCAAGCACAAGGGGAGTTAGCGGGCATCCTGCTCCACCTAACAGGACGCGCAAAATGCTCCCCGTGGACCTCAAAAGGGGATTTGTTTATCAGGTAGGCTTCTCTGGTGTTTTGTGCCCGCAAATGTTCCAACCAGCTACCATTCCCATGGTAGGCTGTGTGCAGAAGACCTGCGCTGGTTTGGCATTTACGCGTTTGTGGTAAAAATCATACTGATTGGTAGGCTCTTTTGCTGTGTCACAGGATGAGCAGTAGCTGGGATGAGGTTGCTATTATCCTAAATGCATGGTGTTAATGCTCATAAAGTAAATAGGGTCTGGAGGGTTTTAGGCTCTTGTGCTGCAGACAGGGCTGGTTTTGCTGATGTTAAAAGGGTCCAGAGGAGATTGACTGACAGATGGACTGTCACGCTAGAGCAAGTGGGACGCTTATACCAACTGTGCTGACCCTGTTGATCTTTGATGGTGGCGCGAGCACGCAAAAGCGAGAAATTCTCAATTTATTTCTGTTTCTGTCAGTCTGACATAGAGTTGTTTGGGCTTTTTTTGTAAGAAAATAAAATTGGTTAGGACTCTAAGAATTGTTCTATATTTAAAATCAAACTCTTTTGCACATCTAATCTTCCTGCGTCCTTGAAAAAGGCGGGAGTTTTTAGAATCTCCTGGTGCACTTTTGCATATTCTTTACGGTGATGCTGGCTGTACTGATCCTGCTTCCATTGCCACGGTAACCATGGCCATCTGTAGGGATGAAAACCATGACAACAGAAGCTGTCAGCCAATCACAGAGCTTAAACGGACAATGATAATCCATCTCCCCACTCGGCCAGCAATGAACTATGGAATCCCTTTGGCTCTTAACATAAATAGAAAAGTCCACTAAGCCTACTGGGAGTGAACAGATAGATACAAATTTAAAACTTACTTACCATTTTACTCTCTTTTGTTAGCATAAACCGCCACAATTCTACCTGCGCCTTTGCGCTCGTTGTGATGGAGGAATCCGTCATTTATAGGATTTTTCAGTTTACGCGACCTGTCCTATTTCTAAGCGTACAGTAATATAAACATTAATCATCCCTGCTGTCGTCAAAGCCCCAGGAGATATCCCAGAAGAAAGCCGAAATGAGGTCGCATATCTTTTTTCCAGAGAGTGATCTTATAAAAGTACACACTTTCCTGGATGGGAGCTTGTGAGAACCAATTGGTCCTAGCCAAGAAAAATGGAATATAAGCTCCCTTAAAAAACCAGCTGTGATGGCCGGACAAATCCCCTTTGTGGTTCCATAACTTGTTGGTTCCTGAAATAACATTGTAACTGATATGTCTTACTAGTGTTACTTTTCTTTTTTTCCCCAATCCCTCACCCCACCTATTACGTTATATGGTTTAATTCCCATATACAGTTAATAGATAAAACAAGGACATGCTTTCATTTAATTTAAATCTTCTTGTGAACAAAAATAACACACATGCTTAAAAAAAGAATAAATATAAATAGTCACCCATTAGATTGCAACTGAAAAGAGAGAGCCTAAGGACCATATACACTGTCTAATATTTTTGGGGTTGTGGAGAAAGAGCTAGTTCTGCTACATTCGATTGACCAGGTAGTAATACATTATATAGCTTATAGTTATCTATAGGCTTATTATTCATTTGGAAGGTTACACTAAGATAGTGACAAGTGACAAAAAACCCAGGTGTGTTTTTGACCCCATCGAACTTCTCAGAGTTCTCAGTTTGCGAAAATGGAGGCTGCACAGAGCTATATTTGACCTGTTGTAGGGTCAGAGGGTCACAAATGGTGAAAGTGGCAGAAAGTTTTGAAGTGCTTCAATATATTTTTTCAAATAAATGGAGAGATAGTGTCCATTGCAATATTTTTGTCCAGTCTGAGTCATCTGGTGAACCCTCAAGGGGATCCCATCACTATCACATGGAGTACACAGGCCAGTCTGTGAAACATGATGTGGAGTGTTTCGTTAAAAAGGATATTCTTTCTGTCATACCTTTTGAATCAGCTTATTAATTGCCCCTTCATATGAGAGATGCATTTGTCTACCCATTTGTGTTATGTTTAGTTCACCCAACAGCAAAATCCCTTGTTAGGAACAAGTAAGAGTGGTGGATAGCACCAGCATGCCAGAGATTTCAGTGGTTGGACTCTAGTTACACCTTAGTCAAGACTTTTATTTTGCCACCTTGTTTTGATGAAGTACTCAGTTTTGGTTTCAATGATCACTGACAGTGATTTCTAGATGGATAGATTAAGGAGAAAAATTAATCTGGGCGCAGCAGAATTCGAGATAATTTGATACAGCGAGTCAAAAGCTCAATGTCAAAACTGTGCTTCTCAAGGTGATGGTACTCAGCTAGCATCAAGCGCACAAATGCCCGTGTTGCAAACTACAACACAACTGTTCTAATTCAAATTTAATGCTTTGTGACATGAGAGCATCCCCCTGGTCCTTGCTTCATCCTCCAACCTCGAGCCTCCTCTACCCCCCGTGTGTTGTTCGCTCATCCACGCTGCTCCTCCCTATCACACCACTGCCTGCAGTGGGCTGTATGCATCCGAGGGTCTGTGCATCTGCAGAATGAGAACGTTTGCACGAATCACGGCATGCTTTTTGCTGCTTGCTGCATTACAATAAAAACACGGGATTAGAAGTCAATCAACCGCCTGTTAAGGTGAAGCGTAACAAGCAAAAAGAAATAGAATAACATTTCAAGGGTAACAAATGTAGCCGGCGTGCATGCACGTTACACGTGAGGGTGTCTGTTCATCCAGCTCTGCCTCCTCCCCTCCCTCCCAAGCTCCCTTGGAGTCTCTGTCACGTGCTCTTTGCTGCTGCTCCCTCTGAAATCTCCATCACCAGCCAATGGACCAACTGAGTAACGCCTGATTTAATTCTATCCACTACGCAGGTCCCTCCATCACTAAACCCATGGTCACAGGCAAGGTTTTATCCTGCCAGTAAATGCTGTCAGATTAATCTCAACCCAGATTGGGGAGCTTGGATGCAACTCTCTGGGCTGGTCGGGGGTCAGCAACATGAGGCAGAGGGCCCGCCGTCTATAAATAGAAGCAGCAACCTGCAGGCACGAGATTCTGGCTCATCCGTCATACCAAGCGTTGTGTAGGAAGGAGCATCAGACATATATATTGTAGCTGTCTGAGTCTTTAGTTCCTAAAAATAAAGATTAAGATGATCCGATGAATGGGAGACAGAGCAAATAAGAAAAAAGGGAAATGCTAACCTGTTTTCTGCTTTATGTATAGTAGATCTTAATGGGATTTTTTCTCCTTTTTTATTACACACCTTGAGTTCTATTCCAGCAATCTTCCAGCCTGAGATGCATGCTTTTTAAGATGCATCTGTGCCATTGATAATGGGAAGGAACACTGGCTGTTTACAGCCCAGCCGTTTGGTCACTGTCAGTCACGATCGCATCAATTGAGAGATGACGTGTTCTTAAATAAACGGAGAACTATGTTTATGAATTGCAACAAGGTTGCAGGAATATTTGGGTGGATCGGGGTTCCAAGAAAGTTTTGAAAAGAGTGGGAAAGACAAAAAAATCCCACAAACATGGCAGTGACTGGAAAGGGCTTGTAGCTCCAGCATACCTGTCTGCACGTGCAGTTTCCTTGTGACCTCCACATCTTCACGGCAAAGGTGGAGGCATTAGCAGTTTTTAATAACAGCACGGAGCCAGTGGCCATAAATAAAAACTAGCCAGCCAACTGAGCTGTAAATCAGGTAATCTCAGCATTACCCACTACTCTTGGCGTCAGAAGATTGTGTTCTCAGAAGCGGGTGTTTCAGTCTGCCTGTCATTCACGGTGCTGCAGTGGCTTCTGCAGCCCTAATGATGAAAGACGAAAGCAGGGAACGGCTCCGGAAACTCGAGAAACAGGAAGATGAGGCATGTTCTACACCTATTCCTCAGACAAATGGACATTGCACTCAGCTGTTTCAGATTTTCCTCCCGTTTCTTGAATTTGGGCTTTAAATTATAACATAATGTCATTTCACCAGTGTGAAAGACGAGGCCTAACCAGCGCCCGGGTGGCTGTTATGCTGCCTTAGCTTTGCTTTTAACTGAAATCATCTTAATGTATTTGAAGTAAATTTGAATTATTTTTTCTACTCGGCTTTTTAGATCTACCTTGAAACAATAATGTAATGCTTTAGATTTTTCGCAAAGTTGACTAAATGCAGTGGTCTCTCCATAATTGCAAGGAGGTGGATCAGAGTGCAGTGAAATGCAGAGTCAAAGTCTAAGTTAACACATAAAAGATGGCAGTCTTTCGGATTACAATGAGCCATCTGCCACGGGAAATCTAGTGAGGTCTGTCTGTGGGGACTGAATGGGGTGATGAATCCTCCCCTGGCCCTGCGTGGGCATATTCTTACTTGCACTAACTCTGTTGCAATGTACAGTAAGCCTACAATATCAGTTCTCAGCATCTGTCCACTCACTCGTTCAAAGCTGCAGCTTGTTTCTCACATGTTTGCCCATGTGTGGGCGTGTGCTGTTCTTATAGTGGAAGTGTGTCATACCACCAGTGCTTTTGATGAATCAAGTAATATTGCACTGATATCCGACATCATCCTGCCATCATCCTTCTTTTCCCCTGACACGTGCAGAGAGAAGTTTTTGTGCAGCGGAGCATTGCAAATATTTACCGAAGCTACTAGCTGCTATCATTTCAAATCAACGCCGTGTTAACCAGCAAAGACTTGGGGCAAAAATGAAATGGAGATTATTTAAGAATTATTTAAGAATATCTTTACTTCTGCAAGCTATTCAACCAGGTATAGTCGGGTTACCTGCTGCAAATTTATGCAGCATGTCTTGAGGGAAAAAAAAGAGGATAACATGGTTTTATTAGTAGAAAACAAATGCAAGAAAAAAAATATTTAAGAGGCTCTACCATGACCTGCTCCTGTCAGGCATGTTGGTGTACAGCGGTCATGAAAGAAATAGCTGGAAACTATTGGTCTGCTTACATAATTACATTCCGCCACACCTGAATACTGAAACCTTCCAATTCTATTAAAAATGTTATTTTTAGTGGGTTTTTTTCTATTGGCTGATACATGTTGATTAGTGTGGCTTAAGAGTATCTGTTTACGATGGAACCGAGTTCATCATGAATACCAAGCAAGCAGTTCTACTGAATATTAAAGCACGGTAAGCGTTCAAAGACTGGGGCCTCCTGTACTGTTCTTTTTTTTCCCAAGGTCAGAGTTATGCATGATGTGGAACAGCCAGGATAAAAGGACTCTGCGTGTCCATTAGGCGACAGCAGGCCCACGCAGCGCACATGCGCGGCTGCCCCGGTTCCCCAGCATGTCGACCCTCATAGGCTGTGGACGTTGGAGCTTTTTACATGATTTAGGGCTTTGTGCACAATGAAGCATTTTTGTTTTTAAAAAACCATGACTCAAAGCAGTGTAATCTGGCACTCGGGAGATGAGCGTAGCTTTCTCGAGTTGCCATTGGCTGTCTTTTGTTGCCATGGTGACGGGAAAAAAAAGCCCGGCTTTGCTCACGTGCCAGTCGTGGGAGGCATCTTATATAACAGCTTGTAGTATTTCAGGGACCTGTGAAGTTTGCTTCAATCGGGACAAAGACTCCTCAGTTGGTTGGATGTCATTAATTTGATCTGATGAAAAAGAGAAAAAAAATGTGTGGAACTTGTGTCTCACATGCTGAGTGAAAACATTTTCTCTGTCTCCTGTAGAGAACCGATGAGGAGGCGGTGGTGGATCGTGGAGGCACACGCTCCATGCTCAATACTAACTTTGAGAAGGAAGAACTAGAAGGTAACACATACTAATAACCTGATTCAGTGGTGTCCCAGATACCTTTATGTTTAATCTCTAATGGTGGTCAAGTGGATTCCATCGATGGCTAATCCCCAAAGCATTTTTTTTCATCTTCACTGGCATATCTTCTGAAGTGGCGCCAGCATTTGAGCTTTAATCACAGCAACAGAGCCTGTGGTACATAGTCTGTGAGCAGTGATCAGATTGGATATGGCTGTGTTGATGAATGCAACACATTTTAGAGCAGTCTGGTTGGAAATTGGCCAAAAATACAAGTAAGCTACAGCTGTCGTTTGAAGAGCCAAGCTGGAGTGAAGCAGCCTAAAAACTTGGGTTCGGCGGATGCTTGTCACACTAACCCGGTAAGAATAGTAGGAGAGACTCCACACATTTTCTGTCTGATAAGACAGTTAGATTGGCAGAAGAGGCTCCTAAAGTAATCACTAATGAGATTCTAAGGGACACATGACTCAGCAGAGCAAGGACTCTTAGTCTGTCTGACTCCAGAGCAGAAAAGAAGTGTTTTTTTTCTCAGTGGTGACTAACAAAAAATGTTACCCCTGCAAAGGGCTTTGATTTATACTGTTAGTCAGACAATCACTTTCGTACCCCCTCCAGTATTATGTAAACGCGTTGCAGTTTTCAACTAAAGCCTAAGTCTGAAAATCATTTTACAAAAAAGGATGTATTAAGTTTTCATTGTAATATACACCCTTTACTCAAACATACAGTTTGAGTAATGTAATGGAAAAGATATGATAGGATAACTTGAGTTGGACATTAGAATCCCTTATTTTATGATATCCAAGCATGAGAGGCAAGTCACAACTGGAGCACAATAAGTTTCCATCACTATGTGCTGAATTTGGTTGCCAGGTAACACAGAAAGAGGCACTTACAAAAGAAGTCGTGCTTTGATTCCGGCCGTGTTGGCGGGAATGCACTTTCATCTCAAGGCCTCTCAATCTGAGGTTGATTGTTTCTGTGACGAACATCCGCCATGCCTACTGCTGCGCTGACGCTCCCACCACGTCGGCAACGCGCACAACAAAAAAGGCACTCTGAACATGTCTGGCATCAAACCTAGATTGGTGGAACACACATGCAGCAATTTGATTGTTCGACGCTTAAAATAGAAACACAGGTGGATGTTTAGAAGAGGATGCTGGCATTCTCTGTTATTCTCTGTAATTCATCAATTCATTCATTCTGGTGATCTTTTGGTGTATAACAATAGAAGGTCTTTGCACTGCTCTTATGCTGGACACAGTTCCATATGCAGTTCAATGACTTAATGTCTTAAATGCTGTTTTGTGTGCCATTTGTGGATTAACACATTTAATGTTCAATGAAAGCATAAACTATGTGCTTAAACATTGGAAAATGTTATGATCCTTTAACCCTTTAACATCTACACAACAAAAGAATGGGAAAATATTTCCTTGGAGCAATAACACTGAGAACAGATACTTTTTTCACAGATACTTGGGTTAACACTGTATGTTTTAAGATAGAAATGTTAGAAGTCTTGTTGAGTTTAGGCATCACATACCTAAACTTTATATTACAGCTAATTTGGGTATGTGCACTTCATCGAGTGTATTGTGCCACCGAGTATAGTCCGTGAGAAAGTTGCTCTACCAAATGGTCGAGCAGGATGTTAAAGGGTATAAAGAAGCGTATCATCTGAATGTCAGTTTTTAAGTTTTAATATGCAACAAGAACAAGTTGTAAAGGTCACTGCCACTTGGGACAATTTGAGTAAGCCAGAAATGTGAAAAGACCCCACCAGAGGACAGGAAATCACAGAAATACTGTACACGTGTCTATAATCAAAAGACTTTCAAATCTGGATCACCAAAAACTTGCCACAGAAGAAAACCGCTTTGTGAAGTAAAGCCAGGACAGATGGAAGATGGCTGATGAGACATGGTGGTAAAAAGTAAAGTGGGGGATAATAATTGAAAAAAAACATCCCATGACATCAGCGGTTGCTCACGCCTGGAGGAGGAGAGCTATTTATAAAAACCTCCTCTCGTAAGTCTTATATACCAAACTTTTACTCTCTGCCGCTCCCTTGTGTTTTCTCCAGCACCTTAATGTTCGGCTTGGGGCTGTTCTTGGCTGCCAAAATGCCCTCAGCTCATCAGATTTGCTGCTTCTGGACAGCCAGTCCCTCCGATCTCCTTTGCTTCTTACATGCATAATTTACTCAGCACTTAGAGAAATCTTATCCGGATGGCTGCATTGACAGCAGCGTGTGCCCTGACCATCATGACTCTGTCCAAACGACAAATAGATTTTGACATATAGTCGGCTTCTCATTACATACCTACAAAACCTCGCTTAACCTCTGCTCTGGTGGCAAGGTGGATGCTGAAGTCTCTATGATGTCACTTTTAGCTGATGAATCTCATACCTCTTTATTCCTTAAATCTGAAAGAAATTATATTTTCTGACTATGACGATACACAAAAAAACTTTATTTTTTTTTTTGCATTTTGCAAGTAATCTTCCTTTTCATTTACCCCCAAAATTCAAAGGAAGATGCTGAATATCTGGACTTTGTCTCATGAGTTTCAGGAAGAAGTGCAGCTTGAATGTTGCCTGAGAGGCTTAATCTGGGTCAGACTATTTCCAAATCTCTATTTGCGTTGCTTTGCATTCATTGGTATCTGATGCCGACTTAGCAGGGTCATTCAAGTTTTTTAAATGATTTTTGATAAGCTTTGAGCTTGTGTGGTCAAAAGTGAGGTGGACATGCACAACGCTCAATCCACACGTCACTGTGGAAATTCCACACGTCACTGATACAGAAAATTCCATCTTGTAATATTTGCAAATGTATTAAAAGCAGTAAAAGTTTTTCTTTCACTCATCTATGGTCGACACATAAAGTTACCAGGACCGGCAGGGAAACCCAGATCTGTAGTTTTAAAATGTCTGGTGCTACACCTAATACATTTATTCTGCTATAAAAATGGCTGAGGGGGTGTGCAGTGGAGGAGATTTACTCCAGTAGGATTCTGTCAGTTTGTTTTTAGGACTGTCTAGGGGGTGTCCGGAAAAATCCAGAGCCTAGAGTTTTTCAGGGATCCTTGTGTTGTTGAACGTCTGTGTATTCACTAACTTTAGCTGATCATGATCTCTCAGTGAGACTGTCTCCTCAGAGGCTTTGTCTTCATTTCAGCGGTAATATCAATAATTTAGATGTGTTCCGATTGTCTTTGTACAGACATTGGTCTGCCTTAGGGGTGACTTTAATTCAATTAAATATGAATACAATAAAACTTCAGTAATCTAATTGAAATGATATTGCTTGAGTGTAAAGGATTATTAAAGAGGTGATGTTACAGAGTCAAAAAGATGATGAAACCAGCTTGCAGACATTGAGAAAACTGGTTTGTAGTATTTGCTTGGGGTGTTGTTTGCAACAACTTAGCTGATGGGTACATGTACAGTACCAGCAAGTAACACAGATAACACAGGGGCCCTACCTCGGTAGACAGCATGGACACACACCCACAGCACAGGTACACTTCTCAGTGACAGGTCTAGAATTACACCATCTGTTGTTAGAAAACTCTGTAACCCTCCCTGTCCTCTGTTACGTTCATGTCTGCTGTCATTGTTTGCCTGTTATGTGCTAAATCGGTAGAGAGATGCTGGTGTAGATTCTTAGTCATCCAGGTCATGATAATCCTAAGAGTTTGAAGAAAGTCAGCTGGACTTCTTTTTGGATCTTGATTTAATTTCACCTATTATACGAAAGCCTTCTTCCTATTAGGGTTAAGGTTGGAGAAAAGGTTGTAACAGTCTGAACCCCTGGCCAGTGGGAGAGTCATTAGTCATTCTCACTTGAAGATTGTGTAACTGTCTGAAAAGGGTCACAAGGTCCAAGGTGTGAAAGGCTTTAAAAGGCAGTGAAACAATATACGAAGGAGGGACAATGTTAATAGCCTGCAGCCATGTTGTGGTGAAATAATGATATTGCCTACTGAATATTCCTTTATTACTCCAGTTGGGGCTACAAACCCTGCACAATTTTCCTCTGGGTTGTTAATCACTGAAGTGTTAGAGGGAGATGGATTTTGTGAATTCACCTCCACAACCAAACCCATTGGTTTGGTTGTGGAGAAACGGTCAAACTCACCCTTGCAGCCTCTTATTAGCAGGAGCAACATAGACATGTACTACATGCACAGAATTCCCAACTATCTCAGTATGTGAGATCTCTCTTTGACTCTGATAACATTCCATGTGGATGTGGCCAAAACCCAATATCTGTTTGATGCCACCGTATCTGATTCATTACCTTGACAGAACATCCTGAACCAAAACAATTTGTGGTGTGAACATAAAGGCCTTGCTCCCCCCCCCAAGGTCCCTGTAGCAAATCATCACATCAGCAATCAGTGTGAGTCATTTATGACCCCCCCCTCCTTAGACAGAACATTGGCAAACCTAAAGACTAACATTCAGAACAGACTGACTCTAACGCACAATTTGCAGCTGCAATGAGACAGGTCGAGACACTGAGCAACATTTTATGCCTCAGACACCATTTGCAACAATTTCTCTGGGCTTTTCGGTGTAATTTGAAGTCACCTTCTTGCGTATTCATGGATGGCTGGTTTCCTTTATTAGCCGTTTTCTCTGATGTGCCTGATTTGTCCCTGTTCCACTTTGTACACCATTTCAGGCAATTTCTTCTGTTGGAGATTTTTGTTGCCTGTGGTGCTGCTGTTGGCATAACAACCACCACATAACAAAGCATTTTACAGGAATCATGTGCAGGCGCACATTCACTCAGAAACTTAAACAGCGACTAAGTGGCTCCATTGTGCCTCCAGGTCACCGCACCCTTTACATTGGAGTGCATGTTCCCCTGGGCAGGAGGTCACACCGACGTCACCGTCACCACGGACACAGGCACAGGAAGAGGTCCAAGGAGAGGGACTCTGCCACTGACGATGGACGAGAATCCCCCTCGCACAGTAAGTGTGCGAGAAGCACCGAGGTGAATTCATTTGCGCCACCTCTGATTTCATGCTCTTGATTTTCTACTTTCCCCCCTCTGCCCTCTTGTCTGCCACCACTTGCTGCAGCAGACACACCAGCTCAGAGGGTGCAGTTTCTGCTGGGCACAGAGGACGCTGATGAGGAGCACATCCCTCACGCCCTGTTCACCGAGCTCGACGAAATCTGCCTCAGGGAGGGTGAGGATGCCGAGTGGAGGGAGACAGCCAGGTACATGGCTGTGGTGTTTTTCCTCTGCCGCCCCTGAGGCTTTGCTCGTCTTTCCACCCAAACACCGACTCCACCACCAGGCTATTTGTAGCCTTTAAAACTCTGTGTCCCCCAAATAAGTTTGATTCTTTTTATGATTAAGATTATAGCACAGGTGGCATCTATAATAGTGCGGATGCCTATTTGATAGCTCGTGCATTTGTTTGCAGGTGGCTTAAATTTGAGGAAGATGTCGAAGACGGGGGCGAGAGGTGGAGCAAACCCTACGTGGCAACTCTGTCTCTACATAGTCTTTTTGAACTCCGCAGCTGCATCATGAATGGCACTGTGATGCTTGACATGAGGGCCAACTCACTGGAGGAGATTGCAGGTAAATTCTGGATGCAAATACTCAGCAAAAGGTCCATTATAGGCATCCAGCATTCCTCTTACTTACAGGGTAAACCCATAAACTGTTTCCCAATGGCCACTTGCTCTTCTTAAATCAATTTGAGGTTGAATTTGTAAAAACACTGTTTCCTTTTTTTAGTTAATTCTAGGTGAACTTGTAAAGAATCTTGAATTTTTTTTTTTTATTGATCTGACCAAATCAACGTAGAGTGTGGTTCAATATGGCAATTAAATCATTAAAACATATATAATGCAATGCAGTATAGAAAAAAGGAATCAGGAAACTGTGTTTATGTATTAGAGGTCAGAATGTTGAGCTGATTGCAGCAGAAAAAAAAATGCTGCTCCAGAAATCTTTCGAACTTAACCTGGTTTGGTGCGATTAAATCAGCCACAGTGGGTCAGTTTTTGTTGGCGTAATCTGCTTAGAATTGCTGGCTGCTGTGCAGGGCCAGACACTAGAAAGGGGAATCCTTTGTGAATTAAAATGTGAAATGTTTGTGGTTTGCGTGCAGCGCGCACACATCTGTTTGACTTCCTTTTGCGTGCTTTGCCCCTCAGACATGGTTCTGGATCAGCATGAGGTCTCCGGCCCTGTAGGACAAGATGCCAGAAGGAGGATCCGGGAGGCCCTGCTTAAACAGCACCACCACCAAAATCATAAGAAACTGGCTAACCGTATCCCTATTGTACGCTCTTTTGCTGATATTGGCAAGAAGCAGTCCGAGCCTCATTCCATGGACAAGAATGGTGAGCATACACTCGCCTCTTAGTAGAGAAGAGTGCTGCCTGTTTGTACCCTCTGAGAAATCCTTTTTTTCCCTTGAGGATCATAGTTGTTACTTGTTGATACTTAATAGTATGCCTTCATGTGTTGTAATGAAACGCTATGTGCTATTTTACAAAGTGTATCCAAGTGTCTTTTGGCTGTTTGGAATCTCATTCTCTCCTCTTGTTTGTGTTTCTCCATGTTTGTGTTCCCGCTTGTTCTCATTGCCTGGACTCTGCATGCATGTGGCATATGTTCACCCAAGTGAATGACATCTATCGTAAAGCCATAAACTCTCCTAAGCATTTGCCTGAAAATCTGCCCCCAAAAATGGCTCCAACCAGGCTGGCGTTGTTCACTAGGGCCTACCAGCGATGTGTTTGTTGTGTGCCATGCCTGTCCACCATTTCACCACCTTTGAGCTCCTCCAGGAGTTGTGACCACGCAAACCCAGATTTTCCCTTTGGTGAAAGCACGGCCAAGCGTTTTAGCGTTCTTGAGGCAGTTGCACATGGCTACTGTCCCATCTCGCCGGATGAAGCAGATCAGGAAATCTGCACAGGCAATTAGAGCTGACGCCAAAGTCTATAAATAGTAGTAGTAATAGAATAAAGGAGGCATTTGAAAGTGGAGGGTATTTTCATAATAGGTTGAAAAATGGGGTAAAAAGAGTTTCACATAACAATAGAGGAGCAAAGGAAAATCTAAAATATATTTAAAGGAACTCATTGGGGCTCCGATACAGATTCATATATTTGGGAAAACTTTGGAAGCAGACTTGCCACATAATTCATGTGCATGGTCAGATGAGTCATGGGCTTTGGACCCTTTTTTTCTGACAATACTCTCCACTTTTTGTCATGTTCATTATTAGTTTGGCAATACCAAGCCACAATAGCTTGAAGACATTAATATTAACGGTCACTAACATTGTTACCAGTGCTAGACCTTTTCTATAACATCGTGGTGTAATCTTTAAAAACAAACATAACCCTTAGTTTTGCACCTTTGGTACAGAAACAGTTTGGGAAATGTGCTGCTTTAAACAAAGATGAAACCATTTGACCGAAACAAGTTTACCATTAACAGTTAAAAGGCTAAATGCTGCACTGTATTTCTGAGAGAACTTAACTGTACCACGTAGTCGCTTAGAGGAGACTTTTCTCCTTAGTGGAGACGTTATACTGAGCCACTAAGAAAAACTGACATGGGCTTCCTTCCCTGCCTGACAGGCCAAACAGTTGCGCCTCAGATGCAGCCGGCCAACAACGAGGGCAAACAGGACGTCAGCCGAGAAAACAGCGCCGTCGACTTCAGCAAGGTGAGCAGCCGGACCAACCACGGATCCAGCTGTTGGCCTAAGGGCACTGATAGCAGGACGCACCACTAGTGGTGTATTCCTAGTCTGTCTTGAGTTACATGTGAAATGGTCACTGCACACCTCAAACCACGGGAACCCGACTGGAGCTCAACCAGGGTGGTTTTTCTTTCTTTTGTATTCTGCATCATCCGAGTCAGGCCCACCCATGGAACTGGATTTAAAATCGGATTTGATTTCACTTTATCTCCATCTACACTGAGCCGTGTTTATTGTCAGATAAAACATTCCAATTCGAAACTCATGCCATGCTTGTTTTTGTGTCTTTTTGTACAACAGATTGACCTCCACTTCATGAAAAAGATCCCACCTGGAGCTGAAGCATCCAATGTTTTGGTAGGGGAGCTGGATTTCCTGGACCGACCTGTGGTGGCCTTTGTCCGCCTGTCCCCTGCTGTGCTGCTCAACGGCCTAGCTGAAGTTCCCATCACCACCAGGTAATATTCCCATCTACTGGGAGAGAATCCCGCATGCCCCCATCTCCTAGTGTTTGTACTATGCTTCAAGTATCGATACATTAGCTGAACTTACCATGTAGGCCTTACAACTTAAATCCAAAACCTATGATTGTTTTCCCTTTGTTGGCAGGTTTCTCTTCATCCTGCTTGGTCCCCTGGGAAAAGGTCCTCAGTATCATGAAATCGGTCGTTCTATTGCCACGCTGATGACGGATGAGGTGAGGCCATTACTTTCAAACAATACAAACATCTGATGTGTACAGTCCAGTTATGATGCCCTTTATGAGGAATGAGATAAACATTATGGGAAACTTATATAAGACATTTGCTGTCAAAGCTGTGACAAGTAATGATTACTGCTAAGGCTTAATCTGTTGTTAAAAGCATGGAGTTATGCTTTGGATACGTCCATCTGCTGCCCTATCATTTCAAACAAACCACAAACTACTGCATACAAAACGTGTTTTTCCTGCTTTTGTATCTAAATCCATTTAAATCTTTCTTTACTGAAAAGGAAAAAAACAGAAGTCACTCAAAGTTAGCGTGCTTTTAATTCATGATTATACATAATATATCAATAAAAAAAGCTCCAGTCCAGATTGAAATACTCCATTTTCTGTTTATTTTCAATGTTATGGGCAAGCAGAAGCTCTAAGACATCCACTATAGTAATAATGTTATCAATTCATTTTCCCTGACTGACCCTAACCTTTGACATTTGTTAAGAAAGCAAAACAAGGGAAGAATAGATAAATCAATATGTAACTAAACAAACGCTGGGGAATGAGAAAAGTATGATCAAGAATTTTTGAAATGTAGTGCATATAGGAGCTGACATTACTTGGCATCATCTGAACCAGATGTGTGTTTTTCCAGGAATTTGGCTGGGGTCCTTAGGGATGCTTGGAAATAGAGTTTTATGACTCTTAATCCATTTATCATGGTCCTCTTTACCATAAATGGAAGGGAATTACATTTCTCGCTGTGTGTATTCATAACAGTAATATTTATTCCCATTAAATATGTACAAAGGAAACTGGTAGAGCAGACACATTGTAAGTTGGATAATTATACCAAATTCCTTTGTAGTTTTCCTCTCTAACCGTAAACACCCTAACCCTAGCCCTAAAAACTCTAAGCACCATAACCTGAACCTTAACCCACCTGATTAATTTCAAGGTTATCTTTGTAAATCTGTAAACGCATTGTCTGTCTCCTCAGATTTTTCACGATGTCGCTTACAAGGCCAAAGACAGGAATGACCTGGTGGCAGGCATTGATGAGTTTCTGGATCAGGTGACAGTATTGCCACCTGGCGAGTGGGACCCGTCAATCAGAATAGAGCCCCCTAAAAATGTGCCCTCTCAGGTAAAGGATAATCCAATGACTTTTTTTATGGTCTACGTTTTGAGATTGGTTATATTTGAAAATGAGGGAAATCAACAGCTGTGAGTCATGTTTTAATTGTTGTGCGCTGCACTTTGATGCCACTCCCATGGGTTGTGTTCTCAATCCGTTCTGAAACACGTTTCATTAGTTATTTTGATTAACTGCACTTTAAAAAGAGGGCAGCCATCTTGTTTAGGAGAGACATTTTCTCATCACACAGAAAGATTTGAAGTCTTCCTATGTGTTTCCCTTTGTCATTAGGCTCGTGTGGTGAATTAATGACTCACTGCTGTTCAATTAGACTGTTATGCTAATGGATGGTCTGTCGGAATAACTGCGATTAACACATGAGACATAAGTCATTAGGCTGTTAAAAGTACACTGGATTTTACATGTTTTAGTCATAAATGTTGGCTTCAGTGGCTATTTTACTATAACTGAGACATGTTACCATTCTTGTCCTCATCCATGAAAATGGACAGGGACCAGCAATTGAATGACAGTGATCTTAACTTCACAGGAAAAGCGTAAGATCCCCCCGCTTCCCAACGGAGTGACAGATCTCGGAGAGCCTGAGGGACACGGGGGGCACGGTGGCCCTGAGCTTCAGCGAACTGGGAGGTAAACGTTATGGAAAAACAGAATAATTTATCCAGCAGTCCCGATTCCTTAAAAGCTGTCCTTTGTGCCCATCTTCCTGTTTGCGTATTTGCTGCCTCAGTGGCTCCAAACTATAAATTTCGTTCCCTGAAAAGGAAGACTAACCTATGGGGGCCATTATCATTCCTCACTCCTCAACTTAACACATAAGCCTTTTGTTCAAGATTTACTCAGGACTTTACACAAATTTTAACCCTCTGTCCCAGATCAAGCCATGTTCCTCAGCATTGCAAGATAGTTACATTGTATTTTTAAACAGTATTTATTTAATAATTTAAAACTGAAAACAAGCCCTAAAAAATGTGTTGGGCTAAGGTGAAAATAGAATGCATGCACAGTTTGCATTGCTGTCCTTGGTGGATAAAAGAGTGAAGTTGTGCTCTCATCATCACCCAGATATCCCAACCTGAGGGGGAATTTAATGTGTATCTCAGTGTTTTGAGGCCAAAGGAGCGTGTGAAACGCAGTGTCTGAGCTGCTGATGATCTGCAGTGTGCTGCAGTACTCACTCTTATCTCGGCTAAGATTGGCATCCAGCCCAGTTTTAGTGATCAAATCTATCCTATCCAGCAACCCCCTCGTGGCAATGCTGCCTACTGCTCAAACTGAAATAATCATAACTGCCCACCCAGTGTTTGCCACAGCAAGCCTTTTCCAAACGGCTCCCCACCATCCCAGTTTACTGCAGTGCATGGAAACACACTCACACGAAGAGCATAAACAGTCACCACACAGGCGCTCAGCGAGGGGGCACTTTGTCCTTTTCCAGTATGTCGCCCCGTGCTTGTGACTCACATGAGTAATACTGCAAATATATGAAAAATAGATAAACCGGTGGTACTAACAGTCTGCTGCATTGCTCAAACATTGGCCCAATCAGCCTGCACGACTCAGCCGATACCGTTTTCCCACAGGAATATTTATTCGTGCTCTTATGAAAGATCATATAATGAAATCTTTTTTGATTTTACATTCACACAGTTTTCCATTCGGTATTGAAGCTGCAAGAAAAGACAAGTTTTAATATTAAATCTATTCATATTCTCTCAGTTTGAATATATATTAACAATACTGGACAAAACACCTGTGAACTTATGAATTCCCAGATATACTCAAACTACAGGCAGGCAGTAAAATGACCCAAATGTGAGGATCCGAGGCCTTTGTTTCACCGCAGGCTCTTTGGGGGGTTTGCCCGGGACATCAAGCGAAAGGCTCCTCACTACCTTTCAGACTACACAGATGCCCTCAGTCTTCAGTGTCTGGCCTCCTTCCTCTTCCTTTACTGCGCCTGCATGTCGCCTGTCATAACCTTTGGAGGACTCCTGGGTGAAGCCACAGAGGGACGCGTGGTAAGAAACAGCATCTTTATTGCTTTCTGGAGCTCTGCAGTCAATCGAGGAAATTAAAATCAAAGTCTAGTTATTTTCTTTACATTGACCGCCTACGACAAGGCGGTCATTTTGTGTTGCAGCTTACCCATTACAGACAGTGTACATTCCGCCATATTCTGCAATATTTCTGCAGTTTCTTTGCTACACTGACTATAATAAACCCATTTTGAACACCAGAAAGCTTGACTGAAGGAATCTAAATGCTCTTTCCTCTAATTTTAGAGTGCGATCGAGTCATTATTCGGGGCTTCCATGACTGGGATAGCCTACTCTCTTTTTGCCGGGCAGCCCCTTACCATCCTGGGCAGCACCGGCCCCGTTCTCGTCTTTGAGAAGATTCTCTTCAAGTTTTGCAAGTAGGCTGTGTTTTTCTTTATTCATTCTGTTCCAGTTGAATTTTCATTTGCGATACTAGCTCAGAGTTTTTGGGGCTTTTTTTTTTTTCCCCTGTCATGTCATATACTTATTTTCTGTGTCTGGCCTGTGTGTGTGTGTGTGTGTGTGTGTGTGTCTGTCTCAGGGAATATGGCCTCTCCTACCTCTCCCTGAGGGCCTGCATTGGCCTGTGGACAGCCTTTTTCTGTCTACTACTGGTGGCCACAGATGCCAGCTCCCTTGTCTGCTACATCACACGCTTCACAGAAGAGGCTTTTGCCTCGCTGATCTGCATCATTTTCATCTACGAGGCCCTGGAGAAGCTACTTCACCTGGGGGTGCACTACCCCATCAATAAAAACAACAATCTTCAGAAACTCACGCAATACTGGCAAGTTTGACTCACTGTTATGTGTATGTACACATATATATGTTTATATAGCATTCAGCTACATAAAATGGCTGGTTTATTTGTCAAGCCAAGCAACTCCCTCTCTGGTTTTCTATTTTGGTGAGGCTGCCAGCGGGGATGTTGACATTTAGTTTTTGAAAATGCCAGGTAAGTCTCATTGCTCTCATAGCTTAACGATTCAGGTAGAATCTGTTTTACCAAACTAATCACATTCTATAGAAAGCACAGGTGGCCAACTCCGGGAGCATGCCGTCCCGCAGATTTTAGAGTTTTCCTGCTTCCGCAACACCCGATTCACATCAACGTCCCATCAGCAGGCCTGTGCAGAGCCTAGCAATGCTTCAAAGAGATCCATTGTAATCAGAGGCAGGAAAATGTCTAAAACCTGCTGGATGGCAGCCTTCAAGGACACCCCTGATCCACATATTTAGAATGCTTTAAATGTAGGCCACGCTTACATTTAAAGGTTGCATTTTGATGGTTTAACCCGTAAGTTTTTCTTCAAATGTTATTTATATGTAGTGGGAAACTGACCAAAGGAACCCGTTTTATCACATAAAGAAAAATCAAATTCTAAAGATTTGTGATTTCAGTGGGTCCCTTTAGTTTATTTTTGTTTAAATTGTTTGTTACATCTGTGTCCCTCTGGCCTTTCGTGGGTTTCAATGAGTCATCCTGCTCAGCAGATATCCTTTTATGACAGCTGCTTAATCCAGAGGATGGATGGTAGGGGCTGATCATGGCTCAAACTGCACTCTTGTCACAGTTTCAATGTTATTGGAAGATAATCTCCTCTTTGATGTGTCCATTGGGCTTTAGAATCGAGGGATTCTTTCATTAGGTGTGAATTAAACAGTTGTGATCAAATGTGATCAAATTGCTTCATTAAAAATAAACAAACAGAATGATTAAATCCTATTTTCTGTTAATATACACCTTAAGCTGCAGTGGCTGGCAGTACCAAACTGAAAAGATATACCCTCTATAGGTGTGCCTGTGTGGAGCCCAGGGAACCGAGCAACGACACTCTGCGCCTTTGGGAGGAGAAAAACATCACTGCCTCACAGGTCAACTGGACCTCGCTAGAGGTCAAGGTAAGGGGCCCATTTTAGTTTGGGGGGAGATGCTTTTAATCTCCAAATGGCATGAAGGAGTATCTGTGGAGTTTTTAGGTAACCTAACAACGTAACAATAATGTACATATAAGGAAATCACTAGTCAGACTCTGTTAGAGACGACAGTGGTGACAGTGTAGAGAAAGTGCAGTAGAGGGGGTGG